GCCCTTATGGGTCAAAACGACTTTCCATTCGACGTTATTTACTTAGACGGTGATCACACCGACGACTACAGATGGTTCCATTGGAATCATACTACTTACACGGATCCCATAGAAATGTTCAACAACATTTCAGCTGCAGGCAGATTAGCTGTATCCATTTCAGATCCGCATATTAAGGTTGAAGACACTTACGATGTATACATAGGAGCTAAAGATAAATACTTTGCGAAATGGGCAGACGGTTCCAATTATGAAGGTAATAATTTTAATCCGATTTTTTATAATTGTACCTATTTGTATATTTTGGCTAACTACAGGTTACAGTTGGCCTGGAAAATCCAGCTGGATTGATTACATGATTCCTGAGGCGTCTGATTATTACGCAAGTTGGTACTCATACAAAAAATTCAAAGGAACCACCCCTACATTAGCGGGAATTTGGAACGACATGAATGAGCCATCAGTTTTCGACGAAACAACGGAACACACCATGCCTTCGGATGTTCTGCAAATGGGAAAAGTAACACACGGAGAAATTCACAACATATACGGCTTCACACATGTAATGAAAATGTTACAATATTTTCAAACACTCGGGTTATTAATGTAATAAATTACAGGTTAGATCTACACACAAAGGTTTAATGGACAGAGACAACGGTTTGAAGCGACCATTCATCTTGACTCGTTCCCATTTCGCTGGTTCTCAACGATTCGCTGCCATGTGGACGGGTGATAATACCGCCACCTGGGAGCATCTTGCTGTCTCATACTCCGAATGCATCAACGCAAACATGATGGGGATGGTATTCTGCGGTGCTGATATCGGAGGTTTTCTTGGAGATCCTTCGGACGAGCTACTACAAAGATGGTACCAGGTAAAACCAGAACTTTGTCTGTAGCAATTCACCTGCAAGTGAATCTTCTTTGTATAGGGAGCGGTATGGTTGCCTTTCTTCAGGGGCCATTCAGGCAGAGATTCGAAAAGGCGCGAGCCTTACTTATTCTCAAAGGAAGTACAAGCTGTGATAAGAAAAGCCCTAAAAACCAGATACCAGCATATACCTTCATTCTACACTTTGTTCTACGAGCACACGAGAACTGGTGATCCGATTATTCGACCACTCTACTACGATTATCCAGAGGTATACGATGTCGATACTCAACTCTTAGTAGGTGAGATATTATGTGTTCTTTTTAATTATTGTTCTATTGTAGTATCTTATATTCACTATAATTCTATGTTTTTTGTTAATTTCAGGAACGGATATAATGGGTGTTGTTATTGCCAAACCTGGTGTGAATGAAACGGATGTTTATTTGCCGGGTGACAACCAATGGTGGTACCGGGCTGATGGAGCAACTATGGATCCACTTCTTAGTGGTGAAAAAATGACTATAGATGTTGATATTAATTCAGTAAGTTCCATTTAGTACGATTCAGCACAATGTTGAGATGAAATTCCTAATAGTTCAGCATAGTTCAACTTCTCGTTCATTGCAATACCGCATCTGAATTAGTTTTCACCTTTAACATTATAAAATTTGTTTTAGTCACCATTTTTCTACCGTGCTGGAAGTATAATTTTCAGAAAGGATAAACCCCGAGACACAGCAGTAGCTGCAATAAACGATTCTTACACAGTCTACGTAAACTGTGACCAGGTAAATTTAATTCTTCTTTTCTACTCTACTTTTAAATGATAACAAAACCGATGATTTATTGTAGAGTCAAAATGCTGCAGGAAGACTATACATAGACGATTACTTTAGCTTCGACTACGCTAATAAGGATAACTATTTATACATTAATGCAACATACGACAACGTTGAAAAGACTTTAACTTTGGAGTAAGACTAATATTTAAAAAATATATTAATATTATAAATTAATTTTAACATTTTCAGATCAATTGATGGTGACAGCACTGGATTAGATGCAGTATTTGAACACGTTGTTATAAATAGACTTAACTTTACAGAAGGTATGTAATTGTATCAATATTTAAAACGTAAATCATCTCTACATATAATTAGAAAATAATTATTTTACTATAATTTTGTAGGTGTTTACAATACGCAACAGGATGTGTTCACTAAGTCTTATGATGGCATTCCTCTTTCGGAAATAAGCATTGGTAGTGCTCTTAAATCAAATAACAAAATTACGATAAAACTGATGTAATTTCAATTAATTGTAATAGCAGATCAGTCCAAGTAATTTGATTTATCGGTTTTAGAGTGCATGTAATAAGAGAATGATAACAATAATTATTTAAGTCCCCTTTATTGATCCTATCACCTCTATCATAACAACAAACCTTCCTAAAACACACTTATTTAATGCGTTAATACTTACTTTAGGTTCTACTTTTATCTACAAGTAAGAATATTCTTAAATAAATCGTTTGAAGAATAACAACGCAAGAGTAAAAAACGTAAAATAGCAATTACAATTAATACCATTTGCCCTACTTGCTTTTGCCTCTGAATTTACAAAACTAATTCGTCCTTGGACTTCGGCATAGACTGGGCTGTAGCGTTTGAAATACTCCGTTAAAATTCCCACATCATCGAGATCCTCTTGCTGCCTATTCCAACCTTCCTCCTTCAACACGTAGTGACCGTCGTTACCGTTGGCCAAGAAATCCGTAGTTACCACCGTGTAATTTTTATTTACATCAACATCTGAGTACGCAGGGATGTCGCAAGACCCACATCTCGTCTTAACGGACACCACTCTCGACATGACTGGCTTCGATCGATCGTAAACGACCTGTAAACCGGACACCTGCAGGAATTCGCCGCGAGATGTTTCTCCATTGCCTCTAATTCCTAATTCTAAAGTTTTAACGAGCGCAGAGCCCTTAAGGGTTAGCGAAACGATCTGGTGGCCGAAAGGCAGGGTTCCCAAGATTTCCCCTCGGGTGACGGTCCGGTCGGGTCCGGGCAACACGCTCAATCGGATCCCGCCTGATTGCAGCAAACCGATCGGAGCCTCTGTCCACATAACCGGCGAAGCTCGGGCTTTGTAGAAAACGTTCGCGTCGGCTATTAGGTTGCCGTAATTGCACTCTTCTAGCCTGCATTTGGCGGCGTTGCCGTCGAGTTCGACTTGCAGAGTACCGACTTTTTTGTTATTTACCTCGTTTACGGCGGGTCTGTAAACGTCCAGGAGCTCTAGCACGTCTTGGTCTTGCGGTATGGAGCTGTCCAGTAATATCGGTTCACCGGAAGAGTTTATTAACTCCCCGCTATCGTCAAATACTAAATTTAATTTCCCTGAAAATGAAAATGAAATGCTTATTTCTTTGTTGGATATTGAATGAAATATGTTGGTAAACAGTTGAAAAATTTATTGTTATTGTAGGTAAATGCAACAAATACAGACAATGTGTAAAAATGACTATGTAGTCGATTTATAAAACCATCACTCATAATAATTATTACTTAACAATAATTTCACTGACATTTTGTTTGGTTAAAACTGGTATGATTTATGTTTAGTAATTGTATAATTTAGTAAAAATAATACTGGGATATCCTTTTCATAAAATAAGTCAAGGAACTCAATAAGTATAGCATTTTAACATAATCATAGAATACTACATAATACAGCAAAGTACTACAAATGCCATCTAGAATTCTACTAGTAGACTCATGCAGAAGGTATTGATAATTGCTGTTATACAAGTAAAAATTAATACAAAAAAAGTTAATACCTAAAGGAACACCTTTACCCTGTGTATAAAATTTGTTAGAACATTTGAATTAATCATTTTAAGCAATGTATCATCACAACCTGATTAATTCTTGAGGCAATTCTAGGCTTAATATTAATAGTTATTTATCTAAAAGAAATTCATAAACAATACAAATATAAAAATTAGGAATGAGCTTGATTTTCTAATATCACTACGGCTTTGAGTAAACATAATTCTATCTTGAACCTCCGCGAAAACTGGACTGTAATGATTGAAATACCACGCTAAAGTATCGATATCACTCAGTTCTTCAACTTTCTTATTAAATGATCTTTCTTTTAATATGTAATGTCCATCGTAACCATCGGCTAGGAAATCAAGTAGCACTATGGAATAATTCTTGGTGAGATCTATATCAGAGTACGTGGGTATTTCACAATCACCGCACCTCGTTTTAACCGAAACAACTCTCGACATAGCAGGTTTCCTCCGGTTGTAAAGAACCTGCAGTCCCGACACCTGCAGGAATTCTCCTTCAGACGTTTCACCGTTGCCTCTAACTCCCAGCTCCAAAGTTTTCCACAGATCAGCCCCGTTCAAAGTCAGGCTGACCAATTGGTTGCCGAAAGGCATGGCTCCCATAAGATCTCCTCTGGATATTTCCCTGTTGTTTCCTGGCATGACGGTGGCTCTGATACCGCCGCCGTTCATTAACCCGATGGGAAACTCGCTCCAAGTCCCAGCAGCCGTGGAAGCTTTATACATTACCATCGCATCTGCAAAAACATTGCCGAAGTTGCACTCCTGCCGCCTGCACTTAAACTGATCGCCGTCCAGCGTCACCAGGAGGCTGCCTTCGATTTTATTGCTCATCTGGTAGATCGCCGGTCGGAATCTTTCCAGCAGGTCGAGGGCGTCTGGGGCTTGAGGAATGGACATGTTTAGCAGGATGGGCTGCCCGGAATAAGACAGAACGTTTCCATCGTCGTCGAAGGTTAGATTGAGACATCCTAGAAGAGAAGACGATGCAAGTTTAAGAAGCTGAGCGATTGCTCAAAAATATCTGGGTTTTGCGAAGCCTTTTTATGTACAGTTTTCGAATCTATCAAACGTGAATATTTCGATGTGATGTAATATACAGATGCTTCTTGGTGATATAATGTTGATGTTGGTGGGAGAAGCAAATTTGTGAAAATAACGAATAATTTATTTAAGAGTTAACAAAATATAAATTTTAACAATATAGGTAACGAGATATATAAATATAATCTATTCCGTAGGTACATTTTCATTTAAAGACGGTCAAAACTATTTTTTTGAGAAAATACCTAATTCAGGGTTAAAACCATGGATATTTGAAAAGGGAGATATAATTTTAATTTAAATAATTCACATTATTGTCCATGGTTTAAACTTTGATCACATAAATATATTGATCAAATGATAAAGTAAAATACCTTTTTTAATTAAAATGTTTCTTATCCATATAGAATGTAAATCAATCTTTTTATCTAACTTTATCATCCAATTGTCTCACTTAGAATAATTACTGACCTATACAAGACTAGTAATTAATTTTATTTACAAATTTATAATCACTAATAACAATTTCCTACAATCTTGACTTAATTACGTTTCTATTATCTGTAGAATATTTATGCGTAATTCAAAAAATATCCCGTTTGTAATTCCTAAATCTACTGATTAATCCGTTTAAAAAATTTAAAACACTCTAAGATTGTACGTAGAAAAAGGAAACGAATCAGTCCCATAAAATCATTTTCATGTTAAATACAACAACCAACAATTTAATAAACACTAGTAATAAACACTGACATGGTTCGATTAAAGCACTTTTTGAATTAACATCATGGCTATTAATGAACGTCAACCTTCCGTGAACCTCCGCGAAAACAGGATTGTATTTTTTAAAGTACCAACTCAGAATATCTATATCGCTTAAATCCACGTACTTCCTATCGAAACTCCTTTCCTTCAGAACGTAATGACCATCAAACCCATCAGCCAAAAAATCAGTGGTAACGATGGTGTAATTTTTGTTCACATCAATCGGTTTATACGAAGGAATTTCGCAGTCGCCACACCTCACTCTAACCGAAACCACCCTCGACATCGACGGTTTCGATCGATCGTAAACCACCTGCAATCCCGACACTTGCAGAAACTCTCCCAGAGAGGTCTCCCCGTCGCTCCGGATACCCAATTCCAGGGTTTCGACCAAATCCGACCCCCTCAGCTTCAGCGAAACCACTTGGTTTCCAAACGGCAATGTAGCGAGCAAATCGCCCCTGGTGAGGCTGCCGTCGCTCAAACTGGGGAGCACGGAGGCTCTAATGCTGCCTCCGTTCATGAGGCCTATAGGGGCGTCGGTCCACGCGGCCGAGGTCACCGAAGCTTTGTACAAAACGTTAGCATCTGCTATCAAATTGCCGTAGTTGCATTCGAGGTTTCTGCAAGCGGCGCTGGTGCCGTCCAGCGTGACTAGGGACCTTCCGACAGTTTCTTTGTTTACTTCGTTGATGTCGGTTCGGTACGTTTCGAGCAAGTCCAAGACGTCTTGGTCTTGGGGTATAGAATTGTTTAAGAGAGTGGGCTGACCGGAGGTGTTGAGTACATTTCCGTCGGCGTCAAATTTTAGTTTGAGAATGCCTGAAATGAAGATAAGCATGCCTGCAATTTGTGCAATTAACGGAATCGAGAGGATGCGCTCCGAAATTTGGTTTGCTTATCTAGTGATTGCCTATCGCGCGGATTATTCCTCTACTCTTCCGAATAAATCTGCTTGTTTGATGGAAACTGTTTTTATAGAGGATATGCTTTCCTTTATGATACTCTAAATTAGGGATTAACTGTTTACAGAAAGAGTATATATTTGTACAATAAAATTGGATGCCTAAATTTTATGACTAGTTAAGGAATTTCCAAAGATCAATGGAAAAATATGTAATGATCCCTTGTATTATTTATGTTAATGGCTTGATTAGTTAATTTTCGATTAGTTTAAAAAAGCGATTTACCAAATTAAAATTTTCTTTGATTCCAAGTGGTTCTTCTGAACCACCACTAGATATAATAATAATGTATTAGTATTATTGGTCTTTAATACAGCTTAACATTAACTTTAAATCCAAATAACTGGATTACTTCTAAAATCACTAGATCTGGCAACGTTATGAAAAGAACACACTGGCATAACACTAATTAACATTGAAGTAGGAACACTCATTAAAAAGCAATTTAATATTTCCGTTTACTATTAAACTTAGCTGTTTTAGTTGCCAGAATATTGTCGCAATAATTTAGCGATTTTCTAAGAAAGCCAACGTAGAAATACCAAATTAATGGTGGGAAATTTTAGGGCACAGTATGGTGGGTTATTTTCATTAAATGTAATTAAAATTTAGCATGTAATTACGCAAATTTAAATTATCACAGCATTACGTGTTTTTCTAAATATGGATTATAGGCAATTCCTATCAGTGGCTAATTTAAATTTTCTTTATTTAAATGCTAATCATCTTAATTTGGTAAATGTAAATTTCGGTTAATTATAAAAAATACATGCAATTTTCTACTAAAAAATTCACCACGTGAATTCATGCAAATGTTTGCAAATGCATGCAAGAGAATTCCGAAAAAACGGAAAAAATTTAAATATATCTAATAATATTTATAATCCATGATTTTTTAGGCAGCTATTTTGAGACCATGTATAAGGGAAAAAATTAGGTTGATATAAGCATGAAAGTGTGCAAATAGGTCTCAAAATTCTATAATTATGAAAGTACCATAAAATATCATGAATAAATTAGTAGTTTAATTATAATATAAATTAAAAGTGCATACCTAAGTACTTTGTGTAAGCGTAAGCTTGGACCACAGGGACTTTTTTCCCGGAATCTTGCGTCACTATTGTCGGGTAAGGTCCTTCAATTTCCTCCGTATCCGGCTTTTCTCCGTTCCATAAAAACGTGTTAGTGTGCCCACCAACAACCACATCAACTAACGGCACTTTCTTCGCAATTTCTTGATCTTTTACGTAACCAGAATGGCCCAAAACTACTATTATTTTTACCCCTAACGCGTCCAATCTTTCACTCTCCTCTCGAACACTTTCCACTTCATCCATAAATATCGTATTACCGGGACTAGAAATTTTTTGGGTTTCTGTCGTAACGTGACCTAAAAATGAAACAAATATGTAATATTTTATTTATAGATGATTAAAGTTAAATAATGATAGTGAAATTAAAATGTATAATTACCAATTACTCCTACTTTAGTCCCATTAACATTGAGCACAACAGATTTTGGTATTTTATCAGTTAAATTAGGAACCTTGGAAAAATCCACATTTCCTCCGATCGTCGGATAATTTAATGCGGAAATGTATCTATAAAGTTCATCTGTCCCTTTGTCGAATTCATGATTTCCAAGGCACTACAAAAAAATTTAAATGATAATTGGTGTAATAAATTTATTTAGCTTTGATTGCTGTTTAATTTTATAATTTGCTATTTATTTGAACAATTTGAAAATTATAGAATTGTCGGAATTTTTACGTTGCATCAAGATCGAGTGACTGTAATAAATTTATCAATACAATGGTATAATAAAATGGCATGTTTCGATTTTAATTAAAATGTTAATTAAAGCGCTTTAATCTGTTTACTTGTAATTCTTTAATTAAACAACAAACGGCAGATGAGAGTAAAGTACTTTTACGTGAACATGCATTTAATATCTTGATTTAAGATGTTCAGATTAATACAAAAGAAAATCCATGAGCGCAGATATTTTAATAGAAAGGTGTTACCGTTCCTAATAATTTATCGTATTTATTTGTAATACTTCAGAGTTGAAAATAAACATTATGATAGGTATGATAAACATTATGTTAGGTACTGATAAAGAAATAATTAAACATAAAGAAACAAAACAGCAAAAAAATACCTTGAACAAATTTAGAACAATGCTAAAGTGTATTTATCTTGTAATTATTTAATGGCTTAATTGTAGGTATTAGTTTGACAATGAAAATATAAAACTATACAAATGTAATGAAATAGGCCAATATTGCACAATTTTAATATTAGAAGTTTTAACAATCCAATTACATTAGAATAATCACTGTATCTAGGTATTGTTAATAGGTAACATTGCATTGTATGCATTCAAATAACAAAGGGAACAAGAATCAACTGAAGAAATGGGTGTCCATTAACTTGAAATATATTAACAAATTTATTGAGGAAACGTAGGAAAGAGATTAAAAATAAGAAGTCAACAGTATTTCCTCTCTTATTGTTTCTGAATTGTTAATAATAAGTAGGCACCTACTTCGGTACGATTTAATAGGTACATCAATAATTCATGAGTTTGTAAAACATTACTCACTTTAACAAATCTAATAATCTAATGTATCTCATTTAGATACAGCAGTTCATGTAAAGGTACGCCTATGAATAGTATCCAATAAAACGATGCCTAGTAATTAGTCTGGTGCACGTGTGGACTACACGTTGGCGAAGCCCATTCGGGTGGAGGACTCGGCGGTTATTTTTATTTTCGATCCCATCGTTCGATATATTACGGACAATTCCATCAAGTTTTCATGGGTAAAAAACTAATGTGTGACCTTGATTGGGCAGTGCTCTAAATTCGGGCAATCAGTCATGTAAATCTGCCAATCATTCATTTTATAAAGGAAGTAATGCCGATATATTGTTGCGTAATATTGTCGCCTACTTGGCAGATTTTTTATTGCAGATGATTGAAAACATTGAACTGGGTTTTGACCTTTTTTTTATAGTAATTTTCAGGAATAGAATTTCAAGAGCATTAGAACAATGAAAAAAAATCAAAACTATACAAGTTTGAAATATATGAATTAAAATTTAAAATATACCTAGATGCGATAATAAAATATTGGTAATTGAGTTTTTTTGTTAAAAACATCTTTAAATTTTACATTTTATCTAACCTAATTTGAATAAGTGATATAAATCGATAGCATTAATTATTTTAAAATAAAATTTTTATAATAATACATTTTCAAACAAAACAAAGGATAACTATTTGTGTTCCTTTCGTGTTAAATGGTACTAAATATGAAATAGCAAACTATAAATTTACCAATACCCGAAAAGTATTGTTTTAAAAAGCCAATAATTATAGTATACATACTTCGTGTTTAAAAATAATTGAGCACTTAAGTAAGCAATAACGATAAAGGATAATTACAAAGGATAAATTGCCTATTTTTTATTGATAATTATGTCTGTCACGTCGAAATCGCTTAAATTAAGTGATATTCTACTTATTTTGACGATAGTATAAAGATTTTTCATTTATTTCATGTGCATCATAATTTTTAAAGTGTGCAGTTCTAAAATAAGTAGGTTCATAAATGAAATAAGCAACGTTCAACTAATTCCTAAAAAATTAATTTGTGTCAAATTTGTCCAATTTTATATGAAATTAATGTAATTGGCGGAAAGAACCTATAATAAAATGATTTAAACGTATTTGACTTTATGAAATTAACATCGGAACCATCAGAAAAATCATTCATACGCCAAACAATCAAAAAGATAAAATTTAGCACACTCCACATAATCAACCACAGGCGCCCAAGTGTCGTAGAGAAGTAAAACAAACACCTAATAAAATTAGGTACTTCAAAAAAAATGATCTAATTACCGACTTACACTAGCATTGATAAAAATAAGATTACGAAGACTTACTTGCACATCAGGCCTGAGCAAGTTCATGAAAGCTGAGGATATATTCCACGTGTGGATGGTATACCACACGGTTCCGATGAAAGTATCGCCCGCATTCAGGAAGATCACGTTGGGCCCAGCGCCGTTTTCGGCCTCGTTCCTGTACTTCCTCACCACGTGCACCGTCCTGGCGAAGCCGCCGACGCAGCTGACGTTCTTGTGGCCGGGCTGGCAGGTCCCCGAATTCCTCTCGGTCTCCTCGAACCTGCCGTGTATGTCGTTGTTATGCAGAATCAAAAGGTCGAAATGGCACACGACCGCGTTCGACAGTGCCAAAATTACCGCGACGCGCTTCCACATGATGGACCCGTTGCCGGCTCGAATCGAGCGCCGAGTGGACGGTGAACTTTAAATAATAAATAATTCGTTGTCGCGACACTCGCTGGTGATGCCAATCATACTGAAACGAAATTCAAATGATGGTGAGGTGAGGAGTCTTTTCGGAGATCGACGTCTTTTACAATGGTAGGTTCCAATTCGAGGGCCTTTGCTTTATGTAGGTAGTCGGGCTGTACCCTTTTGAAGAATTTATCACGGGAGCTGGCCCGGATTGCGTGCAATCGCCTGCAATAAATTTTTTTGCAGGTAAATGCATTTGTTAAAGTGTTAATAAAAATAGAAAAGTGTAATAATGTTATACAGAGTATCTCAGAATAACTAAAGAAATATTAACCACTACATTCTTTTACCAAACACGTTTAATATACTTAAGTACAAAAAGAAGAAATTTTCCACGATATAATATCAAAAGAACCATTTAAGTTACAAAGCTCACAGATAAATTAAATAAACTCTCCCTTCATAACTAATGTCTCGTTTAAATTGCATATACTTTACCTTTAAATCAATGCACTCGACTGCATATCACCTAATAAACTAACAAAATAACTTGAACAACGGCAAATTAATAAAGAATATGTATTACCTGCTGCTATGTTGGTAATTGCAGTACCTATTAAAAAGAATTTACTGGACGTGCGTAATATTTGTAAAAGCTCCAGATAACAACTTGCTGAATACACAGCACATGCATAGTTTAAATGTATGTTTATCATTTCTCTCATTCTTTTGTGTAGGCTAATTGACTTCTACAAATTTAATAAGTGTAAAATTGGGATCGTAAATTGTTAGCAATGATAAAATCGGTTATAAAAACAGAGGTGGATTTAGTGATAATCCATTTGGTTAATTAAAATAGGATTGCAAACGAGTCTATACTAGATAAAATATTTTAACTACACAAATTTAGGACTAATAGAAAAATATAACAATTATTTTGATATATAAGAAATGCAGATTGGTCTTCAAAACACTCTTTATCTTCTAAACAATTTTATTAGCAATCTTATCTTTATAATTTGGGCCGTATGGAATATTTTGACCTCTACATCACATGACCCATATTTCATGAGAATCCGGGTATTGTGATATTTGGATTACTTATCAGCTCTGCTAATTTTCACAATTTGCGTGGACACTGTACATTTTAATGCGTTCTTCAATTATATAACAGTTTAAAATAACTAATTTTACGTTTTTGAACCCGAATAAGTGTCATAAATAATTTGGATTACCGCAAAGATTGTAGAAATAACTAATGCGTTTCGAATATACTCAAGGGCAACGGAAACACTAATTATTTTAGTGAAGAGATAAAAATTCAAATTTTCACGATTCGTGATTGTTGTAAAATTATGTGACCATTTGGTTGCAAAAATAACAACTTACATTAAAAACAACACGGTAGAAAACTTTTTCTTACTAAACTAGAGACACACTTTTAAATTAAAAATTAAAGCCCTTCATGTATTATTTTCTTGGCATAAATTTTATATTTATATTTAATTATCTGTATATTTATTTCATTATATATCTCTGTTTTTTTATAGGAACTTTACAATCGGCATCACAGAAACCATATCAAGAAAGAATCAAAATGCTACATATTATGTCTAATATTTTATTTAAAACTTAGGATTGCATTTAACGTTTGATTGTCAATTAAACATTGATTAGCCAATTGTTATTATTCTAAAAAACTTTTACCAATTTTCTAATGAACTTTTATCAGTAACTAATCAATTAAGTTTACGGTTAATCAAAGATCTCATGAAATCCACCATTAGTGATGCAATATTTCTAGTTTGCTGCAATCAAATTAGTAACATTTTCATACACTAATGTCGGAGCATAATTACTATAGACGAAGTCGATGTGATTAAAAGCATCGTCTTTAACAGATACTAATTGTTTGTTTTTACTGTTAGTCATACCATCGTATAATCTTTGGACATCTTCAACACCCGCTAACCAATCATTTTTACTATAAAATAGATAGACGGGAGCCGTGATCTTACTTAAATCGTAATCAGGTGGAGAAGCTTGTCCGTATTTCATCAAATTTCCTGGAAGTCCGTATTCATACTTTCTAAAATGTCCACTGTTAACTTCTTGACCGTAATGAACAAGTTGTTTTGCCGAACATCCGCTTGGATAGTGGTGCATTAAATTGGGGATTCTATCTAAACTTATTCCTTTAGGATCGTAACCAGCAATCAGGAACAGGACGTCTCGACACAAATTCGCATTAATTTCATTATCAGAGCAAAAGTTTGCGGCGAACGTATAAATTAATCCTCCATAAGGGAGCATTTCGTGTATTCCTAGTATTTGAACTAGCAACAGGTCCAATATTTTTTCGAAAGCAGATAAAATTCTTACCACTGGACCTGCCAAATGGTTCATGAAAGCTACAGGCGCCAAACTGAGTTGCAATTTAATTTTACTGTTGTATTCCGGTTTCTCTGAGGCCATTACATAAAAGACTGTGGTGCCTTGACTATGGCCAACGTAATATAAGCTGTCTGTTTTGGTTGAATCCAGCACATAGTCAATCATGGCTGGTAGGTCAAATATACCAATTTCATGCCAACTGAAATCCCAAAATTTAGCGTCTTTATCCGGATCATACGTGGTGTGATTCCTGGAATAAACGTTTCCTCTTAAGTTGCCCATCCAAACATCCCATCCTTTATCAGCCAAAATAAAGGCAAGTGAATTTCCAGGACCGTAGAGTACAAAATCAGATGATGCAGAGAGTATGCCATGTTGTAGGAAAACCACTTTGCTTGCTGTTCCGTTGTTTGTTTGCGCAGGTATACGTTGCAAACATAAAACATAACCATCTTCTGTTGTTACGTAATGCGTTTCTGATGGATAACCGCTGTCGGTTATAATTTCTGTTACGGTCTTGTTTAATTTATTATCACTTATTGGTGCAGTATAACATAGCTCTGTCGTAACCAAAACTAAAAAGCACCCAAATTTAAAAGCAGACATATTGAATATCTGTCGAAATGTACTAAAAAATTGTACATAGCTGCTTTTATAGAAGTTATAAACATATGTAAAGATATGTACACCTATATATTTAAACTATTAACATAATATATGATTATTAACATATAAAAAAAAATAATTAAAACTGGGTAACAAAGGAATTGAAAAAATATTTTTAAACTGACCAAGAAGACAAACACTTTTGCTTTTTTTTAATTTGATCACATACAAAACAACAATAACAATAAGCCTAAATAGAATACTAATTTTCCAAATTTTATATAAAAACATTCTCTTTATACCCTTATTGTGCTGCAATCAGATTAGTAACATTTTTGAACAATAAAGTCGGAGCAAAATTACCAAAAATAAAGTCTATGTGATTAAAAGCATCGTCATTAACTATTTCTAAACGTTTACTCGTACAGTTGGTCAAACCATTGTATAATCTTTGGGCATCTTCAATAGAAGCTAACCAATCATTTTTGCCGCAAAATAAGTACGCAGGAACCGTAACCCTACTCAAATCGTAACGAGGTGGAGAAGGTACACCATATTTTTTGAGATTTCCTTGAGCCCCGAAATCGTATTTTCTAAAATAACCGCTCTTGACTTCTTGAGCGTAATGAAGGAGTTGTTTTGCCGAAGCTCCTGCTGGATAGTACTGCATTAACAAAGGTATTCTATCTGCACCCAGTCCCTTCCAATCGAAACCAATAAACATAAACAAGACGTTTTGGCACAACTCCGAATTCATACTGTTTCGCGAACAAAATTCTTCCAAAAAAGATTGAATTACTCCTCCTTGTGGTAAAACTTCGTTCAAACCGACTAATTCAACTAGAGTTTCCCATAGTTTGACAACTGCAGATAACACTTGAATAAGAGGAGATACCAGGTGGTTCATGAAAGTAACCGGCGACAGACTGATTTGCAACTTGACTTTACCGTTGTATTCCGGTTTTTGAGAAACCATTACGTAAAAAGCTGTAGTGCCTTGACTGAAGCCGATGTAATACAAGTCGTTAACTCCGGTGCTATTTAGCACGTAGTCGATCATAGCGGGTAGATCGAGTTCCCCGATTTCATCCCAACTGAATTGCCAAAATTTAGAATCTTCATCCGGGTTATAAATCGTGTGATTTCTAGAGTAAAAGTTTCCTCTTGCGTTGCCCATCCAGATATCCCAACCTTGGTCGGCGAGGAAGTAGGCCAGAGAATTTCCAGGACCGTAAAGGATCCAATCAGTGGAGCTACCGAGTACACTATGTTGCAGGAAAATCACTTTATTTGTTGATCCTTGTTCTATTTGAGAAGGTATACGATGCAAACGTAAAATGTAACCATCTGAAGTTGTAGCGTAATGCGTTTCTGATGGATAACCGCTGTCGGTTATCATTTCTTCAACGGTCTTGTTGTATTTATTGTCACTGGTTGATGCAGAACAAAATACTTTTAACATAACCGAAAGTAATGATAATAATAATGTATTTGAGAACATATTGAACGCTAGTAAACGGGTTAAAAAGTAACTATTGCTTTTATATTAATTATAAATAATGCATATACATGTATCTAAGCATATGTACGCAAGGTAAACATTTAAATAATTGGTATATAATGGAATTTGATAATTGATAATTGGTTGATTAAGTATAAATGTTACGATGAAGATTAAAAAAGTTACCTAGCGAAATATGGGAATAGAACAGATTTTTCTAGTTGGTAATTCGTCTAGAGATAAAAGTAAAATATAAATTACAAATTGTGAATACTCAACTAATAATAAGAAACACACTAATAAATCAATCGCCTCGGATTTTATTGGATTTAATGATTAATTTAAAGATGTAAATAATTAAAATAACTAAATAATTAGTTTAATTACAAATATTAGGTGTTGTATTATAAATTTGGAATAAACCCAAGGGCAAATGATACTGTCACTAAAATATGTACCTATATTACCATGACGGTACAAAATGTAAATACTAATAATTTAAAAACTAATAAAATCGTCGAATTAGTGATGTATTTGGGAATTGTCAGTTGTCATTTAGAACATTAGATAGGTACACCAGCACATGTTGAATCATGAAATAATATTAAAAATTAATTTTCTTGCAAAGTGAATATTTTTAGAACCTAATGAGTTTAATATACTATTTAAAAATAATATTAGATATTTATTATTTTGTATAACAGTTAAAAGGACGGAATGCCATGACTAGGAATCCTAGAATGATAGAAATTAACAGACATACACCTGCATTTATTTCTTGTGTATCTACTTAATCACTTCATACATTAAATGCATTTTATTTTAAATTGCTTTGTCGCCAAATAAAATTATTTAAATATTTCCCTAGTCTTCTGGGGAGGCTGTTTGGAAGTTTAGCATGGGAGTCGGTTAACATATATTGTTCATATATTCCATTTTCAATCATATTTGATAGATCGTTGAGCTAAGAATTGGAATCTTAACGTGAGGAAAGGCTAAAGATGTGGCAGCATTAGCGATGTATTGCACATTTGGTGTTTTCGGAAAAACAGATAAATCCCCTTGATGGAAATCAGCACAAACCAAAGAATTCATTTTCGAAATCTAAAAAAAAAGAAAAAATAAAGTAACGCAACTTACATTTTTTAGAATCTTGTTTAAAATATTTATAAAGCACTCGTTAAGAATATTATTTAATTTTTATACATTATGGAGATTTTGACTTGAATATTTAAATAATTCCATTATTATAATATAAGTTATATGAGTAAATTCATTAAAAAACAACAAGTTGTAAAGCAAATTCAAAAAAATTCATCAAACAAATAAATATTCGTCTCCTATTTCTTTTACACCTTAAAATATTAAATTTAAAAGTAGAAGCTTTTAAAAGCAACTTCGTCGATATTAAGGTGTATTATCATTATGTATTAAGGGTGCAATCAAATAATTTTTCTAATAATGAATTAAAAGTTACGTATTGTACAAACTGAATTTACAAATTATGAACATAATTTTAACTGAAATAATTCCAGTATTTCTATAAGAAAATCAGATTAAATACTCTAATAATATTTTTATTGCCTATTGCTATTTACAATCTATCTTCAAGAGACAATAAGTAAATTGGATAAATGAATGTAAGTCGAGGGGAGAACAACTCCATGTGTTTCTAATGAGGAAGGCTTTAGTTTTCTTTGTTTGTAATTGTAATAATTCAAATTTCTTTATTTTCGTGGTCTGGAGCTTCTGAAGGTAGTTGATGTTGTGTATGCGAATTTGTTCTTCTACTAAAATATAAAATTGTTTGATTAATTAATATAACTGAGAAAAATAAATATCACTTAAATATCATAAATATCCCTCAGTTTGGCACTCTGTCCCTGTTTGAAATTGTGTTTAAAGTCAAGTGTTCAAAGTCAAGAAGCGTAAAATACGCGGAAAATAAGGAAATGGAGAGATTATAGCTATCAAAAGATTTGAAACATTTACATCATTTAAACGACTACTATTGATTATAAAACAGATATTTATTAATAAAACTCTATATAAAACTAATAAAAATACAACGAAACAAAATTGTCGAAAATGTGTTGGTTAGGTTTGGGGAATTCCTGCAATGCAAGTTACAACATTTACGATAAATTCTCATCAGAGACATTTTATCCAAATTGTATTGTATAATAATGGCAACTATCTTTATACACAATCAAAAAAAAGTCATCGAAATACTGAAAATTTCATAAAAATTACGTCCCAAAAAATATTGAATGAAACAATTTGAATTATGCGATTTGTGCAAAAACTACAAAAAAGACAAGAGAAATTAATAAATATTTTCTCTCCTTGCCGTTCCCAGTACTTGAAATCTTTGGAATTAACGGTTTGAGGGATATTTTGATTGCAGCGAAAAAAATTATTGGAAATTAACTTACCATTTGATTATACCACCAATTGTGCAGTTAAATACTGATACGGATAAAGAAAGGAAATTTCACTATGTCACTATCACTAACTTGCCCAAGTTTTTCCCGGATACAAGATTTGCAGGAGATGATTAGTAATTGATTTTAGAAAAGTTTGATCGAGCAATTTTCCAAGAAAATCCGGAAGAAACCCAGAAATGTTGATTTCCAATGGAGGTTATCGACATTTCTTCCAACTTTTTTTTCTTTAAATACAGCCGTAAAAATCAATGAACGTCAATGAATCATTGAAGTACATCGATTACAGCTGTATAGTTATCAGAAAAGAGAAGAAAACAAAACTATAAAAAATCAGTCCCATAAAATAATTTTCACATTAAATAAAATATCCAATAAGTAAGAATACTAGTAATAAAAAATGACATGGTTCGAATGTACTTGTACTATCTTGAACGAACGCCAACCTTCCGTGAACCTCCGCAAAAGCAGGATTGTACTTACTGAGGTACCAACTCAGAACATCTATATCGCTTAAATCCACGTACTTCCTATCGATACTCTTTTGCTTCAGAACGTAATGACCATCAAACCCATCAGCCAAAAAATTAGAGGTAACGACTGAGTAATATTTGTTCACATCAATCGGTCTATACGTAGGAATTACGCAATTGCCACACCTCACTCTAACCGAAACCACCCTCGACATCGACGGTTTCGATCGGTCGTAAAGCACCTTCAATCCCGATACTTGCAGAAATTCTCCCCGAGAGGTCTCCCCGTTGCTCCGGATACCCAATTCCAGGGTTTTGATCAAATCCGACCCCTTCAGCTTCAGCGTCATTATTAGGTTTCCGTAGGGGAGAGCAGCCAACAAATCCCCTCTGGTGACGCCTCCGTCGCTCGTTCTGGGGATTACGGTGGCTCTAATGCTGCCTCCGTTCATCAGGCCTATAGGGGCGTCTGTCCATACTTCCTTGGCCATTGAGGCTTGGTACAAAACGTTAGCATCTGCAATCAAATTGCCGAAGTTGCATTCGCCGTATCTGCAAGTGGAGGTGGCGCCGTCCAGCGTGACTAAGGACGTTCCCAGCGTTTTTTTGTTTACTATGTTGATGTCGGCTCGGTAGGTTTCGAGCAATTTCAAGACATCTGGTTCTTGGACTATAGAACTCTCTAAGAAAATCGGCTGACCTGAGTGTGTGAGTAAATTTCCATGGTCGTCAAACGTTAATTTGATCCTGCCTGAAATGAAGATAAGCATACCTGCAAATCGTGCGATTAACGGAATCGAGATGATGCTTTCCGAAATTAGGTTTGCTCGATTATTGATAATCAATCTATGATCATTCGTCTATTATTTTGTGTAACTGTTTTTTTTACTGCATGTCCTATCAATGGCTTCAATTAATTTAAAATTTCTTTATTTAAATGCTAATCATGTAAATTTGGTAAATGTACGTGTATATATTTCGGTTAATTAATCACGTCAATTCCTGCAAATGTTTGCAAATGCATGCAAAAAAATTCCGAAAAGAATCGAAAAAATATAATTATATGTAATAATAATTTCTAATATCTATAATCCATGATTTTTCAGGCAGCTGCACATATTCAAGTTAAAATTTTTGACATTTTGAGACGATGTACATAAATGGGCAAAAATAGGTTGATGGTAAAAGCAGAAAGTGTACAAACATGTCTAAAAATTCTATAATTATGAATATGCCATAAAATATCATGAATAGATTGTTAGTTTAGTTTATATAAATTAAAAACGCATACCTAAGTACTTCGAGTAAGCGAAAGCTTGAAGCACAGGGACTCTTTTCCCGGAATTTTGTTTAATCATTGTCGGGTAAGGTCCTTTAGCTTCGTCTATATCGGGCTGTTTTCCTCCACTCCATAAAAATGTGTGAGTGTGACCCCCTACAACAACATCAACTAACGGCACTTTTTTCGCAATTTCTTTATCTTTTCCGTAACCAGAATGGCCTAAATCTATTATTATTTTTACCCCCATCTTGTCCAATCTTTCAGTTTCTTGTCGTAAAATTTCTATTTCATCCAGGAATACGGTTGCACCAGGACTAGAAATTTTTTCAGTATCTGGTGTAACGTGACCTATAATAGATATGTTTTATTTATAAATGGTTAATGTAAAATTTGTAATTACTATAATGAAATTAAAATATATAATTACCAACAATTCCAATTTTAGTCCCATTGATAGTAAGCACAATTGATTTTGGTACTATTTTATCTAATTTAGGAACCTTGGAAAAATCCACATTTCCTCCGATCGTTGGAAATTTTACTGAAGATACAAAATTATAAAGTTCATCCGTCCCTTTGTCGAATTCATGATTTCCAAGGCACTACAAAAATATAATTGTTAAACGTTATAATAAATGAATTTACCGTTGATTGATATTATTGTTCGTTCCAATTCCAGTATTTTTATAATCCTAAAATTTGTTATTATGCAGGCTTACTTGCACATCGGGCTTGAGTATGTTCATGAAAGCAGTGCATATTTTCCACGTGTGGACGGTGTACCACACGGTTCCAACGAAAGTATCGCCCGCATTCAGGAAGATCACGTTCGGCCCAGCGCCGCTTTTGGCCTCGTTCCTGTACTTCCTCACCAAGTGAGCGGTCCTGGCGAAGCCACCGACACAGCTGACGTTCCTGTTTCTTTCCCGGCAGGCCCCCGTATTCTTCTCGGTCTCCTCGAACCTGCCATGGACGTCGTTGTTATGCAGAAGCAGTAGCTCGAAATTGCACTGGACCGCCTTCGACAGTGCCAAAATTATCGCTAAGACCTTCCACATGATGGACCCGTTGCTGGCTCATCGAACTCCGAGTGGACGATACAATTTAAGTAATAAATAATTCGTTGTTGCGACACTCGCTGGTGATGCCAATCATAGATCCAAATCATCAATCCAAACCATAAATCCTAACCATAAATCCAAACCACAAATCCAAATCATAAACCCATATCATACATCTGAATATACAAATGTCATAATTATTTTATTGCCGTGGAAATTGTAGCAAAAACTTAGATAATAATATAACTAATGTATTACGAATGCACTCAAGGGCAATGGAAGCCCTAATTTATTTTAGTGAGCAGATAAAATTCACTTTATCACGATTCGTGATCGTAAAATTATGTGACCATTTTATTCCAAAAATAACAACTGATATAGCTAGGTACATTAAAAATAACTCTGTGAAAAGGTTGAAACATTTTTTTTTGTATACTTTTGTAGTTTTTAAATTAAAAAGTCATCTTTACTTACTTATTTATTTGTATAATTATTTACTTATTTAATTATGAATCTCTTCTTTTTCCTTAGATACTTAGATGTGTTATAGCTAATACAGCCTCACAGAACCAATTTTAGGAAGAATAAAAATGCAACATATTTTGTTCAATATTTTATTTAAAATGTTTGATTTCAATTAATTTTTGATTGTCAATTAAACCTTAATTGGTCAATTACTCTCATCATTCTTATACAGAACTTTTACCAAACATCTAAATTGAACTTTTCTCAATGATTGACCAATTTAGCTTTAATAATAATAACTTTAATAATTTCTCTCTTTTTGCAATACCTACAATATCAATTCATACAATAAATACATTTTATTTTGAATTGATTTATCGCAAAAAAAAATTAAAATCTCCCTAGATAACAGAAACTAATTTTGAATTGGAATCATTAATATAGATTTAATCTGTATATATCTGTAGGTGCGTAATTTAAATTTTAATAAAGTCAACTGTTATATATCTTCATCATAAAGCATACAAATTTTAATTTATTCATCATTAGTAATTAAATTGACAACATGTTTATGCACAAGTTCCGGAGAATTAACGCCATAAAGGAAATCTATGTGGCTGAAAGAATTTTCCTCAACTAAATGTTTACCCTTACAATTACCCAAGCTCTTGTATAACCTTTCAACATCCATTATATTGGCTAAACGATCGTTATTAGCGTAAATTAGGTACACCGGAGCCGTGATATTATTCAATTCGTAATCCGGTGCGACGATTTTGCCGTATTTTTTTAAATTTCCTATGACTCCGAAATCGTATTTCCTAAATTGTCCGCTTTTAATGCCCTGAGCAAAGTGGTAAAGTTGGTGCTTCGAAATACCAGCTGGAGAGTGGTGGAGTATCAGAGGCACTCGCTCTTTGCTTATTTCCTCAGGATTAAAGCCGCATAACACAAACATAATGTTTTCGCACACGTAAGAGCCCAATTGGTAGGAGCACATATCCTTAGCAAGTAATTGAATGTAGCCAGAGTCCGGAAAAAACTCGTTCACCCCCATCACATTCGTTAGAATGTGAAAAGGTTGTTCAAATATGGATATAGCTTTTAGCAGTGGGTTTGTCATGTGTTTCAGGAATGCAACAGGCGATAAACTCACTTGTAATTTTATCTTACTGTTGTATTCCGGTTTCTCCGAAGCCATTACGTAAAAGGCTGTGTTACCTTGGCTGTGACCGACATAATATAAACTCTCTGTTTTGGTGGAATCTAGCACATAATCAATCATCGCTGGCAGGTCAATTTCACCAATTTCGTGCCAACTGAAATCCCAAAATTCCGCGTCTATATCCGGGTCAAACGTGGTGTGTCGTCTGGAATAAACGTTCCCTCTCGCGTTGCCCATCCAGATATCCCAACCTTGATCTGCCAGAATATATCCTAATGAATTTCCAGGACCGAAGAGGATCCAATCGGATGATGAAGCGAGTATCCCGTGTTGTAGGAAAATTACTTTGGTTTTCAAATCGTCTTTTTTTGTTTGAGGGACGATACGATGTAGGCACAGAATGTATCCATCGGAAGTTGTTACGTAATGAGTTTCTACTGGATAACCGCTGTCGGTTATCATTTCTGGTGTAGTCTTATTTAGGTCCTCATTGTTGGTAATTTCTTTATCTTTTAACTCCTTAATCGCCGCAATAGAAGATGAGATGCTTTCGAGATTTACTGAAACGAAATTTTATCATTGTCGTTTGATATTAAAATTGTAGGTAAGTGTAATAATTCGATAAGTATTAATGGAAATAAACAGTGTATAAATTAATGAGTTCTATAATTAATAATTTAATAAATAAGTTAATTATTAAGTTCTTAATTACTATCTATAATTAAATATCGAATTGTATCCTTTAGTATTAGCAAGCCTCACTATTGGGTTGCTCTGTATGAATAAGTTATTTATGCTAGATAATTGAAAGTAGATAATATTAATTATTAGAACAAGTTTCATAAGATTTTTTCTAATATCTACGTATTATAATGACAGGTATTTTCAGAACCTAATTTCCTCATCAACTAATTCCTGTAACTGAACCTAATTGGAAATTTGTGTAAGAATTAAATTAAGATGATAATTAAGTAGTGTTGCTGATATTATAACATGACTTACTGTAACTTGTATATTTCTTTACAAACTCAAATCTGCTCAACATCATTATAGACACTTTTTTAAGTATTGCAAAAACGTTAATTCTGTCGCGATAGTTCGCTGTATTAAAAAGCACTTTTTGAAGCATAAACTACTTTAGTATTAAAATCTCATGTGCTAAATTTTCGAATCGAAATGTATTTTCCATAATCTTAAATCTTATCATAATTTTTATCGTTTGAATAAATCTGCACGCGTGGTTAAAAAGTAATTTCGATATTATCACGAAATATTCAATACTTTTGTGACGCACAAAGTCATTTATTTATTTATGAAGCATGTAGTAAAATTTTGCATTCCATTTACACATTTTTTAGTTAGTTAGTTACTGAGTATTTTATATTTTTATTTATATAAAACATAAATACAAATAATTATTTTTAGTACATAAATATCTAAAAATCTTTCTCTATAATATCTAAAACATTGCGATAAACTAACTTAGGAGCGTTATTACCATAGGTAAAATCTAAATGATTGAAAGACTCTTCAGAAACTAATATTTTTCCTGCGAAATTCCCCAGCTCATTCTGCAGTCTATCCACATCTTTCAATCCAGCTAACCAATCATTGTGGCTGAAAATCAAATAGACGGGCGCCTTAACTTTTCCTAAGTCATAGTTTGGAGGGAACACACTTCCGTACTTCCCCAGGTTGCCGATCAAACCGAAATCGTATTTCCTGAAATGACCGCTGTCGATTTCCTGGGCGTAGTGCAACAGCTGCTTTGTGGAAGCTCCGGCTGGAGTGTGATGCATGATCAGAGGCACTCTGGTCATGTTCATTTCGTTCAAACTGAACCCGCACAACGCGAACAGAGTGTTCTCGCATAGAAGTTTACCCACGCCGATTGAGCACATGGTTTCAGTGATTAGGTGCAGGAAGCCTTTTTGCGGTAGAAATTCGTTCTCTCCTATGAGATTGAATAGCAGCTCAATCGCGCCTTCCCAGAACGCCATTATTTTCAACAACGGGCTCGTTATGTGCTTCATGTAAGCGATAGGTGCTAAAGCGATGTGTACCTTTATCTTGGAATTGTACTCCGGTTTCTCGGAAGCCATAACGAAGAAACTGGTGGTGCCCTGCGAGTGGCCTACGTAGTGAATTCCATCGACTCCTGTACTTTGCAGGATATAGTCTATCATTGTAGGTAAGTCTATTTCACCCATTTCGTTCCAACTAAACTGCCAGAAAGCTCCGTCCTTGTCCGGGTTGTACTTGGTGTGATTCCTGGAGTAGGTGTTTCCTCTGGTGTTGCCCATCCAAACGTCGTAGCCTTTATCAGCAAGCATGTAGCCCAAGGAAGCTTCAGGTCCGAAGAGGATCCAATCGGAAGAGGTCGTCAGCAACCCGTGCTGCAGGAACACAACTTTTTTGTTGGATTCTCCGTTTTTTCCTTTAGGTATGCGATGCAAGCAAAGTATGTACCCATCGCTGGTGGTTACGTGGTGAGTTTCCACTGGATAGCCCTCGTCGGCAATCATTTCGGGTGTTGTTTTGTCCAAGTCGCCATTACTTACCGGTATGGAACTTACGATGGTGTAATGCAAAGTCAAAATTACCAAACATTGTTTGAAGGACCACATTATTGCAATTACTATCCAATTGTTGCAATTGAACGCCTGAACAATCCATATTCGCGGTTTTATATAGATATCTACGAGTATCGGAGAACAATTATTGAGATAGGTATGTAAACAGTTCGATTATCTATACATCTTTTGCTTAAAACATTGCGGTATTTCGGGAATAGGTACTATCAATAGGTATAAATATGTAAAGGGTGTCCCAAAATTTACGCATGATTTAGAAAACAGAATTTTCCTTAAATAAATTTTAAATTCTTTATACAGCGTTGAATCTCTTCCTTCAATACACAGGTGGTTAGAGGCTTGTTGGCATAGACCTGCGACTTCAAAAATCCCCATAGAAAAAATCCAGTAGGGATAAATCACATGATCTAGGGGGCCAAAAAGAAACAACTCTCTTATCATGTTGGGTCTAATTGTAGCAGCAAAACTTTCACCATTTCTAAAATATTGTTCAACAACGAAAACGCGTTGTTCTATCGTATAGTGCTCCATTTTGAGTAACCCTAAACTATTTGCTGTCAAACGTTCTTTGTTTTTGGTTAGAAACACTTTGCCTCACAAAGTAAATTTTGGGACACCCTTTATGTGCTAATCTTTATATCTTATTCCAGACACTTTCTTATCAGTCAAGTAGGTGATTAAGCGAGTGAATTAAAAAGGGCCTTCTAATTTAAGCCTTGGTGCTTAGTAAAAATGTTTAATATTAGCATGAAATATTTCACAAAAATTTGAATACGATTCCAATTTTTGATTTTTTCAATTTTTATATTACTGGATGGTCTGTAAGAATTTATAACAATACTTTTTCCACAGGTCAGAAACCTATTCGTTTATTGATTTTATATTTACATTGATTTAAAATTCACACAAACAAAAAATTAAATGTTAAGTGTATTTAAAATTTAGATAAAGTAAGAGTGCGATAAAATAAGCAATAACAATATAAATATAAAAATATTGATCGAGCACTTAATGCTATCTGTAAGTAAATCTAAATTGTTCAAAATATTCACAGGGTGTAAGTTTTTGCACGGGTTATAGATGAATATACAACATTAATTACTTTTTATACATGCCTAATAAAACATTGTATTGTTAAATCTCAATTCAAACATGTATTATTGAGCATAATCCAGTAGTAGATGAAGTGTCACTCAAAACTAATAAGTACCAAGAAGGCTAACAATATTACGATACACTAATTTCGGAGCGTTAATACCGTAGATGAAATCTAAATGATTAAAAGAATCTTCCGTTACCACCAACATTCCTCTACCATTATTCAGTTCCTCGAACAACCTCTTAACATCTTCAACGCCGGCCATCCAGTCGTTTTTGCTGTAAATAAGGAACACCGGCGCTGTTATTTTACCCAAATCGTAATCGGGTGGATACCTCCTTCCATATTTATGCAAATTTCCGAAAAACCCGAAATCGTACTTTCTGAACCGGCCGCTGACCACTTCCTGCGCGTAGTGAACCAACTGCCTGGTGGCCGCTCCCGCCGGAGTGTGGTGCATGATCAGAGGAACCCGCGTTGCGTTCATTTCCCTGAGGCTAAATCCGCACAACGTGAACAAAGCGTTCTCGCAAAGAAGTGGGCCTATACCCCCGGAGCAGATCCTTTCGGTCACCAAATGCAGGAACCCGAATCCCGGCATGAATTCGTCAGCTCCTATTAACCGCATCAGCACTTCTATGGCTTCTTCCCAGTTCGCGAGAATCCGCAACAAAGGGCTGGTGAGGTGCTTCATGTACGCTATGGGGGCTAAGCTGACGTGCACTTTAATTTTGCGGTTGTAATCCGGCATTTGGGACGCCATTACGTAGAAGCTGGTGGTACCTTGAGAATGGCCGACGTAATAAATTCCATCAACTCTAGTTCTGTGTAAAATGTAGTCTATTGTAGCTGGTAAGTCTATTTCGCCGATTTCATTCCAGCTGAATTTCCAAAAGGCTCCGTCTCTATTGGGGTCGAACTTGGTGTGGTTTCTGGAATAATAGTTCCCTCTTGAATTGCTCAACCAAACATCGTAACCTTCATCGGCCAGGATGTAGCCCAAGGATTGTCCTGGTCCGAAGAGAACCCATTTGTCCACAATTCACGATTACAAACGGTACGAACCAAGTTCTCTTCATGAAACTCATGGTTGTAGTTAATTGTTCGTTTTGAGAATCGTTCGGGTTTTTATGAAAAATGAAGGAAATCGGTTTTTAATGTATGTATCTAATAGATATGCGCTATTTGCTGTGTTTCGACACCTATTATTTGGTTCAAGTGCTCTTTAAGATGTTTCAAAAATGGATACAATTGGGTGCGTATAAAATATGAATAAAATTATAAAATAACCTTTGCTCTATTTGGTAGGTAAAATTTGTTTAAAAAATATTTGTATACATATAATATTTACCTACAATTTGTAGAGAATAATATTTGCACAGATTCCATGGAATTATATGATCAATATCATACATATCATATCATATCATATATCATCAATATAGGAATTTTCTATTACGCCTCTGCAAAATCCGCAAGAACAATACTAAAATTTTCTTACTTCCAATTTAGACAAATTATTCACTTGCACTTTGCATCCTTTCACATCACTAGTAATAGGTAAGTTTAACACAGAAGTAGATAGAAATAAAAAAAAAACATTAAGCATGCTTCGACAACTATATTTATTATTACATATTGACTACAATTGTTTTTTTTTAATTTCATAAAATTTGTATTATTAACAACATTTATATTTATTTCAACAATTTTATATATTCATAAAACCACCAACGAAATAGCGTCCACATCTTGTTAATCGGATAAACATATTTGAACATGAACATTTTTGAAGATGAAATATAAAAATTACACATAAAAAGGAACATTTTTTAAACATTTATTAAAAGTACAATTGCCCTATTCTACGTTTAGTTCAATATCGATGATAAAGATGTGTAATATTCCACAAAAAGCTTTAAAAAATCATATTGCTCTTTTTTACAGTGCCTCTTACATTTCAGCAATTCATAAAATGTACAATAATCACGTTTTAAAAATTCTGTAATGTAATGCTCGTAGATTCATCTCATCAAATCTATAGAGAGAATTATGTATGAATTTCTAATGTTAAGTATTGTCACGATTATGAATGCGCATTTTTAATTTAAATTAATTTACCACAAGGAGGTAGTGGATTGGCTGCAGTTAAGTTGGTTGAAAATATTTATTGGATATTTTCTAAGCTGTGAATTACTATAATAATTTATAACTTTGTTCCACATTTTTCTCTTTTCTCTTTTAATTCTAATATTATAAGCAACAAAAGTTATTCAAGTAGCTTTTAATTTAAGTTTTTTATATTATTTAACGAGGAACTTTCCACTCATTAATATTCTTTGCTTACATATCCAACGAGAAACTGAATACTACTTAATTTATTGTTTTCTTCTTGTTTTGATACATTTATTGAATAATAGTACATTGAATTTCAATCTTTTTAAAACACCAACTTCAATTTCATTAAGATAAATTTAATGTAACTGTTAGCAACGTTATGTGAGTATAAGAAATCAGAGTTGATGTAGGTAAAATTTCTTCAAAAAATTAGAAATAACTAAATTTCTATATTCTATCTATTTAATCACATCATAATAAATTATTGTCTTTATTAATAAGCCTCTCTAGGTATTTCTTACCGTTTTTCATACAACTTTCCGATCTTAATACACGAAGGTAATTAAAAAAAATTCAAATTTAAAATTTTTTCACTATGTGTATAAATCAAAAACAAATAATTTTGTCACAATAATAGCAAGTTGGAAAAAGGAAAAAGATAAAAAATTAAAAAAAAATATGCAACTGTAAAATAAAAAACGTATATTTTAAATTTCCATTCAATCCAAACATAACAGAATATTATTAACGATTAGTAACTGAAATAATAAATAAAGAATTCAAATTTACACGAATCAAAAAAACTAACGATTGTTAGGAATTTCCAAAAGCGATTGAAATTATTCCAAATTAAAAAACCTTGCAACTTACAAATACTAGTTTCAAACGAAACGACTACTAAAACTTACTAAGCACAACGTCGCTTTTCGCGACATATTTAACAATTAAAATATAAAAATATCGCTAAAACAACAAAAGTCTCCTATTATCATCTTGTGCATATTACAAAAAAAAAATGTTAAAAATTCAGATAGGCGTTTTCAATTACCCACCTACGAATAAGTTCTAGTGATACCGGTAATAAGCACAAGAAACCAACAAAATTTGCGCCTGTAAGAATGTTTAAAGCGAAATAAACATTTAAAAACATTTACAATAAACCAATTCAGCGTGAACTCACACTGGACACGGTACTGTCTGGAAGGAAGGCTGAATAATACCACCTGGACCCGGCAGGAGCGATCTTTCGCACTTCAAGAACTCGTCCACCGCTCTTGCTGCTTGTCTACCTTCAGATATGGCCCAGACCACCAGCGACTGTCCTCGGCGACAATCTGAGAAAATACAAGCAAGTGAAATATTTACTAGAAACTAAAACAAGGCTGTAAATATTATCTTCAGGCAATTGGTATAAATACTAGTAATTCTTACAATCTCCGTGCAAAGTTCTATAAACTCACTGCAGTACCTATCTTATTTATTATAGTAATTACCTCCTGCAGCAAATACATTCGCCACGTTGGTCTTGTAGTTTTTGGTATCGAAATTAGACCTGGGATCCAAAGTGAGTTGCAACTGGTCCCCGATGGCTCTCTCCGGGCCCAAGAAACCCATCGCGAGCAGCACCAAGTCCGCTTTGTAGACCTTCTCGGTGCCGGGCACCTGGTTCATCACCCACCTACCGGCGTCGTCCTTCACCCACTCCACCTTGACGGTCTTAATCCCGCTCACGTGCCCTTTGCCGTCGTCGAGGAACTCCTGCGTCATGATGCTGAACACCCTCGGATCGGACCCGAAGCGCACCTTCACCTCCTCGTGCCCGTAATCGACCCTGAACACCCGCGGCCACTGCGGCCAGGGGTTGTCGTTGGACCTCTTCGGCCCCGGCTCCGGCAGTATTTCGAACGTGGTTATGGACGCGGCGCCCTGTCTCAGCGACGTCGCTATACAATCACAGCCTGTATCACCACCGCCGATTATTATCACATTTTTATCTTTGGCGTGGGGCCCTTCGAAGTTGGCGCCCATTTGCTTCTTCTGCCAGCTCTCCAGGAACTCCATGGCGAAGTGGATTCCTCCAAATTGACGACCTGCGGACGATAATCGCGATTACTTGGATGGTACTTGATGTTTGATTAAAAAATATTACCTGGAAGAGGCAAGTCTCTAGGCCACGTTGCTCCGGTGGTGAGCACGACAGCATCGTACTCCTCGCTCAATTCCTTCGCCGATATATCCTTGCCAACGTTGACGTTCGTCTTGAAGACGATCCCTTCGGCAGCGAGCAAATCCACTCTCCTCTGTACCACCTGCTTGCTGAGCTTCATCGTAGGGATGCCGTATTGTAGCAAACCTCCGATTCTATCGTTTCTTTCGAACAATGTGATGGAATGGCCGGCTTTGTTGAGCTGGTTCGCGCAAGCCATGCCGGCTGGTCCTCCTCCGACGACTGCTACTCGCTTTCCCGTACGCTCGGTGGGTATCTGAGGCACGATCCAGCCGTTTTCGAAGGCGTGATCGATGATCGAGCACTCGATGTTCTTGATGGTCACGCTAGGCTCAGATATTCCTAAAGAAACGTCGGTTGAAACGGTTTGTTAAATTTACAGGATGAATTTTGTACCTAACACGCAAGCGGCTTCGCAAGGCGCAGGACACACTCTCCCGGTGAACTCTGGGAAATTGTTGGTTTGTAGAAGATGTTGCAGCGCTTGCCTCCATTGGTTCTGGAACACCAGGAGATTCCACTTGGGAATGATGTTGCCCAGCGGGCAACCGTGCGAATTGGATTGGCAGAACGGAACGCCACATTCCATGCATCTCGCCGCTTGTACTCGCAATCCTTTGCGTACGTGCGGGAAGTTGTAGATTTCGTCCCAATCCTTCATGCGTTTGTCGGCGGGGCGGTAGGGAGCCGTTTCCCTGGGGTATTTCATGAAACCTGAACGCGCGGGATTATTACTATCGATTCCCTTTCGATTCATTCACTCACCTTTAACTTTGTCGAGAGCTCGCTCGGCTTTCTTCTGTTCTTGAGCGGCGTCTCCAATTGCATCTTCGATGTCCAGAATCTTCGGTTCGGCGGTGTTGTTCTGCACGACCGGCGTGTCCGCGGTTTTTTGCTTCAACGCTCTTTGGTACTCGTATGGAAACACCTTTACGAACTCCTGTCGGCGTACGTCGAACTCGTTTATGAGCTTCTCGGCGACGATGCTGCCGGTGAGCTCGCGGAACTCGTTCAAAAGAGACTTCACGAGCTCCACGTCTTCTTTGTCCTCCAATTTGCAGAGTTCCACCATCTCCATGTTGCACCTCATCGAGAACTTGCCGTCCACGTCCCACACGTAGGCGATGCCGCCCGACATACCAGCGGCGAAATTTCTTCCAGTGAGGCCTTGTGATTAAGAAGATTAATTGAATGTGGTGAAGAAAGTTTCGGGCTATTACCTAGAATTAGAATTACTCCTCCCGTCATGTACTCGCAACCGTGATCGCCGACACCTTCGACCACCGCGGTAACTCCGGAGTTTCTGACTGCAAATCGTTCAGAAGCGATACCTCGCATGTAGGCTCTTCCGGAAGTCGCTCCGTACAAGCACACGTTACCGACGATTACGTTCAAGTGCGATTCGAATGGAGAGGTTTTCGGCGGGTAAATCACCACTGATCCACCGGATAAGCCTTTGCCTGGAAGTTGATTAAATTGGATGTTGGGTGAAGTTCAAGTAGATGAATTAATTGTTGAATTTCGACTTACCTACGTAATCGTTAGCATCACCCTCTAAAGTTACGTTTATACCTTTAGCTAAAAATGCACAGAAGCTTTGGCCTGCTGATCCAGTAAGCTTTATGTTGATTTGACTGCCATCAGGCAAACCTTCCTCGTTGTACTTGCTAAAACAATAAGTTTCCTCAACAATGGTCCTCTCATTTGATTTATTGCACTGTCCCAATGAATTACTCACCAAGATATGTGGTAGCTTAAAGTGGAACCAAACGCTCTGGCTTCGTTGTGGATTTTCAATTCAATATCCACCGTCTTCTGAGCACCGTCAATAACAGGCTTGGCTTTTTCGATCAAAACGTTGTCGAGCCGTTGCTCGAGCTGGAAATCCGCCGCCACCGAGCCTCCTTTAATGTTCACCCCGGGCCTCATGTGAAGGGCGTTTTGAAGGATAAGATTCAAATTCAAGGATTTGGCTTTTTGCGAGCCGGTTTCGACCTCTTTGAGCAAATCGGTGCGGCCCACGAGCTCCTGGTAAGTGCGCACGCCGAGATTCGCCATGTGTTGCCTGACCTCTTCGGCGAGCATGAACAAGTAGTTGATGACGTGCTCGGGTTGCCCGGTGAATTTTTTCCTCAGCACGGGGTCCTGAGTGGCTATTCCCACGGGGCAGGTGTTCAAGTGGCATTTCCTCATCATAGTGCAGCCCATTACTATTAAAGGAGCCGTGCTGAAGCCGATCTCGTCGGCTCCCAGAAGAGCGGCGACGATCACATCGAAACCTAAGTAGAAATATAACAATTAACACCAGTACAAGTGTACAAATGTTACAAAAAAATTACCAGTTCTTATGTTCCCGTCCGCTTGCAGCACGATTCTCGATCGGAGATCGTTCAGTACCAGCACTTGGTGAGTTTCAGCGATGCCCAGCTCCCACGGCAAACCGGCGCTTTTGATTCCAGTCCAAGAACTGGCGCCGGTACCGCCGTCGTGTCCGGACACCACTATGTGCTCGGCTTTGCCTTTGGCGACGCCGGACGCCACGACTCCCACGCCAACCTCCGACACCAGCTTCACGGAAATCCTAGCAGAAGGATTCGCGCATTTCAAGTCGTAGATGAGCTCGGCCAGATCCTCGATCGAATAGATGTCGTGGTGAGGCGGAGGAGATATGAGTCCGACTCCGGGCACCGAGTGCCTAGTTTTGGCGATCTCTGTCGAGACTTTGTAGCTGCAAATAACGTTGTTAATTACTTCGAAATATAACGGAGAGGATCGAAACGTACCCGGGCAGCTCTCCACCCTCTCCCGGTTTAGCTCCTTGGGCCATCTTGATCTGCAAATCGTCTGCGTGGGCTAGGTAAGAGGAAGTGACGCCGAAACGGCCCGAAGCGACTTGTTTAATCGCGGACCTTCGTTCGCTGTTCAAATATCTCTCGGGATCCTCGCCACCTTCTCCCGTGTTGCTCTTTCCACCCACTCGATTCATGGCTACAGCGAGCGTTTGGTGCGATTCCAAGCTGATGGAGCCGAAACTCATCGCGCCCGTGGCGAATCTCTTCACTATCTCCGACGCGGGTTCCACTTCGTCCAGCGATAGCGGCTGGTCTAGGGTCCTTAAGATGAACCGTCCGCGTAACATGCTGTTCTTAACGGACTCCATGTTGGACTCTTTGAATTTCTCGTAGGCGGTTTTGTTGTTGTTGACCGCCGCTTCCTGTAGGGCCGCGATGCTGCCGGGCTCGTTCAAGTGCTTCTCTCCGCCGGCTCTCCAGTGGTAATTTCCGGCGTCTCTGAGCACGAGGGAATCCGGGCTGACTTTGTAGGCGTTCTCTTGCCTTTCCAACGCCTCGGCTGCGAGTAGTTCCAAGTTGACGCCGTCTAATCTGGACGGGGTGCCTTTGAAGGCTTTGTCTACGACGTCCTCGGCCAAGCCGACGGCTTCGAAAATCTGGGCGCCTTTGTACGACTGCAAGGTAGATATTCCCATCTTCGCCATCACCTTGCAGATTCCAGTGCTCATCGCCTGGGCGTAATTTTGGAAAATACCCTCGTCGGTTAGGTTCGTGTCCAGAATGCCTTGATCGCGAAGACTGGAAGCCAGTTCTAGGGCTAGGTAGGGGCATATGGCGTCCGCGCCGTATCCCAGCAGTACGCAAATGTGGTGGACTTCGCGAGCTTCGGCCGTTTCCACCACCAAAGCCACCTTCATTCTGGACCTCGCTTCGATCATGTAATGGTGAGTCGCTCCAAGAGCCAGCAAACTGCTAATAGGTACTCGGTCTTTGCCTCCTAGACGGTCGGATAGCACGATGATTTGGTGACGGTTGGAGGCTTCATCGGCTTCCTCGCAAATGCTCTGCAGTTTTTTCAAAAATCCGGGGACGCCTTCTTCTACTGGAAAAGTGATGTCGATCACGTGGGCGCTCCAGTTTCTGTGCGTAGTGTTCTTCAAAATGTCAAGATCTGGGATTGAAATTATCGGATTTCTCAGCCATAATCTGTGTACCTAAACATTAATAATCCTCTAAACAAATACTTTAATAAACTGAGGAGTACGGGAGTTAAAATTAATTAACGCGAATAAGAGGATTTCATGAGGATCTTGTACTTACTTGTCTAGCACTGGGTTGTAAAATATTGTCCTCCGGACCAATGGGGCATTGTAGAGACATGACATTCTTCTCGCGGAATGGGTCGATGGGTGGGTTGGTAACTTGGGCGAATAATTGCTTGAAGTATTCATACAACAGCGGAGAGAACGAGGATAAGCAAGCTAGAGGGACGTCGTTGCCCATACTACCCAAGGCTTCTTTCCTAGAAATAAAAATGGGTTAGTAAGTGATGGGTAGAAATGTGTGAATACTCAGTAACCTACTTATTGTTAATCATCGGTAACAGGAGCATGTAGATGGTCTCTGTGGAGTATCCGTACAAAGGCAGTCTCTTGTCGCCTAATCCGCTGGTTTCGTATTTAGGCTTAGCCGGTTTGCCAGCGTCCAGATGAGCCTTTCTCAATTCTTCCATTGAAATCTATGGAGATAATAAAATATACTAATGCTGTGTTAAAGGCAAATTAATCGAGAAGAGTTATTTGTTTTAAATGGCAAAGAAAAATATCACTGCTTGGATAGTTGATTCGTTTTTCTTCTAGATGAAGATGGACTGAAACCTGCTGAGATTGAGATCATCTTTGAATTTTGGGAGGACCCAGTGTTTGTTGTGCAGTAGGTGAGTAATTTGAAATAGTATATTTTTGGTATATTTTTGTATTAAGGGTTTGTTACAATATTGTCCAAGCCTGTTTGTCAAGACGAAGTTTTTAATTTATCTGGCTAATTTGTAGAGGCACGTGGTAATTACCAATTAAGTAAAATTTGGCTTACATATGGGAAAATTTGTTTTACTAATAGTCAAAAGAAAGAAATGTAGATTTTATTATTTCGAATAAATCATTTACAAATTAGTCAGTTATTATCCAAGCACTCTAATAAATTTCCATTCAAACTTGAATATTCCAAATTGAAACTAATAAAAAGGTTATTGAATGTCATTTACAATTTGGAATATACAATTGAGAAGCAAACATTCCAAAATTAATATCACTCCCATCTAGTGTAAAAGTTAAAAAAACAAAAAAGAAATAAAAAAAATAAATTCTGTCTAAAAAAACAAAAAAGATATAAAAAAAAATCTGTCTACAAAAACGAAGAAGTTTGTGAGGAAGAATAAAAGATATTAGTAACCGACAACAAAAAACTACAAACCCACATCAAATTTTACACACGTTCTTTTTAACTCACCATCTATGTTCGAAAGTTGTCATGTAAATAAAAAAAATCATTATTATTATAAATACTTTTCTCGTATTGTTCAATAATACTTTCATTGAAAATTACGTTCTTATGAAGCGAGATGTGAAATAAAATTACCTGCTCTTTCAACCATATTGAGTGCGGTCTGGACTGCGCAATTTCTTGTTTCAAAGTAACATCTTGAATAACGGTTTTCTCTTGAGTATCAACCAACAGCATTCTTCCTGGCTTTAGACGGCTCTTCAGTACCACTTGAGAGGGGTCTACATCGTAAACACCAACCTACAAAAGACAGTATTAACTCAGATAAATACATATTTATTGAGTAGATATTCTGATTCTCCATGTTCAATAGAATATTTGAAGAGTCTGGCATTGAGTCCTTCATTAAAGGATTCAAGCTCTTATCATAGCACATTTAGCTTACTAGTAGCCTCTTAGTATGGCAGATTTTAGCATAGCTAGCCTTATAATAGAAATAGTAGTACACTTACCTCGCTTGCCATAATCAAAATATTGTCTTTGGTGACGTAAAATCTCGATGGCCTCAGACCGTTCCGGTCCAAAATCGCGCCGACGAGCCTTCCATCTGTAAAAGAAATCAACGCAGGTCCATCCCAGGGCTCCATAGTACAAGCCGCCCAATGGTAATAGTCGCGTTTTTCTATCGGCATCGTCGGATCGTTCTGCCACGCTTCGGGTACCATAGTCATCACAGCCTAAATAATCATATGTAAAGTAGATTTTAAAGTTCAAGTACTACCAATTCCCTACCTCTGGTAAGGACCTGTTTCCGGCGTGCACCAGAAACTCCAAAACGCAATCGGCCGAACCGGAATCGGATAAATTGGGTTCCACCACAGGGTAGAGCGTTTTGAGTTTATCACCAAGCTCTTCGTTCTTCATCACACCCTCTCTAGCTTTCATCAGATTAACGTTACCTCTCAAGGTGTTAATCTCGCCATTGTGCGCCAGCATTCTGAAAAAAATCGCGGTAGTACGCGCCAATTTTTTTTATATTAAACTCCCTTACCTCAAGGGATGGGCTCGTTCCCAGCTGGGAAACGTGTTCGTCGAGAATCTGGTGTGCACCAAAGCCAAGTAAGTATCGTACATTGGATCCAGCAAATCCGGAAAGTAGATCCACAGCTGATCGGACGTCAGTTGCCCCTTGTACACTACAATTTTTCGGCTCAACGAGCAAATGTAGAAGCGCTTTCCCGGAGCGGGAATCAAGTGGCTCGCCCTTTTGCGAAGAATGTAATACGTTCTGTCTTGTAACGCTTCGTCCGTTGAATTTTTCAAACAAATAAATACCTAGAATAAGATATAAAGTATGTTCCATGGATATGTTCTGCACAGTGCTGAATATTTTAGTTAAAAATAGAATGACTCGAAGATGTGAATAGATTTTTAATAACATCGATGATTCATGCACAGTGTAATGCTTTCCTAAACAGGAGGTTTAATAGGGAATTAAACTTGCCTGTCTCATGAACGGTTCAGAGTTCTTTGCGACGGCTCCTATGGAGGAATTGTTGGTTGGTACGGTACGCCAAGCCAGCACGGACACATCCAGTTCCTCTGCCAGCTCTGCGAATTTCTTCTCGGATTCCTGGTGGTGCAGCTTATCCAAGAAGAAGATGCCAGTAGCGTACTGGCCGAAAGACGGGAGTTGGACGTTGTATTCATCCCTGAAAGCGACCATAAACTCTTAGATATCCAAGCATAAGTACAAATAGTACCGAATGGTAGCTCGCTGTGTAAGGATGTCGAGGAGTGGAAGGGGGCTTACTTAAGTTTAGCAGAATAAAAATCGTGCGGAATGGCAGTGAGCACGCCGGCACCGTCTCCTGTATCATTGTCGCAAGCGCATGCTCCGCGATGGTTCATAGACACAGCCAGGCGCTGCGCATCACGGACGATCTTGTGCTGACGTTTGCCATCAATGGCAGCTATGAAGCCGACACCACAAGCTTCTCTTTCGAACTGCGGGTCGTACAGGCCCTGTTTAGGTGGAGCCTGCCACGATTCAGCCATTTAATATCTGCGATAAATCGTCATAATCAATCATTGCACATCTCTACTCTATTTACATAGAGGATGTAAAAGAAAAATTTGAAATACTTTGGTTTGTGATAAAACTTGAGACTGCCGTAAAATAATGTTTATAGGGTTATTTTTTATAGTATTATCACAAAGAAAAGGCGCATAATGTATTGTAAAAGAAAGTATCTAAAGGTGTCAGGAATAAATTATGTTTTATTTATGAATTTCGACTAAAAGCACACTTAATCGGCGTGTTTATTGTGCTAATCTTTGAATTACCGTATAAGAAATAAAAACGGTGATATGGAATTGTTAATGAGATTCCAACTAGAAAGCAATGAACTTTGAATGAAACGGATTATTCTACCTAAATATAGATTTTTTAAGAACGTAAATAACAACAAACTTCGAATAAAAAAATGGATCTTATCAATGTTCATAATTCTTTAACAAAGTGGTTTCACGGTCAACCTTAAATGTGATAAAAAACGGACCAATTCGATTACTTAATGTTATCGTAAGTTTGCATAATAAATTCATTTATATTGATACATATTTGCAGTAACTATTAGAGGTAATTATTAGATGTAATTTGTAAAAGCAATCAACATACATAATTTAATTATACCTGGTGAAAAAATTAAAACCTCTGTGAGGTGAAAAATTATGCCGCAGGTAAACTCAAACTCCTGCAGGTTCTGCGATTGTTAATTCAAAAACGCGTTTTATGAAAGCGTAAAATGAACTTATGCCTGAATAAATAACGTAAATTAACATAATTTAAAAATAAACGTAAACCTATACGATAAACGTTTACAAATACCAACACGTTCTTATCGAATATACAATTGATTTTTATTGAGTTTAATTTATAAATTATAAAAATGTTATTGCGAATAGTTTGATTAGTTTATATCGATTATAATTTGACATTTCGATGTTTTGAGGAAAATTTTGATCACGGGAATAGTGTGTGCCAGACCGTAATCTCTTTATTTGTAGAACTAATAAATACTGATGTCGCAGTAATACAAAAGTCCATGAAAATTTAATTGACCTGTTGCTGCTGAGTAATTCAAATAAGTGAATTAAAAAATGCGCCAAAGTAAACTGCATTTACAACCTTTAACGCTTTAACAAGCAACTAGGAGAAGCGTATTTGAAATGCTATATTTTAAACCTACAAAAAATAAAATAGCAAATAACGTTTTCAGATTAAAGTAGCATTCATGTAACATTCAAAGTTTGGTTCTGTTTGCGTTATTAGAAGTATTAATGACGTACCAAGTAAACCTGACCCTGTGGGAGTTTTTAATAAGATACTCAAAATTTTTAAAATAAACGAAGCATTTTACAGATAAGTTTTTTTACATTTCTGTATCAATAACAACATATTGTTACACAATATTTCGTCTGATAGCACATCGACGAAACTGTGTTTACAAACTTCATTATAAAATTTTAATAAATAGAACTCTCCAAAAATCTTTGGAATTGGGTTCATCAAAATGCATTCATTAATTTAAAATGTATAATTTTATTAAAATAAGTAAATATTATTATATTTTATTTACATGCATAACACCAACTTTATTACTAAATAGCCTATTACTTAACTAAAATTACTTTTGATAACGTTTACAAGCAATCTTTTCTACCATAAGATCCCCAAGGGACTTATAAAAATTGGGTATTTGGGATAAATTAGATTTTTAGTTTAATATTCGATTGTTAGTGTAAGATATTGTTTTTTTGTATATTAAATACATTCTTTTAACACCCTAATGTCTCAACATTTTAATCAACAAGTTAAAAATATTTTCCGAATGAAGCCAAAAACTTACAATTTTTTCCATAGTATTCCTAAGCTTGCCAAAATATTATTAATTCACAGATATAGGCCAAAATGTTGGCATACCTAATTACAATGTTACATTAGGTACCTATATTCAAATTTTCAGAAGATATTTAGAATTTTCGTTAATGTTAATTAGGTAACTGATTATATTCATTATATACTTGTAAGATAAACTGATTTAAGTAGATTAAAACAAAAACATTTTAATTAAGGCTCGTAGTAACCAATAGACTCATTATTTAACCAAAGTACTTAGTAGTTTGAATACAAAATTTTGCATTTACTTAAGGAGTTTTGAATGTACATACTATTATGTACCCAAAACCACAGGATATATATTACTGGAAAAATTCTTATGCAATTAATAATGCAAATAAAATTAGTAGGTAATTTAATACTTATTGCACTATGTTAATTGCAAAGCCGATTAAACTCTAAACTGGTTCTAAATTTAATATCTAATCAAATCACATAATCTCTATAGTCTAGTCTTTCAATTTCAACAAATCAGATAACTATTGAATGCATGTGGCTTTAGTAAAAACTTAAATTTTGAAATTGCGCGGTAATTTAACAGGATTTTAAATCAAATATTTATTTGCATTTTTACCTTATCATTAATTTAATTTGATATATGTATATTTAGGCAGTAGACGAAACTATGTGAAGAATAAAAACAATGTACATATATGTATGTCAACTACGCAGAAATGATGCATTCAATTGAGGAACACCTGGTGTAAATATTTAATGAATGATTTAGTTACTTTTATGCGAGACGAAAGTATGTAGGTATTGCACTGGCACGTACTTAAAACACTTTCAGAATTCACTAATTACAAGATAAAAATGAGCCAAAATACCTTCATTACTATACATATAAAATAAAATAAAATGACATACATTCTGTATGTACAGGTATTTTTATCTATATTCGTTGCAAACAGATCAAAGTCCACAATAAGTTTTACCTTTATATTATTTTATTTTACTTTCATATGTATGTATGTAAATATCGGTAGAAAAGTTAAGATTCAAAATGAATAATTTCTGTTACTTTCTACAAAATTTTGAAAGAAAAATTTTAAATAAAATATTGAGATCTTCATAAATATAAATAAAACAAGGATCAACTAAAAAACCTTGAGTTGAGTGTCAAAGCATTGCCCGTATACTATAAATTTCCAAATAAATAAATAATAGATACATTAGATATTACCTAACAAATTTAAGATAATCGATGTTTGTTCTTAAAAAGATCATTAGATTACTTGATAAGTATCTATATTTCTTTACGCACAACTTCTACGTAATAAATGTAGATAAATGCAGATAATACCCGAAAATTCACAAAAATTATCTGATTAGATCTTCAAAAAAAATGCACAGAATTACCCAATAAAAAGTATCATTGATAAGTTCGGAAAAATTTAAACGTACGTATAATAACATTCCTCAATTAGAGTAGGTAGGTTACTTAACTAAATGCCTATTAGTTTTTAATATGGTAAAGGAAATCAGCAAGAAGAAAAATAAATTACACATATAAATAGAAGGAGGAAAATGCAGTAGATAATTAAAAAAATCAAAAATTACAAAAATTTTCCAAAATCATCAAAAATCAATACAACATTATTATCGTCATCAGTTTAAAGTATTGAAAAAATCCACAAAACGACTTTTTTGGAAGTTGTTGAAAATTTCTACATTAGTATGTGTAAAAATTGGCAGAAAAATGCAATAAAATGCAATTTGCAATAAAATCCACAAGCTATGTGACAAAAATAATAATCGATCATAAAATTAAATTGAAAACATTACATAATTCAAAAGGAAATTTAGTGATTAAATAATTCTACACAATAAGCAGTAAAAATTTCTTGAAAAACATAAATGCTCAACAGGATTATAACATGTAGGTGTTTGATCAATTAAATCGAGAGCTGACATTTCTTGATGTATGGGTGCCTATAAATATGGATTAAATACATGAATAAATTATGGATTTAAAATTTTTTATGCCAATATTCTCAATGGAAAGAAACTTGTTTTACAAGAAAAAAACTTACTTAATGATTGATGATTAGAATAAGTTTGTGAAATTGTAATTAATAAAATAAATTCGTTAAATTAATGAATTTATAAGTAATTGTAATAATTGTAAGCATAGGTAATTTACAAGGCAAGTTACAAAATTTTTCGCAACTGATTAAAGGGACCAAATATTTGGATATTGATTTTTATTGTATAAGAGAATGCGCCGAGGTCCACACACAATATTCCATCTGCTGTCGGAGCGCTATTAAAAAATCTAATTTTACGCAAAATTAGCGGCGGGTATATTTAGAAAAACAAACATTTCCTAGTTCTCTAATTAATGCTCGGCGAAAATAGCCGTAGCTAAATCATAAACGCCGCGTTCGAAACATGCACTACTTACCTCTAGCCAAAGTAAAATAGGAACCACTGCCGACCAGAAAACCGCACAATTTCTCTCACAATATTATCCCAACTGGCAAATTTTCCGCGAAAAGTGCAAGAATCGAGCGAAGCGAAGCCGGGAAAAAGCGCCTGTTCGAACGGCAAACGATGCGAAACCCACGACCGACGCTGCTACTTTGGCCAGTCAATACATAGAAATTTCAGTATATTTATTAAACGAATTGATAACAAGAGGAGATAGGTAGACGAAAAATATCGCTCAGGCTGGATCCGTGGACGTTGCGACCTTCAATGTGCCGAGTAGCCGAGTGTTGTGTGTGTTGTGTACTTACAAAATGAAAATGAGAATCGCGCACGCGGTTTGCCGGCCCGGCTTAAAGCTGGTCATGCAAGTTATCATATGTGGATTTTGTACAGTGTTAATTTATTCAGAACAAGTCGAAGGTTCGAGTTACGCCCTTTGTTATTCTAATTTTTTTGACCTTACAGAGGAAGATCCACAGAGAATTTTATCGCTTATGACCTACTCGATCACCGGACTTGAACCCATTGGATTATTACTTCTTGAACCATCTAATTTCATATAAGTTTACATTAGAACAAAATACAGTTGAATACAATGGAAAATGACTTGGTTAACTTCAAAATAAGCAACTTTTCAAAAGTAATGGAAGACATCTTGGAGTACCTATACTTTCTATTTTCCCCTTGAATCTTTAATATGTCTAATAAACATCCGTTATTCTGTATAGGTAAGGTATTAATCGATTTTCCTGCCGCTCTACTATAAATAAACAAATAGGCATAAATGAGCAGGAACAGGTATGCAGTAACCATAATTTCCACCTACTGACAACCAGCCCTAAGTCTGGTTAACTGCGCTTTTTCATGCTTTTCCCTCGACTCTTTCTCCTGCAAACATCTTTTTACTGCTCTTTAACATGCAATTTTAATTGTATGCATAAACTTCCGTCCTCCAAATTACTACAATTCGCCCGGAAAATATTTTTCAGAGACTACGTGCATGGCCAGCTATAATGGGTATTCAGCAGCTTTTTCAGCAAACTGCATCGTTCCGTCTCCGTTTCAGGCGGTTCCCGGCTGAAGTTGAAGAGAGACGGGCGCCTGCGGTGACGTTTACTGTTTATTCGGGAGATATGTTTTCTGTAACGCTAGTAGAAACATGGCAGCCGGCGCTACGCGACGCCGACGTCGGGTCAAAGGCGGCGGCGTCGTGACGTCACCTCAACGTCGGTTTTAGTGGGGTATGTAGACCAGCGCGGTGTTTTTTCTGATTTATTTAGGGCGGTGGGTCTGGAATCTGGATCGAATGATCCAATAATAAGGAAAGTAAGGGGAGGAGAAGGAAGAGGGGAGGAGAAAGAGATGGGAATGAAAAGAAAGGACTTCATGTAATGAAGATTTTTTTTAATTCTTCCCTTAATTCCAGGCAATTTGGAATCAAAAGGGTGCATATAGAGAACTGTTATTCACAGGGGAATGTCTGGAAGGAGGATATGAAGATGTAGGTCGCACTGTGGGCAACATACGAAAAAAAAATATTAAATTATATAATAGAGTACTATTACTTTTTTTTAATTTTCCATATTTTCCTCGATTAATAATTTTAACCAATACAAAGCACTTAATTATGGTATCTATGTATGTTTTAAGCAAACATATACATTACATATTAATTTCCTGTTAATTTTCTACCATTTTTTTAATCAATAAAGAGTACAAAAATAGTCTGTTATTTTAGTCTGGTTTCCAATAAATATTTTAACATGCCTTTGATCGTTTGAAGGTTGATCTTCCATTAAATTTGTTATAAATCATTTGGTTACAATTACATTTAGAATTAAAGAATACATTTTGAACACATTAACATTGTAAAACTTTTTCGCAATAATACAGAAGACATTGGGAATATTCTGCAGATATTTTATTTCGTAAAGCCTTATTAACTCACCATGTGTAATAAAAGAACAATAATAGTGAAAGAATGGAATCAGCAATAGTGAAGCTTATTATTAAGAGCTGTAGTATTGATTAACTCAACCATTTTATTACCCATGAAATAAAACCTAACGCTTTTCCAATACTACCCAATTGCAGACAGTCTGCCCTTAATAATAATGTTATTATTATAACCTTAGTTTACTTTACAACTCCTCATTTATAAAACAAAGTTATCGATTATTATTTTCTTATTTGAACCTCCCAAAAATGTTAAATTAAATTAAACAAGAAGTTCCATTCATTTCATTAATTAATACCAATCTTACTTACCTACACGCTTGTTAATAGATTTAATATTTGTATAAAGATTTATCTGTGCATTAAACCGATACAGTTAGGGTATTTATAACCCAAATATTACACGAATCGGTTGTAAAACCGTACGTGATATAACAACAGCCTCTACTACATAATTGTTAGCGTAGAATAAACAAGCTCCAATGTAAACATATTAAATGCAAAATGTTTGTATGTGCATAAACCTATCAGAACAAACACATTAATAATGTATTGCTAAAAATAGTACCGGCAATTGATAAATAATGTGAATAAATTCAAACCTAATGGGGAAGTAGAATTAATCGCATTTGCTTTAAGAATTGGAAAGCAATCGTACGCAAAATGGAAAAATAATAACTAGTGAAAACGCATTTAAACGATACCTAGTTGATATTTTCTGATAAAATGCTAATATCTAACTATTGATTGAATATTAAATATTCGAAGAAGAGATTGGTTATCTACCTACTTTTAGGCAATTATGCTTGCGTATAGCAAATTAATCCATGTAAGTAGAATAGAAAGATTGTTAAAAATTAGTAACATATAAATATGGTAATATGAAATGAGAAATCAATAAAAATAAATTTGGTAGGTAATTATACTAGTTAAAGTTACTACATACTCTGTTCTACAAATATTGTTTTCCTTATACTCAGAATTTTTATTCTAACCTCGTATAATCACTTTAAAAGCCGCCTATTGGCTATTCAAATACTCAACAAACCTACTTCAGATAACATTTTTTTTATAAACTGATAATGGAATTTAGACAAATATTTCACGAAATAAAAAAATATTAAATCGAATACCGCCAAGGTGAATTTTTGCGAAATATCTTCCTTCCATCGAAGACGGCGATCCGCCAAAAAGTAGGCCAACTTTCACCTTAGCTCACCTTGTATACTTTCTTAACGCCAGTACATGGTACCTCGCATAATTTTGTCTTTGTTTTTTAAATAAGTTTCTAGTGTACGATGTCCCTATCAAAACTGGCCGCTGGGATACTCCGGAAGAGGATCCCAACCACCCCATTGTGCGCGTACACGAGTAGATCGAACAGCACCAGCGTGCAGGCGAATCCGAAGAAGCCTGATTGGAACAGGGCCGTCAGCGAGGCCGAAAAAATCGTCGGGTATCCGAATAGTTTTTTAAGTTTAAGGTGGCTGTTGAGTGACGAAATCGCCAATGTGGCGTTGCAGCTGAGGAAATTGGTCGGGTCGAATCATCCCTTACTCAAAACAGCTAAGTAAGTAATTAATACTTTGCATTTTAAAATAGAAACTGTGAAATTTTTTTCTGTACGGAAACGAAATTTCGTATAGTGATTTCAAAGTCAACTGAATGTAGTAGAAGAATTTTAATAAGACCGCTCCCCTATAGGGGTACAAACACATAGAATGTGCTGTTAATAAAATTTATAAGAACTTTGTGATTGTAGATAATTTGTCATTCTATACTTACTACTATTTGATTGACTTTGGAAACACTATATCATCATGAAAGTACTAAAAAATAGTTGTGCTAGTTGCGCCCAAAATGAACCAATCCATAATAATTCATCCTTAAAATGTTTTATTATTCTTCTATTTTTACAACACCTTAGTTAACATTTTACTCCATTATTAAAATAATCCTGAAAATACCTGTGCTACTACATGTATCTAAAAATCTGCACATTTCGATATCAATATCAATTTTTATTTCATTAATTTATTTACATTGATCGTATTATATTTGTTCTGCTTATCACATAAATTTTGGGTACTCAAAATTGCTGCGTTATCTAAACTTACTTGCACTTTAGATCAAAATATCAACATGATGATTTTTATTAATATTCTCCAATGAATTACCTACTATTTCACCATGGTTTATTTTCTACAGAGGACTGTTATACAATGGCAAAAACAACATGCAAGCATGGGGCCTGATAGTCCTGCTGGTATCCAAAGCTGCGGGACACTCACCCGACATTCCCGACATGGAACAGGACAAATCAGCAGGAGTTCTGCACAGCCAAAGAGCTCTGGCCGAAGTAACCGAGATGATCCGGACTAGCCATTTGGTGCACAAGGGCCTGGTGAACTTGCAACCTCCCATTAAAGTGGATGCATTAGGTAAGTCCACAGAAATCCCTTTATGTAAAAAATAAGAAGTCTAATTAAATTTCCGAAATCGCAGGCGACATGATATCGGGCAACAAAATCGCGCTCCTCTCGGGGGACTACCTCCTCAGCAACAGTTGCGTGGAATTGGCCAATCTAAAAAACCAAGAATTGGTGGAATTGATGAGTTCTGCTGTTAGGGATTTGGCAGAAGCGGAGTTCGTGGAGCCTAGAGACATCCAAAACGCCCCTTTGCCGGCCAAACCTCGAAGCGACGGGAAAGGCTACGCCAAGTTCGTCGAGAGCAACATGGAGCCCCTGGCGGTGGGAGAAGCCCTAGGTGATGCTCGAGCTGAGTGGACTATGCGGCATGTTTTGAATGCAGGTATAATCTACAGGAGATTTATTTCGTGCATGTAAATTAAAAGTGGTTTATCTATTTAGGTAGTCTGCTGGGCAAATCCTGCCAGGGTACCCTAAAACTTGCAGGGCACTCGCCAGAGTTGCAGCAGAAAGGCTATTTATTTGGCAAACATCTGGCTCTCGCATGGCAAGCTTGTCTGGACAGAGAACCCTTCTCTCCCGGATCCACGGGGTCTTTCAGCCTCATCAGCGCTCCGGTTTTATTCACTTTGCAGCACAATCCTGATACTTACAGTTTAATTGAGAAAGGTAATTTTAATTCAGCAGTAAATTATTTAGATTCATTTCACTATTTAAATTAATTTAATTTATGCAATGCTCCGGATTCGCTCTAATATGTGCTTAAACACAACTTGGTATGATACTACTTAACCATTAATGAGCGTTTTGATTAACTTTTAGGATTAGACGATATCGAGAAAGTCGATTTCGGAGCAGTCCGGAAAGCCGTGCTGGACGGGCCGGGCTTGGAAATAACGAAGGTCCTGCAAAAGGAGCACTCGCAAGCGGCGCTGGAAGTGCTCAACGAGCTTCGCGATTGCGACGCCAGGACGGCCCTGAAAAATATCATCGTGGCGATGCAAGATTAGATAGATAGCTGTTTTAAGTTACGAGTAAATAATACAAAAATGCAATTTTTCATATATATTTTTTATAAAGATTAAATGGAGTCCTTTGTACATGTTGGATAATCTAGTCTCTAGTCTGATATTTTTCGCTGTAGGTAATTTTGTACGTTGTTTTTGTAAATACCTACTTATCTCTATATACTGATTGTTAGATCAATGTTAGATAAATGTATACCTGCAAAAATGCAATAATTTTAAATTCCTGCAAATGTAAATGTTTTTAATGATTTTAGGTAATGATAAGAATTTATTAAACAATAAATATAATTAGTTTTACTACTGTTTTACTCTTATAGTATTTTTATAAAGGTTATTTTACAAAGAACAGTTTGGTTATTCTTGTTATTTTTGAATATTTCGCTTATTTCAATGAGTATTTTACTCGCCAATACCAGTATTTGCTTTCTATAACGCTATTGAATGATAAAAAATCCAAAACCTTCCCAATAAAAAAAATCATTAATTAACCTACTTATTTTCATAACCACTCGGTATAATAAAGTTCATTGCTACAATAATCCGTCGCGCTTCATTAACGTTACCCCGGTTACATTCCACTGAAAGCAAGATACAAACATGTCAATCCTGCATTGCAGTTTGTGATTGAAATTTAACATTTTTACACAATTTTTTTTGAAAATAACCAAGTACCTGTAAGAGGTGATGACTAGTTGTAGCAGTTCAGTATCGGTACCCTTAAAGTCTACCAATGCCAATGATGACCACAGGTAAGGAGCTTCAAACTCGCTTTTATGTGAAGAAGCTTTGACAAGATTACGAACGAGCTTCTTGTTAAAAGTTAAAATATCAACCAATGAATCAAAGGTTTGGATTAAACGCTACATAATGAATTTACATGTAATTAGCAAGTGCTTATAGCTAGAGAAACTATTAGAGGTTGTTTTTTGTAGGAGTAAAAGTTGTGATTCGGTATGTACAACAAACTCCAGTTGCATTTTGCAGAGAAGGAAACCGAAAAATCCTCTTATGTATGCGAACAGGACGAGCTATCCGAAATTCACCCCTACCAGCAACACGGTGAAGCAGAGGGTGATGTCCGCTAAACTTCTCAAACTCAGATCATTACAGAGTCAATTGAACGACGCCAATTATCACGTATCTGTGAGTGAATTCTAATAAATTACGCTCCATTTGTACAGCCAATTATTTGCAGGAATTGACCAAAGAGAACCAAACTTTAAAGAACCTCCAGAAACGCCAGGATAAGGCATTATCCAAGTAAGATGCTTCTTCTTTAGTCTCAAGTTTGATAAAATATTACGAAATTTGTAGATATGAGAACTCAAACGCAGACTTGCCCCGATTGATACGAGGCCACGAAGAGCAAATACGAATTTTAACGGAAAAAAACAAGACTCAGAGGAGCAAAATCCGCGAACTCGCCGAGATGTTGAAAACCAAAGAGGAGGATTTACTGCGTTCTCAGGAAAGAACGGCGCACCTGGACAAACTGACCAAAGACAAACGTTTAGTAGACAAGGAAAAATTATTAGAGCAAATCGAGGAATACAAGTTGAAGCTCCAGAAAGCGGAAGAATTTAATAGTATCCTAAACAGGAAATTAGCAATAGAAACAAAAATATCCAAGCAGAGATTGAACACTGAATGTATGAGGCACAAATCCACTCACAGGGAGTTAACTCAAGCCTTAACAGAAATTAACCGACTGACCAGTTTATTAGAGGTAAATTTACAGTAGTTTCCTTTTGTAAATTCAATAATAACTTTAATTCCAGTCCAAAAACATCCCCGCAAATCCGAAAAAGAACAGATTCACTCGGCTCCAGTCAGTCTCTATGATAAACTTAGGCACCGAACGAGCGCCGCAGAAGGCCAAGAAAACTGATAAATTGGCGACCATAGAGGACGACGTTGAAAGCCTGCCGGACAAAACGCCCGTTTCGAACGTTAAACTGGAACCCATCAGGTTCAAGAACGATGAAACCATCAAAAAATCCAATGGGATCTTAGATTCGCCTTCGGAAAATATCAAAAATCGGTTGTCGAGCGGCGGTTCCAAGTCTAGGGAAAGCGGCGAGGATTTCAACTCCTCTGGAGAGGATGATAACAATTTTGGTGCATTATCGAGTAAGTGGAATATTTACTCATCATTTGTGTTGTGTTGTCATATTCATTATTTGATTCTAGATAATGGATCAGAAGTGTCATTGAGCAACTATTTGGTGTCTGATGAAAATAAACCAGAAGAGTTGGACGATAGCGACAGTTTAGAAAAAATTAACCCGGAATTGGACGCTGCTTTTAAAAAAGCCGAAGAGAACGTCATCAACGATTTCAACAAAAAAGTGGAGCCCTATTGCAAGGACGTCCTGCATAATGCACGAGAAGCGACGCACAGGGTATGCCAATTTAACGATAAAATATTAAGATTCGAAGTTTTGTGTTTCTACAGGTGAACGAGCAAAAAGAGAGTTTAATAATATCCAAAAAAGACACGAACGTAATCATTGAGGCGTTCGAGAAAACGCAGAAATTGGAGGACAAACTGAACAATTCGTTCCTGAACTTCGATCCTCTGAACGACGATTTCTTGAAATCCTTTTTGACGGAGAAAAAAGCGGACCAGAACGGCAACGAAAAGAAAGATTCGAAATTTGGCGAGCCGGACAGGAAGAAATTGCTGAACACGCTGAAAGCCATCGACGATGGCGACAGCTTCGACTTCGACGAAATACCTTCGCACAAAAATTTTTCTAGGGGAATGAACCAGTTGGTTGGCTGAGGAGTTTGTTTGACTGTATGTTTATTTCGAATTTGTTGTTCGTTTTGGAACAGCCGAAAGGAATAAAATATATATTTATATACCGAAATTGTATTTATGATTCTGGTGTTTTGATAAAAAAATATTCACATTCAAAGAAGTAGGTATGTATTATTCAATTTCTGGAATTAAACTATTGAGTTAATTTTCATTCAAATTCATTCTAGTACTTTCATTGAGGAGTCCTTGTTGTTTTCTTAGGCGTTGGTCATTATAAATTCAAGTTGTTTTTTATGATTTTTCATCGTTATTTGCACTTACCCATATAAAGATTTAACATTCCTTTTTCGAATTTGATCAATTTTGAATAGAATGGAACAAGACTCACACCCGTATCTACATAATACATTATTCTCGTAATTAAACATAAAATTTTTATTCTTGTAGACTTCATTTTACATAACTGTACATACATTTATTTACAATAAATCCAATAATTTTTAAAAATCCTCGTCGCTTTTCATTTTACATTAGTTTCCTAATTTATTATTTACATACACATGATGTCTAAATATAATGTAAAAGACTTATGAAATTTAGGGGACTACCCATATTACTTTACTATTTTGTTTGACAGAAGTTTTAGATATTCTCATATTAATTCTTTTCTTGTTGCAAATTCAATACAACTTATCCAGTTACAAACCGTACATCAATTTATATGGGTCACCCTGCATTATCAAATAAAAGTAATATTACACATTAAATTTTACATCTGCATTGACCCTGTGTGCTTGATTTTGAGTGTCCCACAATTGCCAGTACAAACCAGATTGATTTTGAAGCAACGATTCGTGTGATCCTTGATCACTGACCTGCCCGTTTTCCAAAACGATAATTTCATCAGCGTCCATGATAGTGCTCAGTCTGTGAGCGATGTAAATGCTGGTGCGATCTTGACTAGCGTTTCTCAGAGCTTTCAAGATATTCTACAAAATATTACATTTTAATGTATGCAATTATTAATTTATTCAACTTACGTGTTCGGTAATTGAATCTAGTGAGCTAGTAGCCTCGTCAAACACTAGAATAGGCGAGTTCTTCAAAATGGCTCTAGCTATGGCAACTCTCTGTTTTTCTCCACCGCTTAATTTGAGCCCTCTTTCTCCCACTTGGGTATTATACCCGTTCGGCCACGTTATTATAGAATTGTGAATTTCTGCTAGTTTTGCTGCTTTTAAAACTTCTTCTTCTTTAGCTTGTAGGTCTCCGTAATGAAGATTGTGCCTGTATGATTAAATCATTGTTAATAGAGAATAAGTAAATTGCGTTAAAAAAACTCACATAATTGTATCGTGGAATAAAACACTATCTTGGGGTACAATAGCTATCGATTTACGAAGACTCTCCATATCTACATCTCTTATATCTTGGTTTCCAATGAGTATTCGACCGTTTGTGGGCTCGTAAAAGCGGTACAGAAGACGAATCAAAGTAGATTTACTGGAAGTTTTTGCATTATTGGAAGTAATTGTATTATTTAAAGCGCACTTACCCTGAACCAGATCCACCAACTATGGCAACTTTTTTGCCCGGTTCGATAGTCAAGTTAAAATTTCTCAAAATTTCTTTTCCAGGTACATACTCAAACGAAACGTCTTCGAATTTTATTGGAGTTTTTTTGCGATCTACGTACAGGTAAGGTGCATTCGGTTTGTTCTAAAAAATACATAGTGAGAAGATATACCAAGGCAGGGTATGTGTCATTACTAGAGCTTGGAAAATATGCACTAAAAACTGGCAAAATATGCACTATAAACCTTCAATTTATGCACTTTTAAACGCGTTTGGAAAAATAAGAAACAACCAGATGATTTTTTAATGGGATAGAATCATTTAAAACTGTCTAGAATCATTTACAACGATCCAGAATCTTTTAGAAATGTCTGGAATCATTTAGAATATAGAATATACACTAATTTATACCCAATAAGGGCAACTTAAATACCAAGTGTGTGTTTAATAGCCAATGAATGGTATGAATTGCAATGAGACGAACCTTTACAGCACTTTCCATAGTCATTAGAGTGAACATTGTTTGCATATCTATAAGGGCTTGCCTGACTTCTCTGTAAACGCTTCCCAGAAAGCCAAGTGGTATTGATAGCTGGAATAAAAGCCCATTAACCATTACCAAATCCCCAACAGTCATATTTCCTAGATAAAATAGAAACAATGTACATTGTAAAAGGTTTTCCAATTGTTGTGTCCAATGACACAGAGTTCAATGAGTTTATTTTATTCCTTCTGTAAGAACAGCGCAATAAAACAACTCGATTTTTATCTACTCAAGTTATCTTTACCTTTAACAATTTCGTTAGCAGCTAACAACATAATGCCACTAAGGGCAGCACTGAATATGGCATTTTGTCCAAAGTTTAGTAGAGCCAAACTGGATGCTGTTTTCAAACTAGCATGTTCGTATTTCTTTAATGAACTATCATATCTTTCGCTTTCGTATTTTTCATTATTAAAATACTGCAACAGAAATAAATAGAATCCAACAACTTAAGCGAATGAATTATACCTACTTTAACAGTCTCGTAGTTTATTAATGAATCTACAGCTTTGTTCCCGGCTTCGTTCTCGGCTTTATTCATGTATACCCTAAATTTGGTCCTCCATTGAGTCACTGTTAAAGTGTACAAAGCATATACTCCTACACAGCTCATTGAAATACCTAAAATATAAGAAAATTAGTACGATGTTAGTGGAAATATTATAAAATTTACCAGCAAACACGGCACCGCATTTAACACCGAGAATTGATGAAACCAAAGCTAATTCAAACACTGTTGGAACTACATTAAATACCATAGCAGAAAGGACGAAATTTATACCTCTGGAACCTCTGTCTATTGTTTTTGATAGCGCTCCTGGAAAATTGAGATTGATAAATTATGATAAACCAAAATAATTGCATAATTACCAGTTTGCCTTTGAAGATGAAACGACATATCGAGATTATGCAAATGAAGAAAAACATTCTTGGCTATCTTTCTAATAGAATGTTGCGCTACTTTGGCGAACACAGCGTTTCTCAATTCGTTAAAACCCGCGGCCCCAGCTCTAGCTATACCATCTACAATAATTATAATCGTTAAAGAAATATAGCAATAAGTTAATATCATGTACTTACATCCTAATAATAAACTCGTGGCAACAGTGGCTACCGTCTCGGGAGCCGTATCCATATTTAAGGTATTGCCCACGTTTAAATAATCAACAGAATACTTAAACAGGAACGGGACACATACATTTAATAACTTAGAACCAATAAGTAACGATACGGCTAGTTTAACTCTATCCCTTATTGCTTTATCATTTTCCGGCCATATGTATTGTAGCATATTTTGAACCATTTGTTTGCCAGTTACAGGACTTTGCTGTTTCAAAGGCAACGTTTCCCTGGAGAGTACAGAGGCTCCCGGGTGAAAACATCCTCGTACTGGCTGAGCTTTCGGCGTAAATGAAGCTCTTACTTTACCAGCTATAGCTAAAATGCCCCCGCTGATTGACTTCTTTTCGGGTTTCTCAGTCTTTTCAAAATTACCCTAAAATTTAAATATTAGTCTTACATAACCTATATCATGTATAAGGAATATGAATTTTACCTGTGTGCTGTAATAAACTGCATACTTATGAATGGAAAAGAGGTGCCTATTAACAGTAATTACTTTTACTTTAGTGTTAATACAATTAAAACCTATTCTACTTGAATTCAAGACGGCAGCCATTGTAGCCTAATTACCAAACCAAATGAACTATTTGCTCATTACCTTTGGACTAATGTGAAATCTTTAGATGTTAAAATTAATTTACCATTTCTTTAAAGCAATCAACATGACACAACAAATTGATAATATTGCATCAACAATCTACAAAGATAAACAAAAATTAATTCGATTGTTGACATTTTTGGTGCACGTTTGCGTACTACGTAAAAGTCACCTAATAATGACATATAACCAAAGAAATGTCATACAAAAGAAAAAATAATCTTGTAACATTGGAGAAGTTAGTTACAAATCAATGTCAAAGTCATTAAGTCATTTCCAGTTGAAAATTGTTTTTGTTTTTATTCAATAATAATCGTAACATTTTCATCGAGCTGCAGTAATAATGGTTCAATTTCCTCCAGTCACTCCGGAGGTAAAACCTATAGCCCATCTCCTGAAGCTCGCAGACGAACATGAAGAGAGAAACATAGTAGTTACCTATTGGGGTAAGTTTTGCTAGTCGTAATAGCTATTTTTATCGATTACTTATTAGTGTTATTGTTTCAGCCCGAATGGCAGGTTGTTTGCTGGCTCTACAATTAGTGCCGGGCCACAAATCACCAGCTACGTCCGAATTAATGCGTGCCTTATTGGATTGGCTAGAACAAACAAAGAAAGCCAATCTCGATAACGAGGGAATAACTAGCGAAACAACAGCACAGGCTCTCATCGAGGAGTACGCTTTACGTCTGTTTGGTTTTGCCGATCAACAAGATCAAGCCCAAGTTTTCAACAAGTACGGATTTGTATAGAGACAAGAATGACTGTATACACGTTAATGATGTACTTTTTTAGAAATACAGTCAAAACGTTTTACACAGCGGGTATTCTGATGGACGTATTGGATCAATTTGGGCCCCTGCCTGATGATATAAGGGAAAAAAGGAAGTATGCCAAGTGGAAGGCGGCTTACATTCACAATTGTTTAAAAGCCGGCGAAACTCCATTATCCGGACCTCCTCGATCCTATAATGAAGATAACGACAACGATGGCATTGTGCATAACAGCCAACTTACTCAAGAAGAACTTTCCACTTACACCAAGTACACCGGGCCAGTTAGCTTTGATGGTAAGAGTTTTTTGTGAGACCTACAATCTACGAGAATAATTTTAAATATTTGCGTTTACAGATGAGAAAAAGCCCGAAACACCAGCCTCTCCGCCGCCGGAAATACCGTTTATGCCCCCAAAGCCGATAGTCCCGGGGTCCGCTGATAATTCTCCCGTTAATCCAGTTGCCCCTGAAAAACCCAAAACACCTCCAGCAGTTACTCCTCCCGAAGCGTTCGTTCCATTTGTACCTACTCCAACTCCTGCAGCTCCTGCTCCAAAGCCATCTGCGTCTGGATACACGCCGCCTGCAGACGTTATTCAGAAGGCTCAGAAGTATTCCAAGTTTGCTACGTCTGCGCTGAATTACGACGACGTTAAGAATGCTGTGGATTATTTGCAAAAGGCTATGAATTTGTTACAGTGTGGATCGGAAGAATAGTCAAATCAACAGCTATGTATCTACAGGAATAATTCCATAGAAATTGTTTCTTCCCACTATGAAAATAATGCTTTAAATTTGGTAATAATCATGGTTTTCGAAGCTGATACATTTGTTTAATTGATTCTAATTATGCATTTCACGTCTAATTAACAAGGTTTCTCATTGATAGAGAATGTTGGAATTATTTCTTTAAATTAGTGGTAGTTTTTATTGTTACTGCTTTTACTTTTATAAAAATAATTGTTTTATGTGATCGATAATTAAGCATTCTAACTGTACAGTCCATTAGAGGAGTATTTTTGAAAAAAAAACAAAACCTCAATTAAAAGCGCTTAAACTAATCTAAAGAAATGTATGGCAATAGCACTATTAATATTTTGTTTATAATATAATGTATAGTTTTATAATTGATGCAAATATATAATAAAATGTGTTTTGGAGTCGTTTTCGAACGTTTCGTTTATCCTGAGCCATTGATTTTTTACCTATTAGGAGGAAAATGTAATAAAAAATTGTGATTAAACAAAAATGACTAGAAAATTATATTTACAACTAAACGGCAAATTTCATACAGTTTCAAGTATATTAATCAAGGCATTTTTGGCTTCACTTTCTGGAAAACTCTTCAATGCTTCTAAACTGTTATTGACAAATTCGTTCTTTAATTCTAGAGACTTTTCGATACCATTACCACTTAAAACGATGCTTCTAATCTTTCCGTATTGTATATCATCATTAGTTATGGATTCCACAAGAGTTTTGTAAAATTCCACATCATCTTGGATGTGAAACATCAAAGGTGCACTTATTAGACTGAAGGGCCCAATTTCGCCAGATCTAAAATAGGTTATGTCTTTTCTCACTTGTAACGCTAAAGCTGTATTTCTGCCAAATATGTAGGAAGCTTCTTCAAGATGTCTCGGCTGTTCTGCCAATACCAGCGTTGCCTGTAAATTAAATCTAAATAAAAAAATACCTGACTGAATTACGGGCTTACTTGACAACATTTTCCCAGCAAACTAGCCCCTCCCAAGAGGTGTCTTAACGTCCATTCGGCCTTAGCATTCCCTAATACTTCAGAAACTACCAGCACATCTTTATCGAAATGATGTGGAACTGGAACGTCTTCTTTTTGAGGTACAGGCTCAGCAGGATAGGGCTGATTTTGTCTGAAAAAATTCCACTTTATTAGGAAACATCTGTACGAAGTATGTGGGAATTACTTACCTGTTTCTCGGTTCAATAAAATCTGCTTCGCTCAAGTCTCTAAGACATGTCGATACCAATTCGTTTACTCTATAACAATTCAATCCTGCTAACTCCCGAAAACTTGTGCTTAATAGGTAATCTCCCGTGAGCAATGATAATTTATTCCCGAAATGGAGATCATCGTAAAATTCGTCGTTCTTAGAAATGTTCAAAATACTTTTGTGAATAATGTTACTTGTGCGAACCATTTCAGTTACTTCGGCCAAAACCCTTTGGCTATTTAATACCCCTAAAACATACTGTATAATAAATAAATAATCATAATTTCATGAAACTTCATTACCTGCATTAATATCACACTCGACAGGTGAAAATTTCTTGTTCAAACCCGCTGCTTTCGATATTAATAAGACTAGAAGACCCCACGAAGGGGATTCTTTATTTATTATTAGCTCTCTAAAATGAAATAGGTTCTTTAAAATTGAATTAATGAATGTAGAGCAAGTTACCTGGCAGTATTGATTAGAGGATGTTTAGTTCCAATCAGTTTCTTTAGATTAAACGCAATATTAGCTACCTCATCGTTCAACAACCATCGTAAACTTAAAAAAGATGTTGAATAACCAATAACTTTTTCAGCCTCATTCACTGCTTTAGTACTACGTTCTATTGTGCTCAATTTTCGATAGCAAATGAAAAATGCGCGTTTTGTATTCTGTAATTTTCCAATATTGTCTATTACCTTACATGCTAGGTTCATCTTATTGGAAAAACTATACGTTGCGAACATTAATTCGCATTGTACTATTACACAGTTAATTAAATACTAGTTCTAATGTTCTAGTCGATTCTCTCGATTGCTCATAAATCTACATTTGAACTTGAAATTCTGATTATTTCCATTTTTTTAATTCACCTGACGAATTATTTGAAGCATTTGAAGGTTATCTGGACTTGTACTTATTGAGTTAACAGCAATACACGTGACAAGGTGACCTTCTTCTGCTTCGGCTCTTCGCCCCTTTCTGTGTTTTTTTCGTGCCCTTGGTCTGGATAGAACAATTTGCCCTGATCACAGCAAACCAGATATACTTGAAATTGATTTGATTAAGTCGTAATTGTAATGTTACTGTCAATGTAATTCTTTATTATGTAATTTTTTATTATGTATGGACAATAGTTAGAATATTTAGTAAAAGAAAAAGAAGAAGAGAAAATTTAAAATAATTTATTTTTATGGTGAGTAATTTCGTTAAATTCGGGAAAATTGCGGTAAGATGTTTTGGTATCAAATTGATATTGAATACGTCATCAATTCTATTTGAAAATGTATCATAATATTGTTGGTATCAAATTTTTATGTTTTCGAGTTTCTCTATTCATGCTACTGCTACTATATTTTATCATTTCCTACTTTCTTTTATAATTTTGGTATCCCAAGTGAGATATGTATTTATATTTATTTAATTATTTTATTGCCGACTGCTTGATTATTAAGAGTACATTTGTATGTATTGGTGGTTGCCTATATATCAGTGCCTACACGGATTTTATTTTGTATAAATCTTTCAAATGCAATAATAAAAGAATTGATTTCTGAAATTGCCTCGTTCTACCTATGCTGTTGCTGTTCCTAATAAGTTTATACTTGGAACTACTGATTTTTTTTTATTTATTGGCTCATTAAACATCGAGTAAAATATTACTTAACACATCCTTAGCATCATTATCAGGAAACTTGTTTAAAACTTCCAAGCAACTATTGACTAATTCCGTCTTCATTTCCACTGATTTTTGGAGACCGCTTCCATTTGCAACTAACTCCCGGATACAATCGTATTTGAAAATATCGCACTTGCTGAAAGAATCTGTAATCGTTTTGTAATCGTCCACATTGTCTTGAAGGTGGAACATTAAAGGAGCGTTTGTTAGTAGAAAAGGTGTGTAATTCCCGGGTCGAAATATGGAAATCTCTTTCCTTAATTGCATTGCTAAGGCTAAGTTCCTTCCTAATATGTAAGCTGATTCCTGCAATTCCTCAGGTTGGTTTGCAAGCACTGTAGACGCCTGTAAAGTACAAATCTATTATGTTTCATGTTTTACATAAAGCTTGTTAGCATACCTGGCTAAATTTTGCCATTATGTGTGCCTCATTTGTTAGTTGCCTCGCAATCCATTCGGATTTGGCATTGCCTAATGCATCACCGTACGATATTGAGCCAGAATCAATATAATTACGAATTACCACGTTTTCTACATTAGATTTAGGTGGAGCAGGAATTGTCATATTCTGGCTGCAAATTTAAAACCAAAAATAAGGAAAAATTTAAGAAAATATAAGGAGCACTTATATCTGTGAAAGTTGTGATATGATGCAAATAAATGAAATTACTTATATTCTGGTGGAATAAATGCAGCCTCAGTGAGGTCTCTTGCGGAGCTAAACACTATTTCATTGACTCTCCAGCTACCTAATGTCGACAAATCCAGCATGCACGTGCTGAAAATGTAATCCCCTGATAGCAGAAGAACCTGATTTGTAGTGCAAATTTCTTCGATGCCTTTTTCATGTCTTAGGATGGTTCGCATGCTCTTATGGATAATGTTACTTAATCGAAGCTTCTCCATTATTTTGGTTAAGGTTGTTTGTGCTGAAAAATTGTTAGCTTATTCTGGTTTTTTGTATTCTTAAAACTCCTTACATTGATTTATGGAAGATTCAAATTTTGAGCCGGCTAGTTTTGAGATCAGCAGTAATAAAAGGCTCCATGATGGAAACTCTTGGTTTGAAAACAAGTTTCTGCAAATAATTTTGATTGTGCGGTTAGTTTATAGAAACAGTTTTTCAATTCGCAGATTTACCTTGTATATTCTACTAGAGGATGTTCTGCTACGGTTTCTATAAACGGCGCAATTTCCGTGTTATTCACCAACAACCACTCCTGGTTCAAATGAGAAACTGAATTCTCCACAATTCTTTCGGCTTCTTTTACGACTTCGCTCTCGCAATCAAACGGTTTGGTAAAAATATGGTTACATTTTATTGAGGAATATATGCATTTTGCGATTGGTTTCGATGAACGTCTACATGCAATATTCATTTCGTATTTTAACACTGAATTAATTTTATAACTAAAAATTTTAATAACAAGATTATGAACTGCGAGTTTTTTGGGTATAAACAAATCTACAGCTATTTCTATTCAATTTGTATTATCGTCAGAATTGAATTAAATTAGAATAGTCTTTAAAAATGCGAGTGTCAAAATATTTTTATATTTCATGCATTTTTATTAGTGAAATTTTTAAATAAACATACACATGTACAATCGGACTTTAAGAAACGAGGAAATATACCTATGTATTCTGCCAATTTATGCAAGTATAAAGGTATAAAATTTATAGTGCTATAAATTTATAAATCAGTTTAGGTGGAGGCTTTTGAAAGGCTGGTGTATGCGTGTGAAATTAACATTTTAAATTTGCGAACTTGTTTTCATCGTAATGCAACAAATCCATTTTTCATCCGTTTTTTATTTCGGATTGAAGACAGCCAGAGGCTTAACCCAAATAACGCTTATTAAAAAATAAGTCAGTACTTGTTCGATGAAAATAATTAATAATAATAAATTTCGCTGTATCCGTTATGCATTTTGAAACCCCTTCATATAATATGCAAAAGCCAGCGCTAAATACGGCTATCTGTATCTCATAAATTTTTGAAAAAGAAAATACCACAACGTATAGCTCTACTGGATTTAAAATCCCTTAAGGATGTGCTTTGTAAATAAATTTGCAACTATTGATAGGAAGGTGTATCTTGTTTGCTAAAATATGCATGTATGTAGTTATAAAACGTGTTCCTATACCTATTCCAACGTATATTATCAGTAAGAATTGAGTGAATTTGATGAATTTAACTTATTTTGATCAATTTATTTACCAAAAAAAGGTTTAATTAATTAAATTAAAAGACAGAAATAATCCAAAACAACAAAAAATTCGTATTTAATGGAAATAATAAAACGGTATAAGATTTATTTATAATTACACTACTTGTAATTACAGTCTCTCGAACATGTTTTAAAATTTTTGACCTATATTATTTTTTCATTTAATAATTATAACAATGTTCTAAAGGAAATTAATGATTTATAACTGAAGCGATTTCTCTTTCTCCCATAGGGTGATCAATTTTTCGTAAATATATAATTTTTAGAATAAGAAACGAGCAATAAATCAGAGCGGGTGATTTTTTCGAATATTTTTTCAATACGCACATTATATCGCTCGCTTCATATTTCGCGGATAGGTGGTTATTATCTGTTGAATAAGAAAGATTACTATAAAAATGTGTATCGTGTTCACGTACTTTTTCGTGTTAAAATGGTATAAATCAAGCGACATGGAAATAACAGTGTTTAAGTTCACGGCTAGTGGGTAGGAAAACTGCATTACAAAAGATGAAGATGGGGGTCGGCGTTTTATTATGGTACCGCGAAACGGCCTAGAGTGCACACACCACACCTATCGGAACTTTTTTTCGATATATAATTGAATGCCAAGGATATTTATTTATAGATCTTATTCATTGACCCGGATGGAAGTAGGAAGAAGAATTGAAATTATGTATCAGGTTAAGGTTATTCTATATGAGGCTAAGTTATTATCAAATTAATAACAGATTGTGGCAGGTTAGTTAAAGTACAATGTTAATTTTACCTTTCTGGTAAAATGGAAGTAATGTACAATTGATTTAAGAATTTTAACATGTAGGTAAATGATGTAAGTGAACTTGAATCAAAAAATTGCAGAGAAAAATATTACCTATTAAATCAAACCACTCTTCTATACAAATTACCATATTGGTATTGTGCACATACTTCACTTTCTTGTCGCTCTCAAGAATTACCATTTAACTATCAGTATTAATTAGCTTGTGCAGTACTTACCGTTACTACCTATTAAGTAATTATTTGCCATCTACTTATACTTATATAAGCATTAGGTATAGGTAATAGAAATCAAATCATTTAGTTGTTGATTGATTTTTTATTAATCGCATATTTCAACTGTATTAATTGAAGCAACAAAATATTTTTCCTGAATCAGTTTAAACCGTCTGGAATTTATTATAATTAAAATAATAAAAATGTCTAATTTGAAATTAAAAAAAAATATATTGGATTTATTATGTAAATATTTATAATGTAAATTGGGCAATTAATTTAATGTGATTTGTTGAATATTTTCTTCTTCCTATTACCAAATATTCTGACAACTTTGCCTGTATCTAAATACTCCGTTTTTTATAGCGGTATAAAAATCTTGGGCACATAAAATAAAAAGCAAAATCGGTTTTAATTAAGCTAAAGCGTTTCTTCCATGAGCCCAATCTCCTCCTTTTAGGTAATTAAAGTCGTGAGGTTCTTATGTCAAAATGACCGCAACGTATTGCTCGTTTAACTTTTTGTCTAAAATCACATCTTCTAAGAAAGTGTTAATAATTCTTGCAGCATTGTAACGCGTGACATTTTAGTAATTGCTAGATCTCACAGAAGAGGCAAGAGATAAAAAATAATTAATGTGGAGTACCGGAGTACTCCGGCCCGCAATCGCACGGTTCTCTTTTATCAGAAATGTTTAGGCTGTCGCTGGATCCGACATTTTTACGCGTAGATATTATAATTGGCGTAATTTTCGTTTTTATATAGGTGCAGAAAGCTGGCATATTATTCAGTTAATTTAGTATTCTGGACTATTAGACGAGCCTTGTTGAACGAAATGACATGAGCCGGGTCAAAAGTACTGCTTTGGATATTCTAATTGCTCGTGCACTGTGGGCAATTAATCAAATTGTCACGAAATCATCTACCTACCTATATGAAACGTGGAGAAGAAATGTTCTCACAATCAAGATATTTTTTTTAATTATATTACGCTGAAATTTCAACGACTTACTCGCTCGAATTAAACAAGAAAAATTTTTTAACTCTAATTAAAAGGAATTTATGGATTCGTTTTTGATGTAAATGGGAATATTTGTTAATAAATTGTATGTTAACGTTGGTACAGGATGAGATGATGAGTCATCAAAGTAATACTTTAATTAACATGAGGAGATTTTTATTTTTTTAAAACCAGTTTATTCTGTAAAATACTAAAATGCATAATGTTGGTATGTACCTATAGTTATAGTAGAGATATTCAAATAGTTCAGATAGTTCAAAATTTTTTCGTTTTGTCCTGCGACATTTGTAGACGAGAACATGCTACAGAGGGTTCGTGATTCAATTATAAATCGTGTGAATGTTTGCATTGAAGTAGGCGGCGATTTGTTTGAACACCTTTTATAAATTATTCGTTTTTATGTTTTTTATGTTTTTTATGTTTTTTATGTTTTTTATGTTTTTTATGTTTTTTATGTTTTTTATGTTTTTTATGTTCTTATGTTTAATAATGTTTCTTTGTTACTTAGTTTTAATTAAAGTTTTAGTTGAATTTAAAAATTTTTGTTTTTTATCAATAACTCGGTTATCAAGGACAAAACGAAAAAATTTTATTCTTAAAATTTAATTTGTTTTAGCCCGCTGAATCATATTCTGAAAGGACGGGCGTGAATTTTGGGACACCCTGTATATGCATCCATCTCTTTGAATTTATTGTTTTTAGTAATATTTATATTACTTTAGTAAAATGCCAATCAAAAACTTTAAGGAAATGTAGTGTAATTGGGCTAATATGTTTTAAAAGACTTAAGTGGAAAAAGTCTGAATTAATAGGCTTTTAAATCTATCGAAATCTCTACTTCCTAAGTAGGTAATTACGGTTTATAGGAAATGTAGGTAAACATTAAATTTTAATAATTATTGAAATTCCTTCAAATTTCCTTTTTGTGAGCCCAATGATCGGCGAATGTGATTGATTTGACACATTTATTGATTTATTGCACTACTGGTAGGCAGGTACATATTTTATAAGAGTCGGAGAATTCGTGTTTTTCACAACAAAATCCATATATTGCGAATGTTTAATGTAAAAGCTATTTTATGTTTTTTAGGTACTTTGCTAATTTTTTGTCCATTGTTTCTTTTTAGATGATGTCTTTGCTGATCGAGAAAATGGAAAATGGGGTGACGAAAGAAGCCATAAGATGGAAAAAAGAAGAATTGAACCAATTTATTTATAAAAAAAATTACTATACCCAGTGATAAGATGTTTGTGATGTAAATAGGTAAGTCAAGCATATATTTTTATTATTACCTAATAATGTTAATAGATTGTCTTTATACGTTTTTCTCTTTAAAATGGTGTGGATTTTGTGGTAAAAGTAATTATCTATGATAAGGTAAAATAAAGCAAAAATATCACTCATGAGAGTACCTAACATAAGCACGTACTCAATTCTTTTTATAACAAATTACATTCTTTGAACATCGTAAACCTATAATATCAACGCCGATAACCGTAATCGGTAAAAATTCGCGACCACTTGGCACAAAGCTCTTGATACCCTACATGGATCTCCACCTCTTCGAGTACTACTCTTCCTACTTCTTCTGCTATGCAGGGCACGGTATTGGTCTGATAAGTGATATTTTCTTCTGTGCTCACATTAAGATCCTCAGCAGTTAGTCCGACCTTGCTCACCGGTAGGAGTGCGTCGCTCTTTCGTTTGCTGCCATACGCACGTGGTTTGACGAGTTTACGTAGTTTACGGATTCCGTTTTGATATGTTTATTTCATTGAATTTTAGAAACATGAATGACTAGAATGACTGTCTATAAAAGTCCGTCGATATTTAAGTGCGCTTTTAAAAAATACTTCCATTTGAGTTAATTTTAAAGGTAAATTTACTTTTCTTAATGCTTACGGTACTGTTTGAAATTGATAAAATTGATGAAGCTTTAAGAAGTATATTATTTATGTTAAATATGTATATATTTAATTGATTTAAAATGTAAAAATACTAATTTATTCTGAAATCAAGAAATACGTCTTGACAAAACCTATTTTTAATGGTAAGATGGTAACATTCTCAACAATTTCTAAATTTAAAAAATGCTTAGGAATTTAATTTAAAAATTTGATATTCGGTAGTGAACTATATAACAGAATTTTTGAGAAAGTAATCCATTTTTAAAGAAAGTTTTTAAATTTGTGGGCTTTATGGGCAATCCAAATATGTATGTAGTAAGTAAAAATAAAATATTCAAGTGAGGAAATAAACTCATGTCTTTACAACTAGAAAATTTAGCAGTGGAATTTTAAAATTGAAATTATTGAATTGAATTAAATTTTTATTGTTTATCACGAATTTTTCAAACTCTCTATTTTCCTTTATTAGTGTTATTTTTTTGTTCCCTTTAAAAAATTAATATTTCTCTTTGATAAATATTCTGTTTTCAGAGAAATACTAATAGAAACAGTCATCAGTAAACAAGTCCGTTTGTTTCCCTCTAAATCCATTTAAGTCCATACATTTTTATATGCGTTTGTTGTTTCTTCTTTATATTCTGGTTTCAATTCTTTTGGTTTTTCCATTGGTTATAAGGCAATGTTTAAGTATTATAAACTACACTGAGCGCTTCTTAAATATCCATCATTGGCAGATAACAAATCTGTCGACAATCCGGAGGAAATGTGCCCATAAAAGAAAACGTTATCTTAGAATTTTACGAGAAATTTTTTAATAGAAACTTTTGATTTGTATTCATACATGCAAAGGTAATACGTTTTTTATTGCCACTTGAATTTATTAAGCTTATCTTTGCATCTGTACCATTTCAAGATTTATATTTCATGCGAAAATTCTCGTACAAGCATTCTATACCTAATTAAAATAATTTGTATTTTTATTACAACATTTATTTCTTTTTCCTAGATACATAATGGTTGTTTCTTTACTAACGTTTATCAAAAGTACCTAATAATTGCTTATGATTGACTGGGAATTGGGAATCGTGGGAAACACTCCGTTTTGACTGGATTCATCATAAATTTATTTTCTATCCAAAATTAACGTGTTTACTTTTTATTTTTAACCAGGCATTTAAGATGAATTGATAATCGGATCTAATTTACTATTATTAACTAGGCATTTCATTTTTCAACAACAACAAGGTATTTTATTTTTATCGATATAATAGTTTTATTACCTCTTAATTATCAAGGGCTTGGCTACACATTTTAGTATTTTAATTTAGGATTAATTCTCTTTTATTGTACAAACAACAGCTTCATAATTTACTTTATTTGCAAAAAAATGCTTTGTTATAATTGGTAACTGTAACTAACTTTTGTGAGCGAACATTTTTTGTATATAGGCATTTATAAAGGCGCTTATCTAGATTCGCTGCAGCACAATAGTTAGTTAAACATTTAATTGAAACAGCATTCCCTGTAATCTGATTTATGGAATGAAACTTTGCATAATGACCGTTGACAATAATTAAAACAGAAACCATTTTTCCTAAAAAATTATAATGACGACCTGTTATTAAAACTGAATATAGGTGTCTTGCATTTACTGCTGTGATTAATAGGAGCAATTGATTTTGCCGTTATGTATTGAAAATAAATTTAAATCCGATCCTTGAAATGGTTAAATACAGTCTTGTCCACTTATCATTTCAATTACCGTAATTACTATTATAAGGATGTTACCGTCGTTGCTAACATTTATGTTAAATTAAAAGAAAATGTTAAAAGTTATTACCCGTTTGATTTGCATGTTTCATGAAAATTTTGCTACATAACTACATAGCAATTCAAACTTGACTATAGAGAGATTAAATTTAGGATTTAGGGTGGTTTTCATTTTCATTAACAAAATGTGTTAATGAAACTTCGTTGGATTATTTTTAATGGTTTTATTAGTTACCGTAACAAGTTTTTTTTTAAGACTTCAAATACAGTTTTAACGCTTCAACGCTCACCTTTACAATTTTTCACACCTTCCGCTTGTTCACTTTTCTTATTACTTTTTAATTAATAGCGTGTAATTTTGGAACAATTTTCGAAAAAAAAACTTACAGTTCTTGTTGTTACCTACCTACTGATATTTTTAGCATTTTTTATAAGCATTAATTTCCTTTTTAAACGGTTAGGTAAAAGCGGAATTTGAATTTTTAGATAAAAAGCACTTCTTACCATTTAAATTTTCTTGCAATGCAACTTCTCCACTTTATTTTCAGACACTTTTATTTTCTTATTTTTATTTAGAAAAATATATGAAGAAATTAAATACTATTCAGTTTGTTCATGTATTATATACAGTATTACGTGAATTTATTCATAAGCAGGCATTATTTATATAGACATTTGTTCTATAATAATAGTTATTATGCTATTTTTAATTACATGCATGCACCTAATTGCTGCAGTAACGCTTATACATATTTAAATAACTCATTATTCAACAATAATAATAAAGGCTGGAAGATTTGGTTTGCTCAATTAGAAACCAAGAGAAGTTTTTTTATATAAAATGTAGGTATTTGGAGATACTACTCTCTTGAATATCTACATTAATCAGTTAACACTATTTATTTATTGGGTTACTTACTTCATTATTTGAGCAAAATTAAATGCAGTAAATAATAATGTTTGCAAGTAGATACAAAAGACAGTTTCACTTCAGCAAAAACTTTTTATCTTCATAATTAGCTTATTTGTATTGAGAAATTTTTAGTTTCGTTATAAATTGTTTGGCGAAAATCATTATTATGTTTCAGTCCATTTCTGCAGAACGGTGTTCATGGTTTGTGTTGTTTTTGCTTTTCTAATTACAATTTACTTGTTTGATATTTATGACCCGTGTCCGATATTTTATGGTAGCAGGATGAGCTTTACCAATAACTTGAATCTTAATTATTGTTTTTGTACAATGTTCGTATACAGGGTGATTTTTAATAACATGCTAATAACATGATTGAATTATGTCTGTCGTGAGTAACAAATTAAAAAGAAACAAAGAAATTTTATATTTCACGTTTATGAGGAAAACTGGTTGACGTGTATGCAGTTTATGCGGCCACGTGCACCGTATATTGTGTGAATAATTTGCAGTATTGAATTAAGACCATGACAACAATCGTCACGATGTGTCTTTCAGAAGCTATTCGAGAAGAAACATGTCTTTATTCCAGGAGCACTGGTACACGAATCTCTATACAAAGCATGAAGGAATCGTGAGTCGATTAACTCACTGAACATGTGTAACGGAAGCTGAATTATTTTAATTTATAACTTAAAACTTATAAAATCACTTAATGCAGCTAACGACATAATTATACAGGTGAGATTGGTTCAGGATACCTGGTTTTGCTTTCTTTTGTGTTAGCATGATGCTGTACCTTTCATTATATTCAGCACATCAATAAAATTGTTAAAAATATATTATGCTACATTCATTAATCTTTAAGGGAGTTCAATATTCAGAAGTTAAGACACCATGCTCCATAGAGGGTACGTGTGAAAAATTTCAACTATTTCAGCAATTTTTGATATTGTATGTAATTAATAGAATAGATAGGTAGGTAGGTAAATGAATTAAGTAGGTAGATGAATATATTTTTCAAGGTACCTATTAAGATTAAGCTAACGAGATGTGGTAGAGATAGAAATAATGCTAGCTAAATTAATAATGAACGTAGGACGTTGGATTAATCAACCAGTTTGATTAAAAGAATCCATTTAAATGCTAACGTTTATTTTAAATAGTATCTGATTATAAACCGTTTAGTTGTTTTAATTGGATGATCTGGTTCTGTTTTACTCCATATGTGCTTTTTTGTATTATTTAATATAATAGTTAGAGCTATGTATCACTTACACACGTTTATAGCACGTCTGTAATAATTTACTCAGGCTCTTTACCTTTTCTTATAACTTATTATTAACAGATATTTTTTAAATATACTAAATTAATGACTTTAATTTGTGTGTTTTTAATAGTTCAAGTGCACAAGGCAATTAAAAACACTTATCCATACATATTTATTCCCTTGTTTCATTAAACCAAGAGTTAGTACCAAATTACGTAATAAACTTCAAATAAGTATTGGTAATTAACCGACCATCTTAAGCCAACGTTGCTATAATCAAACGGTCTTTTATTTTAATTGGGTAACAATTTTCTAGTACATGATTATAAAAATTTCATTAGCCAAAATGAACTTCGTTCTTGATGTAATTCTTGTACAAGAATTACTTTATTAAACATGCTTACTTATTAGAATTCTTGTACATGTTGAGACGATTATTAGAAAAAATCAACGCATGTTATTATTAAACAGTACAAAATTACAAATCGGCGTCTTGTTTTAAAGTTAATAAACTTCATTTATTTAATAAGGAAGGAATTGCCACACCTCAACATTTGAGAAATTCTCAAAAATTGATCTGATGCGTTTAACGCCCAATGGTTACTACTACTTGTTCAATTAGTATAAATAAGTATTTAGGCGATAATTGCCGCACCTGCAGTATAGGTAACACGTTGGAAAAAATAACGGGTGTAATTATGCAGCGCATAATATGCAAGTACAAAACGGCCTGGAACTAAGACAGCATAACTAATCTTGTCTACAAATTCAGTTCCGACAGTTTCATGAATGTAGGTAGATACAGGATTGAATCAAATTGAATTTTTTAAAGGCATGTATAGCAGGGTACAAAAAAATGATACTAAAGGCAATTAGGATTTTAATAATTGTACAATGTATCAGGAATGCCACTTAAGTATTAAATCCTTACTTCTGGTACACATCTTCATTTCTCTTTTGCCGCATTTATTGCCGGCAATTAATAAATTATTTACACTTTGTAACACCGCCAAGTAGGTAAAAATAATGTGCACTTAAATGAATTTTTCCCCACCTTTTTATTTTCAATCACCATATCCATTAATCGCCGTAAAAAATCAATAAGCTTGCATTTTTTAAACTCGCATTGCTGAAAAGGATTCGTACGTTTCGTGCCGCAAATGGACAGCATCGTGCACGGTGCAAAAATTCGTTCCGAAGAAACGAATTTGCCCGGTAATTTGTCGGTTTGCCGTATTACGCTCATCATTTCAACGTGATTGACGTACAAACGCTGGATGTATGTAGGTATGCTGCGTTTTTGCCTCTTTGGTTCGGAAAATATTATCCGCAGAATAAGGCGCAATTATTAAAATACCAGCATAATATCCTGGTTTCAAATTAAAGAGCGTCTTATCGGGTAAATACATACAAACAAGTCGGCCGATTTATACGGTTTACTTGGATTTTTAATAATGTTTAATTTATAGTGTTCATTAATTTCAAATAAAATTAATTTTTATTTTATTTCAACGTTCATAAGTTAGCGATGAAGAATATGCTAGGTATGAGTAACGTTGTAGACTTCCATTCGGCGAGAATCATTAAATGCACTATAGTACAAATTTAATCGTTACATTGTAATAGAGTAATTTAAATTAGTATTAAGGAGGTAATAAACATTATACTACTAAAAAAAGTCTAAAAGATAGGTCTAAAAAGCTGTAAATAATTTATTTAAGCATCTAGAAAAGTCCTTAATAGAAAGTTTTTGCAACGTCTTAAATACGTAGAAATAAAGTTTACGCTAGTTTGACGTCCGTTAAATCATTTTTGTCCATTTTTAAATGTCAATCTTATATGTTGATCAGTTTTTCCTACAGCTATATATGGCGAAAAAGCATGTCTAATTAACTTTATTTGTATAATTAACAATAATTTATTACCTTCGATTCATCAAAATCACGCAGGAGTTTTCTTGATTAGCTGACATTAAATTAACAATACCCTGCTGGATACTAAATAAAATTAGTATAATACCTTCTGAAGAATCGCAGATGAGATTAATGAATCTTAAGTGTATATTCAAAGAACTAAGTAATCACGCATACATTGCGAGATTGTAGAGAGCGTTAATTCATTTTTCATATTTCTAATTAGTATAGATCAATAGCCATTTCAACGCAAAGAAAGAAAAATAATGTACCTAGTTGATACTTTATGTTATACTTAGTGGTAAAAGGCAAAAAAGTATAAAAAATACAGTTGAAGGAAATGTTGAAAATCTACATGACAATTTACCTGCTATATTCAATTAAGTCGTAATTCTCGTTGGTTTAAAATAACTAATTGACGGATTACTGACCCAGTAAGCAATAATATTTAATATGAATTGTGCATACAAAAACCTTTATCAGAAGAAAGGTAAGTATGTGGGAAAGAATAATTTTCACAGTTTTAAATAATACCATATTTGAGAAGCTTTATGAATGCAATAAAATTACCAGTTACCAGATTTTTAATAATTTATCCTATTTTAACTAATTGATTAACTGATTTAATTTTAAAACTACTTAATTTTTCAGTACACGAATTAAAAAAGAGAAAATTATATTAACCACAACATTCACGTAAAATTCAATCAGTTCTATTCAATTCAAGATCGCATGTTCAAAATTATAAATCATGACATTTTTAAATGCTATTTTTCGCAAGTAAACAATGTTAGTATGTTAACGGTTTTATTATACTTGTTATTCTTTTGACAAACTGAAAAACTGAAATCGGACAGAGAACAATGTAACCTACTGTTATTTGTTGCAATCGTAAATTCTGGTCCCATTTTTATAGAACAGTCGACAAGCATTTTTAAAGCACCATAAAAATTCCTTTACCTTTAATTTTCATTTAGCTAATAAACTAGCTAATAGAAAATAGAATATGTATAAAAAATTACCAATATTTTTTAGATGCTTTTTTACAGCCGGAACCAAATTAACACCATTTACAGCTATGTATGTAAATGATATCGCCCAAAATCCGAATGTCCGAATGAAACTCGCTAAAAGAATCAACGCAATGACCTATCCTTTTTTTCTCAAATATTTGTTCAATTTCCCCGTACTAACGAGTACAAAGCACGGTGGGCGGAAATAAGGTAAGACAAAAGACGGTTTGTAGACCGCGACAAACGAACAATATTAAATCAAAACACGTTCCGTTTTGTTCCTGTTAAGAAATGAAATCCTTTTCTTGATTCTTTCGTTTCGTCGCTCGTTCGTTCAGAGGTCAAGTACAATACATTGTTAAGAATGCAGAATTTTCTCATGACTCTTTAAAAAAATATTTCAACTTATTAACGCTCTCTTAAACGTTACGATTATGCTAAATAGCTGAAACCAGTGCTTATTTGATAGTGATGGTATTTAACGTACGTTAAAATAGAGTAACAATAGTTAAACGCAACTTACACAAAATAAATCAACTACATTTAAATTTATTACATACAAACACCCTCTACAACAACTCAGTGATATAACAGATTTCAACTAACTCATTAATACGCATAAATCTATTTGTCCAGGAAGTCGTTTTAGTTGTCACAATTAATTAGACTCACTAATAGAAATTACAACTTTTGCGATTCGAGGAGGTGTTAATAACGAAACGAATTTTAATCTTCTCAACCCGACCATCAACAAAGCGTATATCCGTGACGTCTATAATTTTTAATTACACCCAGCACGACATAATTAACACGATTAAACGGAGGAGCAAAGAAGCGCTAATTGATGCATTATAATCGCCAAAGACGTTGACGCCTCGGCAGGAAAATAGATTTGTTTGCTTAACGTAAGACATCATTCACGTTGTCGCGATTCCAGACGTTAAGGTCAATACCGAAAATTGCGGTACGTTATTTTGACATATGCCAGAATAACGTTAACGCCATTTACTTTTTTTAATTAAAGGGTTACTTTGTGGAGCAAATCTGGCTTCATGTATATCTACTATTAATAATGGAGTTATCTAACTTGACAACCTGCAAATATTTTATTAGAAAATAATGAAAATGCATTAACCGAATATAATATACATGCACTCAACTCGACAGCCACGCATTTAATTTAATTTAATACATATCGAAGTGTTAGGAATATTGCAATAAACCAATTACAGCATATTCCATTAAAACTAACAGTTAACTGTAGATATTACAGTAATAATGGCAAATGAAGTATGAACGCGGAGATCGCCATTGTCACGCCGGGACTATTACAATTTTGAAACCGAATGCGTCCATTTCCACCCACTTTACCGTGCGATTTTTGCGTTTATCTGATAGACCTGTTCGATAAGAAGACGTTATTAATGACTGAGTGAAACATGCGAGACTGCCGGCCAGTTACTGTTTAGTTGGATGTTGATGATTTATTATGGAGTAATTGTATTGAAAAATGATTAGTAGGTGATCTAAATGGAAAAATTAAATGTACAAGGTGATGCGATGCGAATCAGATCTCCATTGGGAAACTGGTAATATCATTCGCTATTAAATCAGCGATAAGTAAAAGAAAATTCACGAGAGAATTGTATATTTCTTGACCATATAAAAAGATTTCTTTAAATGGATTTCTGTTATAGTTGAACAATGGGAATATACATTAACTCGATAAAATGACAACGAACGAAAATTAATATTTAAAAGTTGTGCCAAGAGCTAGTAGGAAAAGCACTAGGAAGATAATATTCTTTTTGAACAAACCATTTATACTTGCTAATTGTTAATATTTGATATGCAGAAAGATGTACTCTTCCCATCGGTCATTTTTGCCACAATTTTGATCTGAATTGATAGGGTATAAATTTCTGCCTTCTCACTTGTTAATTTATTATTCCAATCGCATAATCGATGATAGGCCGATGGCGGTAATTCATATTAAATTTATGCGAACAACTTTTTTTAGCAACATAAAACTTGCTTTGAAATATCATTTTATGGCTAATTATAACGCTTGTTTTTATTTAATTATAATATTTTAATGTAGTTTTAGAAATATTTCTTATAGTAAAATTCAATTCAACTATAGGCGGTATTTTAGAAGGAAACAGCTTTATCACACTTATCAAGTGCTTACTAGTATAGTAGCTTTGATTTATAGTAAATAATTTCATCATCTACAAACATCCTTCTTACTTCACTAATCTCAGTATTTCCCTCAAACCTCCTTATTAATCTTCGAAGCTTATAAATGTTAAAAGTCGTCGAGCAGAAGATATATGTTTGATGTCTTCGGTTAGACTCACGGACCTGATTAGGAGGTTTAATGAATTTATAGAGATACCGGTTTCCGTTTGGCATTAGAACAGGGTAGGTAGGACGTGCCGATGGATACTTGAAATAACTCATGCAAATCCTTTCTTATTAAAAACGGTATATTTACGATTACAATTACCGATGATAAGAATAGTAAAAGCCGTCAAAATGATATTTATGAGATATAATAACATTTATAAAACATTTTAAAAGTTGATGTTTTATACGGTAATAAATTTAAAGATCTTTATTGGATAACATAGGGATAAATCACATTTTTTTGATAAAACCCTAACACTATTTCCTACTTCTTGGGTTTTCTTGTTATTAAGTTTTTGCTTCATGTTCCTTTTTGGTAAATAAATTAAGCCTGTTACACAGAATTACAACATTTTTTGGTATTTTGGTATAGAACTGTACAAATACCTTAACAATTGCTCGACTTCTAAATAGCAGTATATTAAATTTATTTCGTAATCAGTACTTAATTCAGCGAGATCAAAGAGAATAGTTTAAATTAGGCACATTCAAAAATACTGCCAATTTACATACAAAGGAATTCAGTATATTTTAATAAGACGCTTCGTTCAAAATCCCTTTTACAGTTATACATGCAGATATTATGGAAACTGAACTGGTTTATAAATAAGAAAAGAAAGCTTATACTTGGGCAGGGAAATGTGTCAGAAAACCTTCTCGAATAATTTAGGAATTTAACAGAACTTAGTATTCTATACAAATTAAAGCTTCGTGAACACCTCTAAAATTGCTATAGGTTGATTTTCAATTATCGTATTTTACGAAAGAGGTTGTGGTTACAATTTTCGCGTCTAAATTTGATGAAAATATAGATAATTAATGTAATGAGTAGTAAAATTACGTGAATCCAAAAACTGTATAACGGTATATGATATTCGTCAAATTGCTTGTTTTTTAAGATATTATTTAGGTAATGGGCCTCTAAACTGTGAATTCTAAGAAGTTGGTGGTATTAGTAATAAGCAGATCATTAGACATATAATTGTTTTGGACATGATTTTTTTTATAAATCGTGCATAAAAAGAATTTTTTTAATTTCTCCTAATCATTTATCTACTCGTGTGAAAAATTTCAAAATTGAATTAGTACTTAATATTCTTTTATAGTTATCTTCATTCTGAGTGACAATAATTTTACATTGGAGAGATAATTATTTCGTACTTTGACTGAAAATTAATTTGTTTTAAAAGTTAAAAAGTTTTAATTTGAATCCTGTTACATTTAATCGACCCCATTCTGTTAATTTACTGTATATGGATCTACATCTGTATTTGCAGTCAGAAGGATCATGGTTACTTGGCGCTCCGTTACAAATTTTATTATTACCAATAAAACTGCCGCTGATAATTCCAATGAGATATAACGGACCGTTTATTTAATTTGGGACAGTCGTCCAAAAATTTAGATCTTTGTTCAAAATTATACCTCGAGTGAGATTTTTGTTCTATTTTTTAAACATTGGATATGTGATTACCATCACATTGTAATGAATACAAAAAAATAAACTTTCTTTCAAGACTAAAACATTTTTTCTAATTTCTACGTGCTAATTTCCAAACGTTTTCTTCGATTAATCATAAACGTTTTATTTCCACAAAACCAAGAAAGTTATTAATAAAAAAATGTTTGGAATATTAACAAACAATGCCTTTGATCCTAACGGTGTTGGTCACTTGGTCCCCACGGTCATTTTTGTCAGCGGGGTTCCATAATCCTACAGGTCGATTGGTCCCCAGTTTCAAAATTTAATGGGCTAATTGGTCCCCGCGGTCAAATCTTATTAAAAATAATTCTAATCGGATTAGACAAGATTGTACATTTTATAATCATCTATAATTTTGGCTGAGATCTTCTAGTTACCTTCTAGATACCTACACAGATAGCTCAGAGAATATGAACAAAATGCAGTTTTAAATGTTAAAATATATTTAATAAGTATTAGTATTAAAAAATGTATACACTGTGTCTACTCAACACATTGAAGGTGGGAAGTCAAAAGAGTCGTTAGTATATTATGTATTAAGAGTATATGAAAGCAACCGTTCATCGGTTGGCATTATAGGAATTAAATCTAGGCTAAAGCAATCTGCAACTTCATTACTCTCTAAAAATAAAAAGCCGAATATGTAATGAATTTGTATGGTGTAATTTGAATTTTTCGAAACCATGACTGTTTTAAATGAAATCGGCATCCGATAACTAAAATGTCGGGCCAAATTTGCCTTATGCCAGTGTAGGGCTTTTTCAAAACCACAAACTACTTTTGATGGATTCCAAATTAAATTTAAATTGTTACAGCAATACTCCTTTAATATTTTCAAATAATCAAATGTGCCGTCGCAATAAATTGTGTCACGAGAGCACAAATATGTCAAATTTGATTCGCAAGAAAATAAAATAATATGCGAATCGTTAACATAAACATCCTTATTAATTTGTACGACGAAATTCAAATACTAACTTTACCAGAGAATATTAAAAATGTAGATATCCCTATCAGTCCTTCCTAGAAACCGTTAATCCAGTATTGGCGACCAAGTGACCTGTACCTTTCGAATCGAGAAAGGATTAAATTTGGGTAAAATTAACCGCGGCGACCAAGTGTCCTCCACCCGATCCTAAACACGCATTATATATCGTTTATTACCAATATTTCGTGGGCCTCAGGCCGTTGCCTAATTTACCGTGAACATACCTCACTTAAGCGTCACGTAAAAAATTAATTAATAACTTTTTACATCTTTATCTATACCTATTATTACGCTGACTCAAATTAATTAGTATTGTCGGTATTAAATATAAGTTTTTTATTCAATTTACAAACTGTTAATTAAATACTTAATTTCTTATATGTTTTTTACAGACTTGACATGGAAAGCCTCATTCGAGAGGGAGCTTTGAGAGTACTTACTTCAGAAAGTACTTGCGATGTAATATTGAGTTGTCAAGGAAGAAGACTGATGGCGCACAAAGTTATATTATCTGTTGCCAGTCCCATATTCAGGGTAAGTTAAAAACCTATAAAAATTGCACATAAAGCACACTCTTTCATATTTAATGCCGTTTTATAGCAAATTTGCTTAGTTAGGTGTATCCTGTTATATTTAGTAGAATACTCACGATAGGTACTTAGTGTAAAATTAAGAATAGTTTATATACATAATATGATGTAAATGTTGTGACTTCCATTGTTCTCTCCTAGTGTTTAATTTGCAATTAATTTACCGGTGAGCTTCTAACTGTAGTCACAATGTTGATGAAACCAAGGAAAGAATGAAATAATAAAGTCTTTCTTCTTATTTGTTCAAGTATGTACAGCGATTTAAAAAAATCGTGAGTTTGAGGTTCAAATAAACTATTATCCTATTAGTTTGAATGAGTAGAATTTGATTAGAAGTCTTAGTCAAAATATATTCTAAAATTAATTCATTTGCTTTACAAGTACATGTGCTACATTCAGAAAACAACAGCATCAAAAACACGAAACCAATACTTATTATCTATTAGCAACAGTACGACTATTTTTCGAAATGGTATTCTTGTACATGCGAAAATTAATTTATGCTAGATAAACTTCTCATTGTTCACTCTGCGTTCATAATTTTATTACGTCATTCCTTGACATTATCCTAACTGTATTTCGCTCATTCTTCATCAATTTCGTGTAAGTACATCCATAATTCACTAATTCGTTTCTTCATATTTCAATCAATGTCAGTTATTAAGGAACGATAACGAATAGTTCATATTTCTTTCGCATCGGCATTTTTTCTTCCTTATTTTCCGGCATAACATAGAAACACGTTCCATAACATGCGGTAGGCTATCGGTATTTTCTTTTAGAGATCTTCGGATCACTGACTGGTTAAAAGTGATATTCATGCTTTAAATTAAAGTGGTTTTTAAATGCATATACGCATATAAGGAATACGACGAATTTATATAACTAATTTTACCCAATTGTTGCTCAGACATCCAGTATAAACTTTTAGATTTAAAAAATAGGTAAATAACAAATAGATATAAAACTCTTACAATTACTTTGTGTAAAATATTTTGCTTTTAATATCAATCTTTTAGATATTCTAAATACATTTATTGATACCTCTATAAATTAAGTTTAAACTAACAATGCGGATCATAAACTTCTATCACGTATCACCTCTAATCCTATAGAGCCTATTTGAAACCAATTACCTCCGTTTGGTTTTATTTGGTATTCGCCTTTTCCATGCACATTGGCCCGACATCGACATGTATCTCATTCAACTCACTCCGAGGTCTTACACGTGGTGTGGCTTTTTTCATTGTAAACTTTTTCTTTCCGATGAAACGCGTAAGTACGCGTTAAATTGCCTCGCACAATACGCACCTCTGATTATTATTTAGTTTCGCAGAAGCCAAGTCAATGAACCACTTTGTTGCTTTACAATTTAAATAAAGTGGAGCGCATTTAAGTACGGAGAAGAGGGAAAATTATTGCCTGTATTCGATTAAAAAATGAAAAAAAAAGCCGATATATTCCGAGAAAAATTTAATTTAGTAGTGACCTCAATTATGTTAATGCGTCCATTAATCTTGCTACCCTTTAACGGAAGTATAATTATCTCTTATTATTCTTCCACCTTACTCCTTATTAAATTACAGAACTATTTAAAAAAATCACAATATTAATTCAATAATCTATCAACTCAGGAATATTGGCATGTTTTTTTTTGAAACATCCAGCATAAATAACTAACTAATGGAACCCACTTATTCAGTATTCACTGATGCAGCACGTTATTTCACGTTTTTTTGTCTACGAGTATATTTTAAACGTATATCTTACCGGATTTCTAGCATATGAAGAGTCCGAAGAGGTGCAAAAATATTGATCTAAAACCTGCCCAGTTAACTCTTTAATCCGAACCATAAATTTCTCCGGTTACCAAAGAATGCAATCTAATAGCTTGTAAACGAGATGAAAATTTTATTATTTATATGTACATGTTAAATATTTCACATTTCGAGAAAAGGTTAAGACAAGAGTTATTTATTTCCGTCCATCGTCAAGTAATATATAACATCATACCACCTGCAGTGCTAAAAGAACCAGTATTATTTTGAGAGTCGTAATAAATCGAAATGATTAAACTAAATGCAGTGTGCAATGAAATATTATCTCTCAGTAAACAATCTACTACATGCATATATTTTGTGCTAGGAGTTATATTAAAAATATTGAAAATTAATTGATTAATTATTTAATACAGATAAAACATTAAACATATAGATTTAATTTAAAAAAATATAACAAATTAAACAAAAAATAGAAATTCCATATGTAAATAAGGAACTGCGTTGAAAAATAGTTTATTACATGTTATCAAACTTCAATCACAATTATGATAAGATGATTACCATAATTATTGATTGCATAGTTTATTATGAGATGTAACGTGAGTGTTTTTTAATTCATAATAATAATGTAGGGTTCAGTAGTATACAGTTACTAAAGTCTTTTAAAATTCTAGTTCAGAAAATTATCACAATTAAGTAAAGAAAAGTTAAAAAAAACTCTAAAGTGGTTACAATCATTTTTTCAAAGTGAAATAAAGAAGAAAGCTCTAAAAAGCTCCAACATTTCATTGTATACAGTAACTCTGTAGTTCAATTTGCAATGGATTGCATTTTATTTAATTTCAGGAACTATTCTTGGACAGCACCGCCGATCCTGCTGTGGTCATTCTTCCCGACATACCCAGCCACATAATGTCGCTCCTGCTGGACTACATCTACTCAGGAAGCGTGATCGTTTACTCCAACACTTTGCACCATTTCTTGAGCGCCGCCAAACTATTGCAGATAAAACTAGACTACAATTTACGTTCGGAAGATTCCACTCAGAAGATCGAATGCAATAGAACCGATGAAGAAGAAGACCCTTACGACAGAAGAAGCACCGTCGATTACAGTTGCCGAAACGATCGAAAAACGAAGTTACTCAAAAAGTTACCGGAACTGATTCCTATTACTAAAATAAGGCGAATGGAGAAGTTTAAGAATACCAGGAGACCTAATTGTTGTTTGTTGCCCAGCCCTTGGAGACCTCGAATCGAAACAGTCTTCGGGAATCCCAGAGATGACTTTGTGGAAAACTCAGATTACTCGGTGAGTTTGTGAGATTTATAGCAATTTACTCAGTTTTATATGAAATTGTTATACGGTATGATTAAAATTTCTTGTCGATACTCCCCCTAACTTACCAATTATTACCAATCTTATTACTTACTATAATATCGCTGACTGGTGATGCGTGTTCAGATCCCGTAATATAAATACCCACCCGATAAATTGCAAGAAATGCGTCCGATGTGATTATGTAGATTCATCAAGCCACATCTAATTACGAATTGCTCGCGCGGATTGTTCCCGGTGATAACGGGGCATTTGAATTATTTGACACCAGTACGAGCGGACTCGCCGAAAAATTTCCTCGGAAACGACCTGGTTTATCGTCGAAGAGGCTACGGCGTTCGCCGGAACATAAAACAATTCGTTTACTGAGCATAATTTTTACGGAGCGTGAAATCGCTGTGAACGCGCTTGAATGTTGCAATAAAATGTAACCAGCTTTAACATGCATATTGTAATGCGATTTTCAGATTTGATACGTGAATGTTGTAGATGTGGTGCTACATTGTAGACAATAATAGCATCACGAATGTTATTTTTGGAGGAAATGGTCTGATTCCATTTTTATTTGCAGGTGCACTTGTCGGTGCAACAATCCAAATTTTTCGAAAACGACACCAACAACAACTTTCAACTTCAAAGCTTCTCGCGGTATCACCAGCACAGCAGGAACGCGCTCGATTTGGTCGAGAAAGCCAGCTCAAACGATCAAATTAGGCAGGCGTTTCAGACGAGCACGGTGGTGTCTCGGCCCCCCGAAGAAGTGGCGATTGACAGAGATAAATCAACGAAAATAAAACCCTGGTTGTTAAAAGACGCCTCGAATCCGCCTCGAACTTTCGTACCTGACGTTGTGAATAATCTGAAGTCGGAGGAGAGCTTGGAGAGGATCAAGGAAGAGGGTAGTTCCAATCAAATCGACGAAAATAGATTTAGTAACGTTAAAACCGAAGAACAGTGCATCGGTGCGAGCAGTGAATGCCGAGGAGTCGATAAAGAAAAACCTTTTAAGTGCAAAGATTGCGGCAAACATTTCAGCCAACTGCGAAATTTCAAATATCACAGGTAAGACGAAATACACTAATTTTTAAATCAAATAATACAATAGTCATTTAAATGGCTTAACAACCAAACACTGTTTTTTAAAGTATATATTCATTTAAGAAGATATCTTAGAGCTAAAATACTAAATATTGTGGGGAAGTTGTCTATTGCTCTTAGGCAGAGGAAAAATACAATATTTGAATTTATTTTAAGGAGTCGCAAGTATTACTTTAGTCTCTTTACAAAAATACCCTAATGCTCAAATTTAATGCACTAATATACCATTTGTAACTTGTCTAACGAAAAACTGTTGATCCGGTAATGTAAAATGATTGTTATCAGAAACAACGGTAGTTTCTTTATTTACGCATTGCGCTCGCTAATGGATTAGTAAATATTGATTTTTTTCTCTCGGACAAACAAATTAAAACGAGAGCTGTCGAACATTGTTCTTGTTATTTTTTCACGAAATAGAAATTTTCTATTAAATTTAGCGACTCGTTAACGATCAGTAGATAGTATTTCACGAGAGACTGACAAAAATTTCGGGCAAACGGAGAATGATGGAGACTTGCAGAATATGGCTTGAGTAAAGAGCAGTAAATTCGAAGATAAACATCCTGACACATTCGCGTATTTTTTATACCTACTCGAAATAAAAATGTGTGGGTATTAAAAAAAGAGGTTGAATTTACATGTGTAATTGACCACGGCATTTAATGTTGAATCGTTATTTGCTCATCAATTATTCTAAAAATATTCTTATCTGGCTTTGAAGTTACCAATTTTCGTAACGGAAAGTGAAACGGGAACACAAAAAGTAAATTAGCCTAGAACTAACAATCATTTACTAATCGGAAATCTTCAATAAAAGCTTTTTTTCTATTCAATATTCTTTCGAATCGGTTTTTGTGTTAATGCAAAGACAACTGTTAATGCAAACACCGAGCAAAGTTTTATTAAATTTAAATTGGCGAAAAATTTCGAAAGGAAACTAAAAAGCCGTAACAAAATAGATAAAATAAATAAAAATATAACATTTCTTTGATATTTTTTAAGTAATGTAGCATTTTCCTTAATAATTAACGGGACATCTTATAGCACAGAGAACCTATTATTTTATTAATCGATTTCCCACAAAAAATTTATTTAAAATGCTTCGAATGCGAGAACAGTTATGTGTTCAATTTACATCCGTTCAATTGTGGTTAAATAGCTTTGCCAAATTTCTAACGAAATTTTTACTTATTCACTATAAATGGAGCACGAAGTTCGTTTTGTTGAAAAAATACTGCCGAAACCGATCTAGTTTAAATCTATTCGGTAAATTAAAATTGTGTGCATGTCTAATTTTATTTTCGATTCGAAAACTCACATGTCCTTTCAAAATGTTCTAATTAGTATTAAAACTCTCTCATTTTGATTTAAACAGAGGCTATATTCTTATATTTTTGCTACTATTAAGACATAACTGGTATAGCTAGTTGTGTTAAATCGATTCTTATGTGGGACACCCTATATATTTAACAATATTTTAGATTTAATCAAATTTTTTCGCATCGTCTAAAGGAAATGTATCCCACAGTGACACATTCTACGAAAGACACCAAAAACCATCGAAAATTAGAAAAGCAAATACCTCCCATTTAGGAACTAAACTTACATTGGACAAATACGTTTTTACGGTTATGCTGTGTCAATATTTAAAAGATATTTTCGGCAACTGCTACACATCACATATTGACGCTTCTAATTAATGAATCGAATTTTTCTCTATTTATCTTCCTTGAGTGGTTTTCGACATTACACATTTCGAATAGATACGTTACCTAAGTAATACCTCCAACACTAGAAATATAAAAAGTCAACAAAGCATAGATCTAAAGCAAATATAGGAAACAGTGTCTAATGCTAAAACTGGCATTATTAGCGTGAAATCAAAGGTTTATTAATTGAATAAACAAACTGCTTTTATCCTTCAAGATCTGTCCACGAAGGTACCAAAGAGTTTGCAGCCAAATGTTCAGAATGCGGGAAAGTCTTCAACGACAAAGGTTACCTATCCAGCCATATGAAAATCCACAGGGACAAAAAGGAGTACGCGTGTCCTCATTGCCCGAAGCGATTCAACCAGAGGGTCGCCTACAACATGCATCTCCGAATACACACAGGTTAGCTAACAAACCTAACAACATTAATAAAAATATTAGGTATTCGCCACAATGTAAGCATCATACTTCACAGCAATCGGCTAAGTGTATTCATTATTAACACTTTATAGGCCTGGTAATGGCGTTTTATGATATCAAAACATGCTTCTTATCTTGTCGCATTGACAAATATACGGGTATTAGTTGGTAAATTAGATGTGTTTTACCCGCCTCACTTATTTAAGTTATTTTACAAAACACGTCTCCTTCTACTCGTTTGACTTCAATGAAGCCGTTTGACAATAAATTTCTTCAATTAAGATAACTTCATATTAGGCGATAGTAAAATCATTTTGCCACACATTCCGCTTATGAGTGAGAGATCGAGAGACGAACGACGGAAACATCGGCGCGGCAGCTTGAGCAGCTTTTCCCAATTAAACGATAATTGTTTTCGCATGGTAAAATACAGGTGTGTTTGCCCACTTCCTCCCTTCAAATACCATTACTTTATTATAATTGACAATCATCAGAATTTGTCCTTGGTCGCGATAATTAGACAGAGATTTTTTGCGACGTTCGGTCGTCTTGAGATTGTGCTTGATTAACATTCCCAGCAATCTTCGCGGTTATTATTCTCCAATAAAATGTGTTTATTGGTGTTTTATAGTAAGCGACACCGTAATTGATGCTCGCTGTACGAATGCTCTAAATTGTTATAGCTGATCTCCAATTTAAACAGGATGATTATTTAGTTGCCGTGAATATTTTCATTAATCAGGATCTCAACGCACGCTGCTTTCTTCAATTTTTGCAAGCCAATTTACTATGAATTAATTCTTTTTTAAATTAGGAGAAATATGGATAATTAATTAGTTTTGATGTATGTATTTTTTTGTAGGGATTAAGCCTCACGAATGTCCAACTTGCGGGAAATGTTTTTCCCGAAAAATGCTTCTTAAACAACACCAGCGCGTCCACACTGGAGAACGTCCTTATTCCTGTCCGGAATGCGGGAAAACTTTCGCAGATCGATCGAATATGAGCTTACACGCTAGATTACACACCGGTAAGATTTTTTAAATACGCTCGAATACCATTACATTGCACTATCTTCTTTAGTTAAATCTACACAATAACTCTCCGCAAAGAGAAGCCGATTCAGAAAAATTATTCATTTCCTTAATAGATTGCATCGCAATTGCTACTTAATAAATAACTTGTGCACATTATAGAGATACCTCAAGTGTGCCATTACCATTAACAAACTGAATTTATCTACTTGGATAAAAATCGATTCATTACCGTAAACGGCCGTCGAGCATTTGTGTAGATACAGATTAACCATTTTGAGCTTGTATCACTTTAAATTCTCTTCTCCTGCAACTTCTTTCTGCATCGGTCTGTTGCAGGCGTCAAGCCGTACGCGTGCAGCATGTGCCCGAAGAGTTTCACCAAGAAGCACCATCTGAAGACCCACATGAACTTCCACACCGGCCTGAAGCCCTACACCTGCCAGAAGTGCGGGCTGGCCTTTTCGCAGAGCAGCAACATGAGGACTCACTACAAGAAATGCATGCTCAAGAACCGGAATTCCGAAAGCGAAACGGCCGCTGAGGAGGAAGAAAACAGAAGAGAAGATCCGTGATTATGATTTTTTTTAATAATTTTATCCACTCGTTGAGGGAGCAAATATTTGTGGTTTAATCTTCTAGATGGATTTAGTGAAGAAAGTTCAAAGGTTTCCTGTATAGTAACGTGAAAATCTTCTTAATTAAGCTCCCTATTGTCTCAAAAATTGAGATCTGTACTCTTCCTTATCCGGAAATTCGAAGAGAGAGATTTCATTATTTCGTATGCTGGTTTTTACAGTTAGGTATCAATCGAATAATACACGAATAAGTGATGTACTCCGGGCGCATTAAAATAATTTTGAAAGTCCTGTGGTGCCTATCGCGGGCGAAATAACGCTTAATCATCGTTTCTATCATCTGCATATCATTCTGATTACATGCGTATCATTGAGTCGAAAGTGTTCAGTAACTACAAGAGTTCGAGACATTTAATAAACTAGTAGAGCCACTAAATCTCAACAATTTTCGGTGGTCCTATATAAATTACTCTCCCTAAGTTAATGCGTTTTTTACATGCAAATGCAATAAATTACTCTAAATTGAACCGTGCCTGTAGCCATTTTTTTTGAAATATCGGACGAGCGGCTTCGGAATCTGGACGCATTTAAATTCTTTTCAACCTCGTCACATTCCATAACGGCCGTAAGAAATGACTCCCTGGGTACTTACTCGCGAACCGACTCGAAAAATAAATCAATCATTACAAAAAAGGCCGGCTCGAATGTACCGTATTAATATTTGTTGTGCGATGAGAAAGGAAATTAATGGGTATTAATATTAAATCGGCTATTAGTAATTTTCGTTGTAATCAAATTCCACCGGCTGTAATTAAACGGCCGTAAAATTGCATGCGTGCTGCACTTTTGCTGGACTCATTGCCTCAAGTCTACCTATGCATTTCGATTTTCCGTCTATAATAACGAACTTGCACTCTTAATTTAATAGTTATAGGCTAGTCGAGTGAAAATAAACCTTTTTTTTACGTTATGTAAATTGCAGCGTGTTCGCAAGTCCCAGTAAACTCGCTTTAACAAGCGGAATAAACCTACAGGTTTAGTAATTTGATCATAAAAATAATTAAGGTAAGTTCTATACATATAACCCTTTTTTTTCACAAATTTTAGCTATTATACAGGGTGTTAATTGAGTGACGATACTTCAGGATGTGAATATTTGGATTTTGCCTCAAAAAAATGTCCCTTAATAATTGTGTACAAAATTTCATAAAAATATCTGGAGTAATACGAAAATTATGATAGAAGTTATCTTCTAAAACTATAACACCCAGTAGCTCCAAAACTAAAAGATTTAGGACATACATTGATATAAACTTTTCTTCTTAAAATCAACTAAATATTCACATCCTGAAGTATCGGCACTCAATGATATAACACCCTATATAACCCTTTTTCCACAAATTTCAGCTACTATACACCCTATTTATTTTTAATAAACATCCAATTTATCTAATTCCCAAGATTCCCAACATACTCGACTTACACTAGAGGTAATTTCTTTAGAAATTGCGCAGATTAAATCTAAATCTGTGGGTGTGACTGACTCAGTTCCCGTTGATGGTCGTTACAGCTCTCAGGTCTAGCATTTTCCCGTGGTTTTTTCGCCGTCGTTACGAAGATAATGACATTATTGACGCTCGAGTCGGAATCGCCTTATCGAATGCAGCAGTTAACAGGGCTTCGTTAACTTTCCGATCATTAGATACGCCGTGTCAATTAATTGAGAAGGAGCCAAACAATAAAAATTCAAGTCAAACAATGCGGCGTGTCTTTGGCCGGCGAGCTTTATCGGCGACGTTAAAGTTGCTCGAAGACAATTAAAAAAATACATTTATTTGCTTAGAGGCGTTTTATATTTTCTTTTAATTATTGTCCCGGTGTTGTGAAGCGTAAATTAGAAAACACCGCTAATTAGTAAGTAAACAAATTTGTCCTAAAGTTTTATTAAATGATTCGAGAAAATCGTTATATAAGCGCGTTGTATAATCTGTAAAAGGATTTTATTACTCAATTTAATATCTGTGATAACTCTTATTAGGGAAATTTATTTTTACTGTCCGTTTGTACGTCGATTGTTCTATTCAATTGCAGAAATCGTTGGAAGGCTTAATTCGTTTATTGATTGATTGCGGCATAATTGAAAGCATAATTATCTACCTAACTCTAATGAAAAATGCTTTCAACATAACGTAGAAAACAAAGACATCAACTTGGAAACGGAAATGAGATTTCTTGCAGGAAAATAGCTAATTATTTCTTTTTGTAAATTATGTATATTATACCTAGTTTAATTTAATTTTAATTATAAATCATGTATTGTCATATTTATGAGTATTTTTGTTATATTTTTCTAATAAATGTAAAAATCAACTAAAGTCATTTCATTAAAGAATATTTTAGGTAATTATTTAAGTAATCTTTTTTTTCCATTTTACTGCAGCATTTTAATAATAAATTTATTTATCTACCTATACCTATACCTGTATGTACATATGTATAAGTTCGCAGAAACAGCGACACAATATTATCCCTGTATAACATATGTTTCTTGCTCTATTTTATTTATGATACCTTCATGAATACAATTTAATTATTAGCATAGCCCGTTAGGATTGCTTTTTTAGAAGACTGGTTGGAATATTGATATGAACCACCTTTGGAATATCAAATATCTAAAAATAATAATTTTAAATATATAAATAATATAATAATTAATTTATGCACTACAAATTTGGATAAGGAAGCGAATAATTAATTCGGAAAAACCAGTTTTCCGCAGGTAAAACAGTGCAAATCGAAGGGATTCTTCACCACGCAAATGTATGGAAATAAAAATATTAACAGTTAAATTGATGCATAGAATTCTTCCAGCGGGAAGGAAACTGGTAGACATTATATACACACTATCTAATATCTAACTTAATGCACTTTCATAGTTTCGATACGAGCGATAGCGATCGCGAAACTTAAAGGACCGTATCTATCTGCTCCATGGATCTCGTGTTTGTGTAAAAAATGTGTTTTCAGGTTCAGTAGGTCAAACGCGCAACGCGAAACTCAAAATAGGTAACATCAAACGATTTCGCTTATCATTTTAATCAATCTGACAGTGAATTGTTTGCTTGCAATTCCTACTTATATTGTTGGCACATCTCGATTTGTTACCTGGAATACAAATTGAAATAATTGCGCGCGTCAATTTTACTGATTCAGCGATTTCTAGAAATTAGTCAATATCACAAACAGGCATAATTTGATTGGTGTACCAATTAATATACTTTTATGTCATGTAGATACAAATGAACTATTTTTGAAAGAATATTAAACATATCTCAAAACATTAGCCTCACTATTAGCTCAAGTTTTCCTTTCTATTTATATCTACTTTATTATTGACGTTCGTTTACTAATAGCTGTAATTATTTCATTTTAAAGGGCGATAAGATCTAACCTATACATCAAATTAAACGAGAATACACCGCGTGAGATCTAAACAATTTCGAATGGGATATTTTTATCACCTGCGTCCAGCGTTTATCGAAAGTCATTTGGTCTCTGCCTTTTACAATAGAGAAATTAACTGCTAAATGTTTAGCCTACCTGTCCTTTTGTAAATATGTTAAGTATCCATACAGTTCTCAGTGCCCCATTTATCAAAAGTGATATTAACATAATTGTGCTCATTTAATGAAGCAATGAGGCATACAAAAATTAAAGCGATTGTAGGTAAGTATTTGCTTAAAATTAGTAAGAGATATTTCTAAATAAGAGGTTATTGGAGTAGCTATGATTTATTGGGATGTTGGGATATTTAAAAATTCAAATTTGCCGTTGTTTACAAATTTATTTGGCTACCAATATAATGAGACTTTTTACATGTGGCAGTGAATTAAAAACTAATAATTTAATGACCTCCAATTCGTTAAAATGATGATTTTACATTAGATTCAATTATATACAAACCATAATTAAAAAACATATGAATAATAAACAACAATGATAATACAACAAAACAAAAATTTTCTAATTAAAAAACTTAAAATAATTAATAAGCCTTTGAAAATTTCGCAAACTAAAAATACAATTAGCTATCCACATATTTGGAATTCGCCTGGTGTTTTATCCCTAAGGCAACATGTCAAGTAATTTACTTTCTTTAAATTTTTCTACCTAATACAGTGCAAAATACGACGAATACAATACATTTAAACACTTATACAAATTAAATTAAAATATCACAAACCGACAGGAGGGTATCTACAAAATATTCCAATGAGTTTAATAAATGTATAATAGTTTCTACTCGTATCTACTAAAACTATTATTACACGTATATTTTGTTAGAGCTATTAAATTATTTTATGTATAAGATCTCATTGGACCCACTACCTAGTTAACTATTTTGAAAACACCCTGTAGTTTTATTTTTTGAAAAATTCTAATACGCATTGGAATAATAACTTATTTTGTCCCATCGAAATACATATAAGAAAACAATTATTACAGACGCAATCGCATATAAACAGAAGAGAACTAGATACTTGCGCTGAAGTAAATATTAGTAAGAGTCGATAATGAAAAAAATATACATTAAGTTTGCGCTTGCGCCTTGATCAATTAAGAATTTATTTTTCGGTAACTTAGTCTTTTGTTCTAGTCTTTGAATATACATATTGCCTATAAATTTCGTCGAGACGATTTTATTCGTGTTTAAAACCGTTGGTAGTCGGCTCCATGAGCTCCTCTTCTCTCTTCTGCAGCTGGAAATACACCACCAACCTGCCGCTGAGCATGAACAGAAATACCAAAGCGGGCGCCGTCCTCTCGAGCTTATCCGCCACCATGTAATGGGAATACACCGCCATCAAGGTAAGCACGAGCAGAACAATATTCGATAAATTTTTTATTTTATCTGCAACAAAGATCCTACATGAAATCGGGGTAAATGATGAGATCGAACGATGGATATTGGGTAGAAAACGGGAGGTGGTGCTTCGAGGGATGTTCGAGTAATGGCAGGTTTTATTTAGATTTCCCATGGGATACGTTCTTAGAAGAGGTAAGGGAAATAAATTATCCAAAATATCTATCGATTTATACATGGTGTTTCATTGGGAGAAGGCAATATTTGAACCCCATACATGTAGAGATCACCCAGGGGATTACAAAAAAATTCATCTTACTTAGTATGCGCCCTTTATAACCGAGTTACAGGGTGTTTTCTGTAATTCATTTGCAATGAAGCGCCCTGTATAAATTTTGTTCATTATGTCTACTCAACACGTATGTTTCCTAATATTAGTAAATTTACACAATTTTTAAAAATCCGTGTGAAAACAAGTAATAATTTAATCTAAACAGATTTGGATTTCCGCTGTAGTTTATAAATAATGTTGGTATAAATTGATGTATGAGTCCTTAACGTAGGGAACCTGTCGATTTTTTTATGTACAAAAATAAATTCTAACAGGAATAGCTCAGATTCCTCAGTTAAAATTAAAAATAGTTGGGGATAGGCATGGTCAATGTTTGGCTAAAAATTGCTAAAAAACAATATAAGACTAACAAAGCATATAAAAGAGTATTATTAAAATAATATTCAATGGAAGGAGAAATTGATGAAAAAATGGAAGGAATCGTGAACTCGTGAACAACTAACAGAACATTACATTAAAATACATTACAAACATTACAGAACTAACAAATAGATTTGGAAATCTAATTATAGATAGAAAACAATTAGGCCATTAATTCAAATTAATTCCCTTTTTTACTAATCATTCAATTCAATTCGAAAAATAATTGTTGATTGAGTTATTAATTACAAGCACATAACACAATCCAGTTTACTCTATAATTATTTTAATTTAATTATAATGTAAGCAGAGATTAAAAATTACTGCACATATAATTCTCTCATCTATAGATACATACGTCAGTAAAGTTTATTTAAATGTTCAGTTCCACTTAAAATCCACTTAAAATATTACGCATCTGGAAATTGTGCGGATTATAAAGAGCACAAATTACTAATATTATGTATCTTCTTAATTCATTCATTCAATTTGTAGCCAAATTATTTACTTTATTATTGTTTTTATTAATATTATTTTTGAATTGAAGAATTCTTCACGAATCTCCCTTGAATTGAAATAGGCAGAGGAGCAATTTTTTAATACAAAGGACATCCACCGCGATTTGGATGAGTTAAATTTATATCAAAATATCGTGAAATTAAATCAGCTTTTATTTGTGGATTCGCTAAGTCGCGTGTTTTATTTTCAGCAAGTTATTACAAAATTTTTGACCGCAACCTACATATTGTCAATGTTACACTAAAAATAAGCCGAAAGGGGGACCGATTTGTGTCTAACAACAATAAATATTGGTATTTTCGTATTTACCTACACTCACTTTGAACGATTTAATTTCACGAAAATTATTTTTCTAATAGATGAAAGGATAATTATTTATACACGATTTTCGTTAACAATGTGGTTTGGTGAGAACGAATTATTACTACTGTAAAGTCATTTCTAAAAAGCTAGTGAATTTTTACTTACGGTTAGGCCAAAAAGCCATTGCACTGCCGCAAATCATTTCTAATCCTCCCACAGTTCTCCTGTACCATTTGGAAGGAATTTTAAAATCTAGCATTTCCGAGAAAGGAAACACTTTGGAATATTTAACGTATTCTTTCCTCTGAAAATTAAAAAATCTATGCCTTACTGCCAATTTTTATTAAATAAATTCTAAAACTTTTCATTCAAGTAGTGAAACTAAAAGATAATTAATTAATCACAATGTGTATGAATAAAAATAATTAGCTGTATTATTGCCAAATTAACATTAAATTAATTTCTCCGTACATTTAAAAATATTTTCGAAAGAAGCCTTGCCAGGCATCAAGCCAAATTTTACAAAATTACACGTACTAATTGTGTAACGCTTATCCGATACTCACCAAATCTTTGTGCAAATCCTTGGAGAGAACACTGGAGATTTTTATGAACCCCACAAATATAAAAAACAATCCTAGCAAAATCGATAGCGATTTTAGCACTACTGAGCCCATTTTGTGGTTTTGATTACTCATTATTAACGTTAGCCGGAATTACTTTAAACACTTTAACTGCTAGCACATTTTTTGCGTAAATTATTCGATAGTTTCGATTAATATTTTCGTAAACAGAGGAGGTCAGAATTTTCGAAATTGCGACTTTTCCATTCGGAACATCGCGACGCTTTGAGAAATCAATATACCAGCGCTTCGCGGCGTCGCGACGGCAGGACCGGGCCCCTAACTTTTATCTACCCAAATTGTATATTTTGTATTAATTTATAGAGTAAGCAAAAGTTGATATTCCGAAGTGGTTGCGAGATGAGTGATTACGTTGAGTATTTTGTAGAGGTATTTAAAAAAATTCACAAATATTCGAATATGATGTCTTCCATACTGTTATTATAAATAATGAATTCATCATACACCCTGTATGTACAATTATCCATGAAATCCATCACAATCTTTACAAAACGATTAATCACCTGATATTATCCAATCAAATTGCCTAGTCAATAAAATTTTGGGTATTAATGGCATTAAAAGTACAGACTTGGATATGAAAAAACATGACAAGCAACATGTCACTGTATAGTTATGCTGTGATTTGTGATTCTAATAAAAAAATGATAAATGATCACGATGTACCATTAAGATTACAGGACATTATACACTACATACAGGACAATAATTAGACGTTAAACATCCTCAAATTTAAAGAGGTTAGACCCAAATATTTTGTAGTTTCTTACAGCTCACATGAACAAGAACAAAGCCGTCTCATTGTAGTAAATTAAACATTTCTTTTGAAGTGTCATGCGAAGGTCTTTTGTTATTTCATTTAAAATCCAATATAGGATTAGGTGGTCACAAAACAACAAAGCTTCTTTTGATCGCAACATACTCGCATAATCTTATCTCATTATATCGAAATGATCATTCAATTTAGTTTTACAGGATTAAAATCTTATTATGATGTTATTATACTAAAGGCAAGTTATCATCGTGATCAATAATTTGTTTTATCCAATGCGTTGGTGGTCGGATCTGAATGAGTTTAGATCAATAGAAAATTATCAAATTCCTTGAGTAATAATAATTAAATCTCTTAATCAAGGCATTGATTTAGGAAATTTATTTATCAACGGTGAAAAAAATTTTAAAAATATTAATAGTAATCGAAATTCTTTTACCAAATTTAAACTTTGGTTTCTAAGTTTGGCGATGTAAAACCCAATTTAATATGATATATTTATTGAATAAATCTTTATAATTCAAAATAATGATTACCTGAACATATGCATTAGTGATATCAATATCAGATAATCAATTTATTAGAAACAAATCAATAATTGGGGCCGGTTGGGGGATCATTGTGGAGAGCATTGAGGCGTTGAGCTTTCCTAAAATTAGAAATATTTTTGGTCATTTTTGTTCAGTAGTTCATTTTTATAAAAATGAAGCATTTACTTTGAAGTAAAAGGTAAGAGGAAAAGGTTTTGCTCTGATCCATATTCATAATCACGGCCTTTTCCTTGCAAGGAAACGCTTCGGATAAATAAAGTAAATGGTACAGAGATTAGCGATTTCGTCAAACTATAGTTGAAACGAGTCTAAATGGTTCTAAATGATTCTAGACAGTTCTAAATGGTTCTGGAGCGTTCTAGATTGATCCAGACATAGGTTCATAGAAAGTTTTTTTCTTAAAATGTGTCGAAGAATCACCCCCTTAAATATTAGCATGCTATTAAGACACACCATGTATACATAAATAAGTGCCTCTAGAAATCGTTGCATTGTGTGAACAACAAAACGATAAGCATTATTTTCTATTTTCAAAGTAAGTACTTGTATCCGATTTGATTAGAAAATATTTTAAATTGATTCTCTACTAACCAGCTCGTTGAGGTCCTACGCATTATCAACAATTCAATATTCTAATGTAATCCTAGGCAAAACAATACCTTTTCTTCACGAATCTCCCTCAAACACGTAAACACATAAATTTGTTAAACAATGTGAAATGGTCTCCGATTTATTCTATAAGGTTTCATTTTGATTTTTTTTTTGTTTTTGTTTGGGTAAAATGCACGGACGTACGACTTTTAGTAGCACTAAAATTTATCGTTAATATTACCGCACTTATCTGCCCTAATCTATAATGATAAATTAAAATGCAACTAAGCAAAAACAGTAATGAAATAGCTACGTGCTTAAAAATCATTGTTTTGTGAAACACAGAGCTGACCAACTTCGACCAATCTCTGCCTGTAAGTAAGTATATTCAATTTCAACATAAAAATAATAGGCGAAGTAAAAAATATTATTACTAACTCATAAATATCGTTATTAAAATTTCCCTGGAATTATTTTTTCCAATGCAACCAAATTGCATTAAAGCACTTTTGTTAATTTACATTGCACTAAAGCATAAATACTTTTATTTTAATTTACAGCAAAATATTTATGTGGAATTCTTGTGAATTCTTTGATCCCAAAACTTCACCATCTTCAACACAACTCATCGAATCAACTCCAAATTTCTACGGTGCATCATCATGGCAATTCAATGGAATCAACGCTTTACGACCAACAAACAAGCCGAAGTCAGTACAAGTTATTCGGCCCGGAGTTTATCGAATTTTCGAAAATCCTCCAAATTTATGGAAGCAAATCCGCGCGCCAGTTCCTCAGCAAATCGCCCAACCAGCGTCACCGAAATACCCAATATACACAGATAATTCACAGAAGAGGGTTCAAGGGCAATGTACAATTAATTCGGACAATAATCAGGATTACTTCAGGATCAGAAGTAATATCGACATGTATAACGAGATGTATTATAACATGTTGAGGAGTTTCCCAACCGCGCTAAAAGTGTCAGAAATCTCGAAGGCCCAACCGGTTAATAGAAACCCACAAATGCTAACAGAATTTTTAAAGACATTCTCACAGCTGGATAATGTTCAGCTAAATTGTAGTGATATTGAACTCATTAATAATCCGGATCAACGATATCCCTACACATTGGAAAACTTACAATCCAGTTGCCGTGAATATCAATTCGTAGCATCACAGTTTAGTAGCACCAACAAAAGTTTCTACACGATCCAGAGTATTCACAAAGTTTTCAATCCGTATTTAATCTTGCAATATAAATTGAAGCGCTTAGAACTGGAATATAACGAGAAAAAAAAACCAGTACAAGTATTATTGTTTCATGGCACCCCCGCAAGTAATTTGGACAATATTTGCAAACTAAATTTTAACTGGAGATTACCAGGTTTGTAACTACTTTGTTTGATTTTTGATCAATTATAATTATCGATGATATCAATTATATCGCACATATTGTTGTCAGGTCTACTTTCAAATTTGTAGATAGTCCATCTAAAAATTGCTAGATTTGTTATTAGACTTCTAAAAATATAAGATTTACTGAGATTTTAGTAGACCTGGCAATGTTGCACACATAGTAACCAACGTTTCTATAGGAAGACACAAAAACGAGCTCGGCCAGGCAGTATATTTTGCAACGAACGCATACTATGCGACCCATTATGGAGACGATGGACCAAATAAAGTAATGATCGTTGCCAAGGTTTTAATCGGGGGATACAACAAAGGTTCAAGATATACGGCCTATCCAATGCTTGGCAACGACGCCTGTTCGTGTCATCGAACGCCACCGCAAGTATTCGCTAAATACGACGACAATAGTTTTTACCCAGCTTACATTATACGCTATCACGGTGTAGACTTTAAGAAGCAACAACAAATGCATTAAAATGACAAAATTTTCATGCTAGATGTGAATTATCATCTAGACTTTTGGGTCGGTATACAGCGCCTCCCTTTAACTTCAGAGTAACTCTAAAGTCGCGTCTTTAACTTGACAGTTTTACATTGTTGTTATGGAGTAACTAGGGACTAGAGACGCGACTTTAGAGTCACGCTAAAGTTAAAGTGAGTCGCTGAATACGGGCCTTAAGTTCAGTAAATAATTAAATCTCTTAAGACATTGATTTAAGAAATTTATTTATCAACGGTGAAAAAAATTTGAAAAATTGTAGTAATCGAAATTCTTTTACCAAATTTGAACTTTGGTTTCCAAGTTTGGGGATGTAAAACACAATTTAATACGATATATTTATTGAATAAATCTTTATAATTCAAAATAATGATTACCTGAAAACATACATTAGTGATATCAATACCAGATAATCAATTTATTAAAAACAAATCAATAATTCTGCTCTATGATTCTATCGAATAAACCTACCTTTATTACAATTTTATTTACAACTAAAATATATGACGGATTCGTCTATGTAAATTACATCCTATATTGCTCGTAGAATGACATTGAAAGCAATTTTTATTTTATCGTCAATTATACAAGGCCTAGATGGCGATGCAAAAGTGTCGATAACGTGATGGAATGCGCAAGTTCCTTCAGATTTTTGCAGAAAAATTTTTGCATCGCCCCGTCATAGAAAAAACGACTAAAATCTATACAACTTTTTTTAAAAATTTTATCCAATGGAATGCGTGTATATAGATACAATTTTCATATTATATTGGTCCGTAAGTGCTACACTATTGCTTCGATAAATTCAAAAACTCCTATATCTAAAAAAGAACAATTCATCCTAAAAATTGACAAAAAAATAGGGACTCTCGATATATAATTACAATATAATTTCAAGATAAACTTTCAAACGAGATATTTCACAGATATACCTAGTAATCACTCTTTAAGCCACTAAGTTTAAGGAAAACTATGGAGTATCCCCGGTTAATTTATTTTAAATATTCGTACGATTCGAAACGTGGTCAATGCGAAATTTCAAATACAACAGTCTTACTTGTAGGTAACTTATTTTGCAAATCCATTTTCTTTGAAGATTTACCCAAAAGTTTCTTTTAATTTATCCACAGAATTAAATAAAAATCTAGTCAATTGAAAGAGCAAATTGCCATAAAATAATAATAATTTGTCATATAAAGTTGAGGAATGGAATACTATTTAATACTAATATATTGGAACTTGAGGTTTCGGCAAGAATATTCCAATTTAGAAGTTTTTAACAGGTTTTTTGTGCCAATTGGGTCCAAATCAATGCACTGCATTACCTATTGCAGTACCATCCCTAATTATTCTATTAATCTTATTAGCACAAATAAGTTTTGGATACTCATCGAATGAATAAAATATAATCTTGGTCGTTGTAGTTAAATAACTATAGCTGCACATTTTTGGACGGTATAGTATTAGTAGTTGCGAATAGTAGATATGCATTAAGATTTACAATTGAGAATTTCGCGTCACACTCAAATAGCGAATACTAAGATGTCACTTTGTTTTAGTTTCGTCTTCAGTTAGGAGTAAACGTTCCAGTAAAGCGTCCAATCTTGCCGGTTGAAATAACGATTACATCGAGTACTGGACCGTTCGGAACCCTTACGCGCCTGCGCAGTCATTTTAACTACTTGGCGCAGATTTGGGAAAGTTCTATTTTTGTCGAAACGAACCTTCTAGCACATCAGCTCGTGATTATGAGGCATGAATTATTAACATAAGTAATCTTCAAATTTGGCACAGAATTACGCAACGGACATCAACGCAATCGATTCAATATACTACCTAACGAAATACTAATGCACCAAATTAGGCGATCCTAAGCTGTCGATGTCCCTCTGCGCTCTGCTGATTTTGCTCTTGTCTTTGGGCGTCTCCTTTTCGCCCGTCTCCATGGCGAACATCTTCATCTTCTCTTTGAACGACAACTTCTCCGGCACGGCGGCGATGAGATTCTGGTCCTTGCGCTGCGCCTGCTCGGCCAGCCGGCGCGCCCTCGGGTCCCTGTACACTTCCTGCGCCCCGATTACACCGGGGGTGGCGGTCGAGGTGCCCGGCGAGGCGTCCGTCGGAGTCACGGGAGATGCCAGCATTGATTCAGCTTGCCGTATGAAGCTCTACAACCGACAATTAAAAACGTTTATCTCGCGTCGTTTGCAGCGGCGAATGAGTACTCACATTGGGATCTTCCCTTACGGTCTCCTCGAGCAGCAGCGTGGTCGGCGGTTGGACGGGCGTGGCGGCCGCCGATGAGTCGTTGAAAGATACTTTCTTCGTGGATTCCTTGGTCCTCATCGACATGACGGCGAAGCTGGAGCCGCGCTCGGGCGGCGGCGGCGCCGCGACGGCGGCCGTCTCCGACGGGGACGGCAGGTTTTGCTGCTGCTGCTGCTGCTGTTGTTGTTGGATCTGTTGATGGATCTGTTGTTGGGCGAGCGCGTTGTTCGTGACCGCGCTGGGTTTGAGTATCGACGTCGGCGGTAACTGAGAATGCGAGTGGGAGTGGGAATGTTCCAGTTTGTTGGGATTTAATGACGTGTTATTGAGCTGAGGCTGGTTGGGGGATCCTTGCGGAGAGCCTTGAGGCGTTGAGCTTTCCTGAAATTAGAAATATTTTTGTTAGTTTCGACTTAGTTAATTCACTAGTGCCTATTTTATTTATTTGTTGGTACGCCGACGGTTTACTGCTTCAAGGTTTTATTACTATATCTTGATGGTGAACAGAGTATAACAATATTGACTTTCGAGTATTATCTTTGTTATGCACTACAAAAGTAGTACCGTATTTATAAAAAATGAAGCATTTACTTTGAAGTAAAAGGTAAGTGGAAAAGGTTCTTGCTATGATCCATATTCATAATCTGGGTCTTTTCCTTGCAAGGAAACGCTTCGGATAAATAAAATAAATGGTACAGATTCGAGATTAGCGATTTCGTCAAACTATAGTTGAAACGAGTCTAAATGGTTCTAAACTGTTTCAAATGAATGATTCTGAAGCGTTCTTGATTGATCTCGACAGTTCTAAATGATTCTGGAGCGTTCTAGATTGATCTAGACATAAGTTCATATGAAGTTTTTTTCCTAAAATGGGTCGAAGAATCAGCCCGTTAAATATTAGCATGGTATTAAGAAACACCCCGTATACATAAATAAGTGCCTGTAGAAATCATTGCTTTGTGCGAACAACAAAACGATAAGCATTATTCTTTATTTTCAAAGCAAGTACTTGTATTCGATTTGTTTGGAAAATATTTTTAAATTGATTCTGCACTAACCAGCTTGGTGTAGTCCCTACGCATTATCAGCAGTTCAATATCCTAATCTAATCTAAAGCAAAACAATATAACCTTCTCTTCAAACACGCAAACACATTAATTTGTTAAACAAACTACGAAATGGTCTCCGATATATTCTGTTGAGGTTTCATCTTGATTTCTACTATGCTTGCCGCGTTTGGAAGATGGAGTTATGGAGTGTTTTTGTTTGGATAAAACGCACGACTTTTAGTCGCACTGAAATTTATAGTAAAAGTCAGGGTATGGGAACTCGTGGCTACTGGCTCCACCTGTTTCGAGCGTCCATGAAACACCACTGCGCATGTTTTGCTATAGATGGCAGTGTATGAAAATGGCCTAGTAAAGTCCCCGTCAAGTTAGTATGTTAGCTATGTAAAGTCCATAGGTCCTATTGGTCCGTTCCGCCCTTTATGGCCGGATTCGCGTTTTTATCTGTATAAAACACCTGTATGAAACAGACTTAACGACTTCCTTCGTATTTTCTGTCGTTTTTGAGTTTTTGGTTATTTTATGCCATTTATGGTTTAACTTCGGACATTTGTGTCTTTATTGTATTTTTACGTGCGTGTTGTGAGTTGAATAATGCTATCGGAATTCGTTACAGTTAGTTATCCTTATTACTGTTTATTAATAGGAACCGTTCTAATAGGTAGTAACGAATTATTTAAAAGGGCCCATGACGAGTATCAAAGAAGAATACCTAAATTTAAAAAAATATACCTTGTGAATTAGACCATTGTAGAATATACCTATTTTAGCTATAGAAGATTGTTGTTTCTTTTATTTTTTCTCCTTCAAATCTACAATTTCATAATAAATTTAGAGGAATTCTTTTTAACTGACCTACTCATTTTACACTAACTACATTTATAAAGTAAAATGTTTATTTCAGTTAAAAGGATTTCCCTCTAAATTTATTATGAAATTCTTATTTAAAAAGTAATAATTGTGTACACAAGATTTTTAAATTTTGGCGCCAATTGCAGAACACTGTAAGTATAATTAGTATTCTGCATTTAATGTATAGACGCGCGTCAAAGGTGTCGTTAGTAAAAAAATTGAGTTTCCCATCTATAGTGTAGGTTATCTGTGGTAAAAGTTACCGCGCTTATCAGCTCTAATCTATAATGATAAATTAAAATGCAACTAAGCAAGAAGTGTACTGAAATAGCTACGTGCTTAAAAAATCATTGTTTTGTGAAACACAGAGCTGACGAACTTCGATATCTATGCCTGTAAGTAAGTTCATTTATTTTCCACATAAAAAATAATAAGTTAAAAATATTATTAATAACTCATATACTGAGGGGTCACTGACTGATTCTCTCTTTTTTAATGATTTCACCATTCGAACTTGGCCGCCCGGTATATCGTTATTAAAATTTCGCTGTAATCATTTTTTTCCGATGCAACCAAACATTAATTCACATTGCACTATGCATAAATACCTACTCTTTTTAATTTACAGCCGAATATTTATAAAAATGGGAATTTGTTGGTCTTTGTGTGAATTCTTTGGTCCCAAAACTTCACCAACTTCAACACAAAACATACCATCAACTTCATCAAATTTCTACGATGCATCGTCATGGCAATTCACTGGAACCAGCGCTTTACGACCAACAAACGAGCCGAATTCAGTACAAGTTATTCGGCCCTCTTCTTCAACAACAAACACACTTTCATCGCGATCAAACGAACCACGAATTAGTCAGCCCACTTCATCAACTACACAAACGGCTTCATCGCAAATCATCGGAGTAAATTTAAGCGCGCAAATCGGCGCGTCAGTTTCTCCACCAATCGCCCAACCAGATTCATCGAAATCCCCAATATGCACAGAATATTCACAGAAGAGGGCTCAAGGGCAAGCTACAAATGATTCGGACAATAATCAGGATTACTTCAAGATCAGAAGTGATAGCGAGATGTATGACAAAATTTTCAGGAGTTTCCGAACCACGCTAAAAGTGTCAGAAATCTCGAATGCCCAACCGGTTAATAGAAACCCACAAATGCTAACGGAATTTTTAAAAACTCTCTCACAGCTGGATGATGTTCAGCTGAATTGGAGTGATATTGAACTCATTAATAATACGGATCAGCGCAATCACTACACATTGGAAAACTTACAATCCAGTTGTCTTGAATATCAATGTATAGCATTTCTATTTAAAAGGACCAACAAACGTTTCTACACGATCCAGAATATTCAGAAAGTTTTCAATCCGTATTTAATCTTGCAATATAAATTGAAGCGCTTAGAACTAGAATATAACGAGAAGAAACCAGTACAACAATTATTATTGTTTCATGGGACGCACGCAAGTAATTTGGACAAGATTTGCAAACTAAATTTTAACTGGAGATTACCAGGTTTGTAATAACTTTATTTGTTTAATGATTGATATCGATGGTATCAATTATATCGCACAGATTGTTGCCAGGTCTACTTTCAACTTTGTAGATAGTCCATGTAAAAATTGCTAGATTTGTTATTAGATTTCTAAAAATATAAGATTTACTGAAATTTTAGTAGACGTGGCAACGTTGCACATATAATAACAAACAACGTTTCCATAGGAAGAAATAAAAACGAGCTCGGCCAGGCAGTATATTTTGCAACGAACGCATACTATGCGACCCATTATGGAGACGATGGACCAAATAAAGTAATGATCGTTGCCAAGGTTTTAATCGGGGGATACAACAAAGGTGAAAGAAACACGGCCTATCCAATGCTTGGCAACGACGCATGTTCGTGTCATCGAACACCACCGCAAGTATTCGCTAAATACGACGACAATAGTTTTTACCCAGCTTACATTATACGCTATCACGGTATAGACTTGACAAAGAAGCAAAAACAAACGCATTAAAATGGCAATTGCATGCTATAAGTAAATTATCATCTAGAATTTTGGTGTTAACTCTTTAACTTACCTTTTCGGTATCTTCGTCGCCCTCTTCGGCTGCCTCCATGGCCCTCCTTTGGAACTCCCTTTCCAATTGCAAGACGCGCAGTTGCTCGTCCTGCTGGGGCGTCCTGTACGGCAGCGACGACAGCTCCATGATCTGCTGCTCCTGCCACTGGCGGGCCGCCTCTCTCCTGGCCTCCTGCTGGCGCTCCTGCTCCTCCCTGGCCCACGGGTCGCGCGGCGGCTTCGCCAGCATCGGCCCGCCGCTCGGGTAGTACGCCATCTTCGGCGGCTCCTGGCTGCTGGCCAGATAGAGCGGGTGGGTGCTGGTCGGGGGCAATTCGGGCGGGTACTCGTCCTGGAACGAATGCTTTACGTGAATTACCGTAATTTAATTTTTTTTGGGCGACACGACGGCGTGATAAACAAGCTTATATACTGGTATTTTTTTATTTTTGAGCGAATGTAGAAGGTGGCCTTAAACTGGTCGTTTCTTCAGTTCAATGTTGGTTTGTTAAAAATGTGGTTATTTCAAGTAATTGCGTATGTTACGTATTCAGTGTTTGATTAGTATTAAACATAAGAACTACCGATAATATTGGACATTCCATAAGGGTACTACCTCACAAAATACAAGCCTGTGGATATGTGCATTCATTTCAAGATTTTAGTGCAAAACAAACAATACTGTGAACAAAGCAGTTTTATATGAAAATATATTTGATATTTTGGCCTTAAAGACATTCTGCTTGGTGCTAAAACGTTTCTATCAAATTTCAAAACGCAATCAGATCAGTTTTTATGTAATTAGTAACGAATTAAATGTTAATAATCAAATCGTATTTTTTTTTTAATTCTACTGAAAACACTAGTGCATAATCAAAGGACGTACCAATTGAACTAACCGTTGTCGAACATTGAACATCAGTCAAATTAACCACTGCAAAATCGAATAAATTGTCTCTAAGAAGTCTCGAATAAACGACAGAACAAACCCACTACAGGATGAGCCATAGATATACGAACAAACTTTCGCAAAAAGTACGGCCCTATATTTCTAAGGTCTGGAAACTGCCTATGCTTATGCATTAGAGAATGTGTCCCGTTATTTGAAGACTTTTTGAGCTTCACTTTTTCGCCGCACCGTGGCGAACGATCGGAGGACCAACTTATCTTAGCCAATCAGCGTCGCGCTACATATAAATCGCGGTTGTGAGATGACAGTTCAAGCTGTCAAAACTTCAAAAATTACTTTTTGACATTTCGAGGAGAAAATGGAGAAATACATTAACCGAAGATACGTGAGGCATGCTGTTAACAACAAAATCATCGCTGATTTAAGTATATTTTGTGTATATTTTTAGTTTGATCCAAACCTTTTTAATGTTAATTCTATATAATTCGTAAGCAAAAAACCGTGATCCTTTACAACATCGCCTCTTAGCGGCCATTTTAGGAACCCTGTTTTATCCTCAAATAACGGGACATTTTTTCGACCTATGTTTCCAGACCTTATAAATATAGGACCGTGGCAAAAAGTAACCGTACCTTTCGACTGGGCTTGGGCGCCACCGGCGGCATCTTATTGAACGTCGGCGACAGAGGCGTCTGCTGCGGATAGCCCCCGTAGGGCGGCTGCTGGCCGATGTTCATGTTCTGCATGCCCTGCGCGTTCTGGGCCATCATCTGGTTGTAATACTGCTGCTGCAACTGCTGTTGCTGATAGTAGGCGTTCTGGTTCGCCGGCTGGCCGAAGTGTTGCGCGCGATTCTGGCGCCGTCTCACCTCCTCGGACATTTCCGCCAATTTGGCGGCGCCGCGCAGGTGCCGGTCCTCGTTGCTCAGCCGGTGTTGGGCCAGATGTTCGGGGTTCTGCCTCAGCTGCGGCGGTTCGGCGGCTTTGCCGTCTCTGATATTGCCGCTGCTCGCGTATCTATTGACAAAATTACCGATTTAATCGCTGATAAAACTCGCGCCGCAATAATCCTTACCTCGTAATGTCGGATTGATGCTGTTGCATGGCGTGTTGCTTCAGCAAATCTTCGCTTTTAGACGACCTCATTTCATTGTATCGGGACAGATCGTTGCTTTGGACAGAGTCTGATATGCGGATGTTGCCTTGGCTTGGATATCTATAAAATAATCTGCGTTAACATCAATCAATCACAACACAAAATGTGCTAGTGAGAAATAAAAAGAAACCACAGCTTCCTCAAAAATATTGCATATAAACCAGTAATATTTTTAGTAAGAATCTTTGAACCAACACCCATTGTTTGTCTCAGGATTAGTAACCTTTATGATTCATTATATATTTTACTATACCTCATAATTTCTTCGTGTCTGGAGTTCTGAGACTGCCTGAAAACGTCCTCTCTGAGCAGCCCGCCGCCGTTGTTGTAGCCTCGCTCCTCTTGCCTGACGCCGGCGTTGACGTGCAGAGGTTGCTGCACGTGATTGGGGTATCCCTGAACCGAGCTGTGTGTGGGGCTGGGATAGGACTGGTTCTGCGCCGCGTACGAATTCCCGTACGGTATCTTCTGGACCTCGTCCGGACTCGGAAAGTTGTTTTTCTGATACGATGGATAGTAGTTCTGGCCGTACTGGACGTTGGGATAGGACCCGACGCGGTTGGAGTCTTCGCTCGGCAGCCTGTACAGATTCGGAGGGCTCTTCAGATTGGGTATAGATTGATGGAGATTGGCGGGGCGGGAGTTCATCGAAGCCGGCGGCGGGTAGTAAGCCGAAGCCGGTCGTTGCGAATTGGCTATGGAGGAGTGCAGCGAGTTCTGGGAACTCCGTAGCGCTGATGTCCTACAACACAAAATTTAAATTCATAACAATCCAACTAACAATCTAAACTTCATCCATCCAACCAACGGAGTAATCAAAACAAGGTTAGACGCGTGATCATCAAGCACATTTGCATCTATTGGGTAAAATAAAAAAGCCTCCTTACGCTGGCCAATCACTGGTGATCACGCGCTGATCCAGCGTCTAATCTTGTTTTAGTTACTCCGTTGGTTGGATGGATGAAGTATAATTATGTATTTACCTGTCGCCCAATTGTTGCGGACTGGGGTTCTTGTTCCTATTGTAAATGCTCAAATTCTGATAGAACCCGCCGTCCTGCTGGTGCAAATTGTGCGTCGATCTGCTCCGCAGAGCCTGGTTGACTCCGACGGGTCCGCCGCCGTTCGTCATCATCTGGCCGTTGTTCAGGCCGTTGTTGAGGTGAGTGTTGATGCTGGTGCTCGAGGAGGTCCGGCTGTAGATGTCGCCGACGGTGGCGTTCGCTCGCGACGATTGCGGCTCGACGGCGCCGGGGGAATGGATTTGATGGAGGGCGGGAACGGATTTTGAAGAGGGGATCGAACGTTCCGAGTCTACTCTAGACGGCAGGTCGCGCTCCGACATCCGTCTTGGTCCTGTCGATTGCAAACCGGGTGTGATTTAGTGAATTGTTCATAAAATTGTGGAGTATGATGTATTGCGATTTTTTTGTAATACCAATCATAATATCAGTTATAATATCAGGAGCATAGTTTGGAATGCATTATTTGAATCTTTATGGTTGGTATTAAAATGTGATAAAACGTTCTAAAACTGCTTTTTTGCAATGTGTGATTGATCCATTGCAAAACGCAGATGTATAATAAAAAAGTATAATACAGAAGCTTAAAATAAAATTTATGAAGCGTCAATTGTACAGCGATCATTCCATAATGTTCAACAAAAATAGGCAACAAATTCTTAATAAAAACGAAAAATATTAAGCTATTGTCGAATGACGAATTTTTAGATTTAGAATAATATAAAAATGCTGCTTAAACTCAAATTTTTACATTACTATTCGCTGAGTATACAGGGTGTCTCATAAGTTGATACTTTTTTTTAACAGCGTATAGATCTTTTAAATCTAAACAACTTTTTCAAGTAATTTTTTTAATATTCTGGAAAATAAAAGATGGACATTTTTAAAATTTCTTTAAATTTCGAATATTTTCGGTGTCAAAAAATAATAAATAATTAATGACAAAAAATTAATTTTTCGATTGTTGAATTGAAAATGGCTCATTTTTATACAAATAATGAATTGGTAATGCTGATTATTTATACAGTGTTTCCAAAGCGTTTCCAATCAAAATGGCCACAATTTTGAACAGTTTCTTTAACTTTTAATGAATTTTACTCGAAAAAGTTCCTTAGAATTAAAAGATCTATACGCAACTAAAAAAAAGTATCAACTTACGAGACACCCAGTATTATTCTAAATCTGATGGCAAAAATCTACGGTAGAAAAGAAAAAGTGCGCAACGGATTAATCGTAATCTTACGACTAACAGCGGCGCCAACTGCTTTTAAAGCGTCTAACCTAGCAGCAGTGGCGCTGTCAATATCGTCGGGCTCGAAGCTGGCGCAGCTGCGCGTTTTGCGGGCGGCGCGCGGCGATTCGCCGCAATTCCTCGACACTGGGCACGTCTTCTTGGCGTACCGGCAGCACTTCCGCACCGGCTTCTTCGACTTGATGTCCGAGCAGGACTTCCAGGCCTTCGGCAGGCACTTTTTCCGCCCGGCGACGATTTTGTTTTCGTTGTTGCCCTTCTGGACGGGTTTGCGGGCGCTGTTGCGGCGCGTCACGATGTACGAATCGGGGAATTTCTTGTGGTGGCCTCGTTTCTGCAGGTCGTTCAGCCGTTCGAGGCTGTCGCAGCGCACCAGTTGGCTGTTGAAGGGTTTCGTGTCGATGATTTCGCTGTGTCTTCGATCGTATTTAGGCTTTCTTTGCAAATTCGTTATGTTGTTGAGGCAATCGAGTTGGTCCGGTGGATCTTTCGATTGCTTTAGAATCCCTTTCGGTTTCGGTTGCGACTTGAAGGCTTCGTCTTTGGTCCCGATGTTGAATATGCAGTTTCTATACTCGCAATTGTGGTAAAATTGGTCGAAATTTGGTTCCTTACTTAACGAATGGTCCGAATAAAACTTAGCTACTAGACTACTTTCTTTACTCTTAGGCGATAAATCCGGTTCCGAGTTGAACTTAATACGCTCCTTCTTCGATACACTCCTTCGAGTAGTATCGCCGATAAGATTCACGTTAAATTCCGATTTCGAATCTGATCCGTTCAAGCTCCAATCGTAGAGCAATTTAAGCACCTCGATTCTCTCGTACTCGGTCAATTTGTCGTTGAGCCGCTCCTCGCTGACGCTCTTGCTCCTGTTCGTCACGTACTTTCGCTGGTTCAAAGTCGGCACGCTGATCGCCTTGTCGTCGAATCTCTTCGACAGATCGGCGGCGTTCCGGTGCCGGATTTCGTACGGCGACCGCCACGTTTTGTGCTTGAGCGGCGCGTCCCGATCGTCGATCTGGCTCAGGTCCAAATTGGACTCGTGCACGCCGCTGTTGATGCTCGACGTCGAGCTCGACAGGTCCTGCAGCGAGCCGCTGACGGGCCGCTGCTGGCGAAAGCGGCGCGCGCCGATGCTCAGGAACTTGTCCGTGTCGCCGATGTCGTCGATGTCGTAGGAACTCTCGTTGATTTCGATGGAGAAGCTCTTGCGTTGGGCGAAATCGTCTTTGGCGGTTTTCGGCTGCTCCGGTTTGGCGCAGTACTCTTCGATTTTCTCCTGCTTCAGCTCGCTGCCCGTCTCGTCGTAGGTGAGCGTGACGTTTTTGGGGCAGGGCTCCGAGAAATCGGTGACTTGCAGGTTGAAAACCGGCTCGTCGGATTCGATTTCGATGCGGGGTATGGTGAACCTGCGCTTCTCCGATTTGAACAGGCTGTCGTCCGAGTTGAAGAATATGTTATTTTTCGGCTTGGTCGCCGGAGGGGTGAAAATTTTGTTGTGATTCTGAGGGCTGTAAAGTGATTCCGTGGAATCGTACGTGTCGTAATAATAACTGTAGTTTTCCAATGCTGCTTGCACAAAAAGAAATACCGACGTTGATTCTTGTTTTAGATTATTTCAAGTAATACAAATGGTAATAGAATAGTTAATAAGTCTCGCTTTGGGTTTATAAACTAGCTTATATAGTTGTGTTTGAGACCAATACGAAATTTAATTGTTACCTTCCACAAAATTGAATTTCATATTCGTCTCTGCAATTAAAAAAATGGAAATATGTATACCAAATACCAAATCTAGCTTGCCTACATTGTTTCATATACTCAGATACTTGCCATATGGGTTAATGTGAATATGTATACATCTACATATTCTTGCTTTGGAGACACACAAAAAATATCATTAAAAAAATCTGTTAATCTCTCCTATTCTAACGTTATTAAATGTGTAATAACTCGAATAAAAAAACCACAAAACTCACCTCTATGCGGCGTAGGACTGGGCTGTTGCAGCAACGTTGCCAGACCGTGGTAAACGGCACCGGCTTTAGCCACCTCTAGAGTTACCGTACTGCCGGTCCTTTGCAGGAATTCCGCCGCCTTTTCCTGAGTGATTCCCAGCAACGATTGCCGATCGACCGACAGCAGCTGATCGCCGGCCGCCAATCGACCGTCCCTGTCCGCAGCACCGCCCGGTACCACCGATTTTATGTAGATGCCCAGTTGTTCCTGGCCCGCTCCTTTAGCTGCCACGATAGACAGTCCCATGCCGCCACCCGCCTTGTGCAATCTTATCACTTGAACCTAGAAAAATGCCAACAATGAAACTATATCAAAGGAGAAAATATACAGATTGCTTCAATTAAGACCGCAACATGGTCGTTTCTATATATAAAATGACAGTTGTAAGAGTGAAAAGTTGCAATGACACAAATGTCACTTTTTCGTTTATAAGTGTTTAATGGAAGTTGTCATTCAAAAGTGAAGCTCAAAAAGTCCTCAAACAACGGGACACATTCTCTAAAGCATAAGCATAGGATGTTTCCAGACCTTGGAAATATAGGACTGTGCTTTAGAGTGACTCTAAAGTCGCGTCTCGAGTCCCTATAAACGAAACTCCAATAAACGTATAGATCATTCTCACCTCAGGTTGCGTGGCGCTCATGGCGGACGGCGGCCTCGGCGCCGACATGTAAACGGTCCAATGGCCCGAGCTGGTGGGCTGCGAGGCCAGCCGGCACAGGCCGGACGCTTGCAGGGGGTGCAGGAAATCGGCGAGGCCGGGTGGGACGCCTTGCACCACGTCGCAGCTGAAACCGTCGTCGGGTAGCAGGAGTTGCAGCGTGGGCGCCGGATCTTCGTAGAGCGTGACCTCGCGTCCCTCCGCCCTGGCGAGCTCGTCGGCGACGCTCTCCGCCGCTTTGGCCGCTTGTTCCAGCAGCGACGGCGACGCGATTTTCTCGCCCGGTTCGCCTGAAATACCACGAATGAACTCTGTATTTTTTTTAATCCTTTGCCGTCGTTTTGATCGAGTAATTTCGAAAACGTGTTGTGCGCGACCGACCCTATCGACGGAACCCGCACGACTCCGGGTATTCCGAATGTTTTCAACACTAATAATATAAAGTTCAAATAAAATTCAACCGTGATAATAGTGGATATGACGTAGAGTAAATATTATTCGCGCATTTATCTACCCCAATATCTATTCTTATCGTTTCCAACAATTGGTTTTAACTAGTGGAAAATAGTAAAGAAACGGTTTGTTGTCGCAGTTGGGTTTCGATCTACCGATTAGTCCTAGTTTCGCGGCAATCGAAACGTAAGTAATGTACGGTTGCCGCAAAATCGAACGTAAAAATCCCGAGTCGTAAAATTATCGCAACCGTATGATGTTATAAATTGCAATTCTACATTTTTACGGGTCGTAATTTTAAACGAGTTCGCTGAAACAACGACTTTACGACTACGAAAGAGCAAATAAACGCCCTAACGAGAGCTTACAAGCTTAGAGAGTCGAATCGATAATGTTTTTCACTTAGCGGAACACGAATTTATTCCAATTACGAGCGGGCTCGCTGATTATTTCGAGCAAGAGAAATAATAAGTAGTTTGGTGGCGCTCGCGTCGCATAATACCTTCCGGAAGCCTCCGACTTGTCATTCAATCAGCCACAGTAACGCCGAGATAACCCAGTTATATTCATATTCATTACCTTTGTATTGTTTCAGTAACGCTCCCAGTTGCATCGAGTTCAACTTGAAGCAAGCGGCCGAAAGGTTGGCCAGATCTTCCGGCGCGTATTTGGGCGCTTGCAGCAAATGCGCGCACTGCACGATCTTCGCCAAGTGACACTCCGCGGCCAGCTCTAATCCTTGCGACTCGGTCCACGCTTGGAGGTTTCGCAACCGATTGAACAACTTCTGGCCGAAGCTCTTCGTGCACAAGTTACTGTTGCTGATGACGTTCGTAAGGGCCTAAAAGATATCCAACGTTAATGGCTGTAGTTCAAATGTACAATGAAGAGAGATGGCAGCTTTATTGACTGGTATTTAAGAATGTTGTTTGTATAGTCGGTGCAAAACAAGTAACTGTTGTCATACTTGCCAAGCATTGTGAGCAACTTTTCAAAATAAATACACAAAATAGATTATACTTAATATCTGCAGAATTTTGTTTAATATTTAACAAGGGATGATAGAAAATGTTAAGGTTTCTCCATTTTTGATCGCAACATAGGTTATATAGGCCATAGGTGCGATAAAGACAACTTCCATTAGACACTTATAAAGGAAAAAAGGAAAGAATGACATTTGTGTCATTGCAACTTTTCAATTTGTTCTTGTCATTTTGCCATTTGATAATTTTTAAACTCTATAAAAGTTCGGCAACACTGCCTACTTATGACGTAGTAAATTATAGGTGACGTGCATTGATATTTGTTTTGCACCGACTATACAGGTGCATTGTAGCCTTTCAAACAATTTTAAAAGTTCCTTGATTGAGTTACGATGAGTTAAGAATATTGCGAGCTTCTAAGTAAAAATAAGCCAGAAAAAACCTAAAATTTCTAGTGAACGGCTACCGTAAAAGATTGCGTATATAAAAAACCTACTTTTGCCGATATCCAATGGAACAACTGCGAGAACAATTGTATCGTCAACGCGGCGTTCACCCTGCATTTCCTCAATAGGTTCATCGCCCCGCTCAGAACGCCGATTATCTCTCTGGGATGATCGTCGCCCGTCACCGACATCAGATAGGCCAATGCCGCGTTCAGCTCGTCCGTCAAACAGGCCACCAGATTTTTGAAAGCCAATTGCACGGCGTCGGCCAAAGTGTCTTGCGCCTGCAGCGAAAACGCGCTCACGTGCCTGTCAGATTTCAAAAAATGCAACAGCTCGCTGGCGTTCGCCAGCCAAAAGGCCTCCGACGTGCTCTCCGTGCTCCTATCTTGAACTGTTAACCTGAAAATTCGATACACAACGTTTAAAACTGGCGAGGAAACTCACCTCAATATCGAAAGATGGCTTACCTAATCAACTTGGCGGCGTGCTGTAGCAGCACCGTCAGCTTCTGCGCCCGTTCCGTGGGCGTCAATTCGGGCCGGTAATGCGTGGACGCCCTGTACCTGGCGCACAAGTACAAGGTGTACGCGGGCGCCAGCCGGAACGTCGGCGTCGTCACATCCAAATGCGTGATTACCCTAGCGAGGAACTGCTCTTGGGGTTCCTCCGGAAACTCCAGCACCGCGGGCAAGATGGGGTCCTGGCCGCGCGGGTATCTGTCGATTCCGCTCAACCTACGAAACCGAATAAAATCGTTGAGCAATCACCGATAGGAAATGAGAACGAGATCGTTTAGGTGGTATTTGAGGTCGATTCGGAACGGCTTCCGGATAGTCTTACCGATTCTCCGACGAAGATCCCAACGATCTGTTATCGTCTCTGGCACCGCTCGCTGTCGATACGGTTTCAACGTTCCCGTCCAGATCGAAAGTCGTTTCGATATTTTCCCGTGATTGCGATTGCGATTGCTCGGTCGGACTTAACGCACGAGGAGAGCGACTGTGTGATGCAAAAGAAGCAAAAATAAAAATAAAAAAGAAATAAGATGTACAAATAAATTGGTTAAAAAAACGCAAAATAAACAAAAATTAGGCCAGGTATGAGGTGAATGTTGTTAAAACATAAAATAAAAAAAGTAGGTGTTTCTATGAGGTATTCAGTAAAATGGGTAGGTGTTAAAGAGGTATTACTAATTTCTAGTGCAGGATGAGTTCTTGCACTTTTTGACCTAAATTTTAAACCCGGGACCTTTCCATGTTATTAAAAAAATAATACTTAGTCAATACCCAAGTGCTTTCAAAACTTCCAGTAGACGGTAAAGAAGGTACAAAAGAAGTGCACATTCAATTACAAGCCAACTTATACGTCGAAAAACCCCATTAACCTCTAGAGATTCTAATCAGCAATTCATCCAGCGGAGATTCGAGATTCTGCGGTCTCGTACCTAAGTATAGCAAAAACGTGCCTCACCTATCGTACATTCTCCCGCCGACGTTGTCCAATCCGCCGGAGCTGCCGAACGCCGGTCGCGTCCGGTCCTCGTGCGCCGGATCCAAGAACCGGTAGGTGTTGCTGTGGCCGAACTTCACCAGGCTGCCGTGCTGCAGGACGGTCGTCTGGTGGATGCGCTGACCGTTGACGTAGGTGTGCGCGTCGGCGTGGCACGGCGTCAACGACGTCGCCCCGTCGGCGGCGTTTATGGTGATGACGCAATGTCGCGGCTGGATGTGCGGCCCGTACAGCTGGAGGCCTATACCGTTGGCTGAACCCACCTGAACGGACAAATAAAAACCGTCGTTTATTGTATGGTCATTGTGGGTAATAATCGCTAAAAATGTGTCAATGATTTCAAGGAAATGTATCGAGGATTTCTGGGAATGATAGTTATTTGAGTTAATAACCGGTAGGCGTTATAGAGGATTCATAATGTTCCTTTGTTCACCTTTAAAGGATGTAAATAGAGCTTTTGGAACCAATTTTAGGTGGCTGTTAGATCCTTAATTAATTACCGAAACGTCGATTTCATTAAGAGGCATAAAGGATATTTTATGAAAGGTAATTGATTTCATAATCAACTAAAGGGTCCTTAAGGCCTAAAGTGATACAAGTCAAAGGGTCGATTTTTAGACATTAACGCGCTAAAGAATCTTTTAAATGGCAGAAATGGTAACTTGGCGGTACAAACTCTTTCATAAAAACAAGACATAAAATAGTATTCTTTAAGTTAAAGGACACTTTAACGTTTTTATAAAACCGGCCCGAGGTAGAGAAGCTTTACATAAAGGCAAAAATACACAGTGTTCTATAAAAAAAAAATAAATACCGAGCACAAATCACCAAAATTTTGAATTGAAAATTTTGAAATTTTTATTTCCTACACGTTCTCATACTATAGGATGAAATAATAATCACTAAAACTGGACCCTCTATAAAACACAATGAAAATAAAATACGCAAAAATGCCACAAAACAGAGAACTGTACCAAAACGCGAAATAAATTATTTCGACGTACGGCAAAGTGAAAAATTAATTGTCGCGATTATGACCGCTAGTAGTTCATTTGACCGCACACGAGCACACGTACACTCACCCGTCGCGGACCGAATGAAAAACAACAAAAAAGCGAAATTAATCCCAAGCGCCTTGTGCGGTTATACAACGCCCGTTCTGTTTTCAATGCGATATATCGAAACAAGCAAATTGAAGCACACTAATAAACTGTTGAATAATAATTAGCTCAATTATTGAGCTCTAAGTCCTTTCGAGGGAAATGCATTATTCCACATTTTCAAAGCATTTCCGTGGTGATTATGGTCGTTTGGAATATTATTGGATCTTTTTAGTGCATTTTAGGGAAGTCTCTTAATGAGCAAAAATTGTGGTTCCTTCGATACACCTGAATTAAAGGTGTTATTCATTAGTATGAATTTATTAAACCATCAAATCGAACTAATGTTGTTAATCGATGGCGCCAAATCGTTAAGTAATTCAACAATGCGACCAAACTGTAGCAAACGACCCGTTCGTTTCCATACGATAATAAATTCATGAATCATAAACAATTATGGTAAATGTTGTTTTTCGTTCATTTTTCGACGCACCCACAAGCAATATATCAGATTGCAATGAAAACGAGAGACTGAAATTTCATTGAAATCAATAGCATGTGGTTTTGCAGCAACCTCTGGGGAAATCTGGAATTTCATTTTGCAGATGGAAAAATGTAAATAATACGCGGCATGTGACATTGTCCTTAAAAAACGGCGAATATGATGTCATTTTCAATCGCTTTTATTTGAAATTGCTCGTTATATTTTTTAGGAATATCAAATTGACACAATCGATATTGCAGATACAAACTTACACAATAAAAAGAAAGAAACCCTTTTTTCAGTGTAGTACAAGAAGTAGAAGATAAAAGTAGAAAATAAAAGTTCTATAAACATCTAAAACGTGCACTTGTCAACGCCCGCACAAAATCCTGTTTAGAATCGTCCGCCGCTCGTTTACCGGCGTGAAAAATCAATCTTAAGACGATGAATGGAATCAAAGCACTCGATATGGAAGCGGTTTGTGCTTCAAATGAAGTGAAAAAGCCCCATAAGAGGGCTCTTAAATCCGTAGACAACGAGGCCTTTGATTTCGCTCGAAGAATAACGTACACATTCTAAGCTTTTACTGAGCTGCGATGTGTCAAACATGTGGTTTATCGACGATTTTCCATGAGAAAATATTTCATACGAATATCACTGTATTCGTTGAATTTATTGATACACGTCGAGCATATTGGACGGAAGCTCCAAAATTGGTATCTTGAAAGAAAATTTTCATGGAAATTGGAAAACCCACGTATTTCTAACTTAGAGAGGAGCCAATTTCGGCATTGAAAAACATTCCCCCTTCAAATCTATTAAATTGGGACTAAGCAAATTGAATTTTTGTGTATACTTATAAAGGCTGTCCCTAACTGTATTCACAATCTACTTTTGAGTAAATCTTTTAATCGCTATTTCACTCGTCTATTTGGAAAATCGCTTGTGCTTTAGCAATGAAATTTGGAATATAATACATACATAATTTGCGTGATATAAAATAATTTATAAATTATCAAGGGACGCAATTATGGGGTCGGTAACTTCTATTCTATACGGGCCAATGAACGCAATTTTTTAGGATAAATTTACGATAAACCTACCTCCATCATATCGCTGGTCAACCGTATTGTCCTGGCAGTGTCCCCGGGATGAGGAGCGGAGCCGTCAGGCCCCAATTCGACCAGTAAAGGTGCCGCGACTTCTCGAACATCCCTCGTACTGGCTGTCTGACCGATGGCTCCCGGTTTCTTTTTCCGCTTCCTTGGGGCGCAATCCGCCGGTCTTCGTCGTACGTGAAACATTATGGAGCCTGCAAGGACGAAAAAGCCATTAAGCAAAAATCTAATTTCATAAACACAACACCGATCAAGTTTTGTAAACACAATTCCGATTTTTATGCAAGAGTAATTTTTCGCGCGTCGTATTCGATATAGGTTAGTTACGTCTCCTTGTCCTACTTAATTACAAAAAACTCGAAACTGCATTAATAAATGTCATAGCTGCTTAAAAAAGCCGGCAATAAAAAGAAGCTACACACCTAATTTTTCCAGCATGCTTTTCATAGCCTCTTTGGTATCGAGTAATGTGTCGCAGGAAGTAATTCACACGAAAGGAAAATTCGCGGACGAAATAACCGATGAAACTTGTATCGAACGAGATATTCGTGAATTCTTGGCAAACGAAAAATAATCGCCAATATAAATACACGCCGAACGCAGGCGAACGACAAAAATTCGCTTTCAATGAAACAGATTTAAACTTTGCTAACGGAGTGTATACAGACTGTCTTGAGAAAAATTAGGCAAGTAGGATAAGCAAAAACCTTCAATATTTTACAATAATGAAGCTTGGAGATTGCGCAAATACTTGTAGTAATTCGTTATATTAAAATTAGATTGTAATGTAAATAGGCCTTGCTTATTATTCATTGGCTGTATGCAATTTTATTCGTATAGAAATAACTTAATTTTAATTTCCAAATAATAACATCTACTAAAACGATAATATGGACGTACCTACTATAAATAAAACATGGCTGAAATTAAATAATTACTCAATTAAAATAACAAGAAAAACCTATTTATTTCTTAAGTAAGATTCAATTAAAACATACGCTTTGCGGGAAAGAAACATGTTAATTATACCAAAGTATTCCCGTGTAACATTTCTTTTTTCATTCGATACTAGATAATATAAATAAAAATTAAATTCGATTACAGGCGGTACAATTATGGTAATTTACGTTTTACTTTTATAAATTTAAACATTACAAGCATGTTCACGGCTCAAGACTAAACTATTCGCGTTGTTTTTGGTAAATTAGAGTTTATTTCATGGAAAATGCGGAATTTATGAAATTATAGAACTTGGAACTGCAAGAGCGAGAAAAGACGAATCGAATTAAAACTTGGCGATTTGTTTGTTTTAAATTAATTTAACGAACTCCGAGCAAATACTTAAATTACTTACCGAAGGCTAGGTACTTTTAAAGTTTCACGATGGAGTTAGCTCTTTCGCCGAGTGTAATAGCACTTTTAAAATCAATTAAAAAAATACTAAGTACTTAGTTTTGAAAAATAAACTTTGGGAAAATTTTGTTAAAGCGGTAGGTAGGCAGGTACTTGCGTTTACAAAGTTAACAAAGTCATTCAATTTACATGAATTAAAGGCCAAAGATCGATCCAAAAAATAAGCAGTTTCAGTTTGTTAAAATAATAATGTATGCACTGTTAACTTACTAAACTGCCACAGAAATACAAACCTCCCCTTTATTATTTATGTAATAGCTATATCGATTAAATCGATTGTATTATTAGGTACCTAGTTCTAGTTAAATACAAATTTAATTTAAAAGTGGATACAAAATGTAAAGTATACATTCGCAAAATTTAGAGTGAAATAAATCGATTGACTAAATTACTCACGAATTTTATACTCTTGCTTCATAACGTCGTAATGTTGACAAAAAACTCCGAAATGCACTACCATTTTTAACTTAAGAGTTAAAAACAGTTTTCAACAAAAAAACAATGCTACACTGTACTAATCCAAAGAGAAACTAGTAACATGAAGCCCTCTGGTGCCTTTTGAAGCCGTAAGCAGACACAAAAGAATGTTAGAAATAAAAGTTATGGGGAAGTAAAGGAAATGGATCAATTGCACGCATATAGTATCAATTATAGTCATTTTCATTGCAACATGAAAATTGAATTTATTTAGGGCGCTCTGTCAATTTTATATTCTTTATTCAGAGATGTATTATTAATTGCTACAGAATTGGTAATAAAAAGAGCGACAACTTTAATAGCTGTACAAATACAGTTAATAAATATTGCGCCTATTATCGATTTATACTTACCATTTTTGGACCGATCAAAAAAATTAATAGATGTAAATAAACATTACGCCAACAATTCACCTAATGATAATAATTTACGTGGAATAAAAAATACAACAATTTACCTACCAATGATATTTTGGTTTGAACAGTACAATTTCAATAAGCTGTCCAAACTTGCTATAAAAACCTGCCGCATTGAATAAACATGAAAATTGTACATTACTATATACACATTGACCTGAAAATGTTCATGTTAAAACGTTTATAGACTGTACAACAACACAAATATTTACATTGGGGCAATTGGTACACGCCGAAAGTATGTTGCAGAGGATTAGAAAGAAATTTAGAGTGGTGTAGGCGATTAGAATAAATGGTTGTTCCTACCAATCTAAGGGCGAAATCTGTACCATTTCCGGCCATCGAGCGATTTATGGCCACATTCCAACTACAGGTTGTTTTACAAGCCGGAATTTTAAACGCCACTACAAATTCATTAATACCGGTCTACTACAAATGAATGACTCTTGAGAAGTTGGAAAAAATTGTGTTTGCAATATTGATTAATCATTAAATGGTGACAAACTTTAATTTAGAACTGTCAGAAACGATTTAATGAAGATAAAAGTTTCTATAAAATTAACAGAATACCTATATAACTGATAATATTTATAGATATATTTAGATTCATTTAGCTCATTTAACTAAAGCATGCAAAATAAGTAATTCTTTCGTAGGCATTCATTATGCGATTTATAATTTTATTCAGACATCCAATTTTCGTCTCCGCTCGTTCACATTAAACGCTCATTTATAATAAAATGCAAATGAAAATGTAAACGCTTTCTGGCTATAATATTAAATAAGAGGAAGAGTAGGTACATCTCGAAAATTACTTCGTCCTCTAACGATATTAAATGCTCCTTTGACGCGTCCCAAATGCAATTGTTTAGTATTCCATGCAGATTTCATTCAGTCAAATATTCGCAATTCGACGTGAATTCGTAACATTTATTTTCCAAATGGGACCGTCGATTCCGCTACACCCACTTGACGTTCATCTGATGCCTTTCCATGCGCGATCTGCATTCGGTTCGCCCGTGACCCGTATTCACGTATTCATATTAAAATTCCAGAAGATTTAATATGCACGTAAACAAGCTCCACTAATTCCCGCGTGTAATAAAGGTTTCCAGTGTTTTCCATCGCAGTGTGTAGGTACAGAAATTATAATTAAAACAATAAACTATGCAGTGAAAAACTTGTTCATCACCACAGTTGATTAATATCCGAAGAGGAGGCGTGCATGTAAAATTAATTTTCGGGTGTGTGTGTGTGTGCACCTCAACGGCTGTCCCAATATGCTATAAAACAGGGTAAATTTGTCTAGGTAATTTCGAAATTAATAAATCACGTGTAGTGATAGATGATAAAATAGTTTCCCAGTTTTTGATGAAAACTCGCTCAAGTAAAAGGCAAGGTAATTTGTTCCGTGAAACACCGTATAGTGATATAGTTCGTTCCGCACGTTTTCTATCAACAGAACAGTTTTTATGCATTTTGTTTAAATGTGTAGAAAAATTGAACAATACAACTCACCTTCAAAATGAACGAAATTCGATCGATTTTATATTAAGGAAACAAATTATCAACCTATAGAGAAAAGTATATCGGTCAGTTGGCTCTCCAGCAATTGTAGGTAGATAAGTATGATTAATTACGCAAAATGCAGCGTTCTGTTGTGACCGATTCGACCCCTCCGGTATCGATTCCGAATTATTAATAACTATCATTTGATAAATGGTGGACGCAAAACAGTTATTCTCTCATTCCTGTAGATACGAACGGTACACGGAATTCGCATACACAAAGCATTTGATTATCGAGAACTTCTAATAACGCCATATCACTTGGGGTAATAATATCCCGGTTATCACAGATGCAAATGGAATTGGCGCGGCATCGGTTTACGTAAGTTATACCTATCTACATATTGAATTTTAAATTCGTATCCGCCGATTTAACTTGTTAAGTAAAACTCGCCGGATTGCTATAAATACCGCACTGTTTATAGTTATTTTTACTCGAACAATAACGGCTTCGATACAATTTTCATAACGAATAAACTGCATGCGGAAAATAAGAGTTCAAGTCGGGACAATTGTTTTAAAATTGCTTTGTCACGCCTTTTTGCAACGTTTGCTTTATTAGAACAATTATTAAGAGCAACCTTTCTTCGTATAGCAACAAGAAAAGAAAATTTTATGTACACCTATAGTTCATTTCAGTACATTCAGTACAAAATATATTACGTCTATCTTATTTTTTCTCTTTAGAATTAAATGTTTATAAGATTCATAATTATTGTGTATGTATGTATTACTCGTTTACTATATTAACCCTCAGTGATATATTAGCATGAAGTCATGATAGTAATTAATATTACAACCAGGCATGAAATTACAAGGTAAATTTACGATAAACGAAATGGGTCTATTACGGGCTGAAGAGACTCGAGTATTGTTATAGGCAATTCATAAAATCTGAGAGACACATAAATATTGAAGCGATCTTCTGGAACATTAGCAATTACCTTTCGACCCAAAGGTTGGATCGAATGGTTGGAAACAGTACGGTCCAACAGACAATTATTAAGTTCGTTTGGAAGTAATATCCAGCGTTGTTTTTTATTAGATAATTTTTTTATAATATTTGAAAAAATATTGAAAGATAAGGATCAAAGGAAAAATCCACATATAAGGATATACGAGGCATATGAATTGAAATAAATTCTAGATAAAACAACTATAAGTTTTAGATAAATATAAGTACCTATAGATTAAATTTGGAATGAGGAAAGATTTCCGAGAATCTCTTAAGTTTTATATGCTCAGCAATTTTAAAGTACACAATACGGAGCTTTTTTAATAATGCGTTCGAACGAATGGAATAGAAAAAAAACACAGGAA